AAAATACTAAAACTGTACCAAAGGGCACATATTTAAAAGACATTTAACTGCTTTACATCCTAGAACCTTGCTCACAAGTTTCTGCTGTTATTCTAGAAATGTATCTATTTTTAAAAAACAGAAATGAAAGAATATTAATATTCTCTACATTGTTTTTTTTTAACTTAGTGAATATTGGTTTCACAGGGATCATAGGTTTATCTTAGGCTTTTTAACAAGCCTATTTGTCATTGAATGAATGTGCTACAATTGCTATAATTTATTTATCTAATATCTGGTATCCTCTTGATTTGTTCACAAAAAGTTGTTTCCAATATTTTTGTTCATGTTGTGAAAGGTTTTATTATATTTTCACTATTTCAGTGAAAAAAAGGGGTAAGGATTTGGGGCAAACTGCAAACTACATATTTCAGATTCTAGATTCATTTGCATATAAAGTAACTTAAAGGGAAATGGAAAAAAAAAGTAGCATCTGGCTTTTCATTTTAACTCAGTGCCTATCTTTTATTTTCATAATGCCATCATCCCTACTCACAGCTTTCTTGTTAATGCTGTAACAGTTGTTGATTGGCTCTTTTGACTGACCGGGAGGATTAACTCTGGTAGGAGTTAGGAATGGAATTCCAGCTGTTTTACAATAGCAACATTCTTTCATTGCTTGTTTTCACAACTAACCCCCTGTTGGGGAAAGTGCTGAGTCACACACTCAAATAAACAAGAGTTAAATGTCTTGGAGTTGACTTTCCCTGACCAGTACCCTTTCCACTGCCCTCAAGCTAGGATTCAAAAACACTAAAGAAGTGAACCGGTGTCATATTTTTAGGTCACAAGGGAATGATTTGGCATCTTTTGTTTTCCTGGTAGCATGCAGTTTTTCCGAGAGAATGAGAAAGAAGAAACCACATGTCCTCCAAACACTCACTATACAGTGCAGATTTTCACTGCCCCGTTTATATGTGTACCCAGTCTCCTCGGCCAGGAGCTAGGTGGTCAGTTAGAATTTCTTTGCTGTCCTATACCAGAAGGAATCCTAGGGAGGTGATTAAACCAACAACCTTGGCCTCAATAAGAGTTCCTGATCTGCTGTAGTTGCAATATCCTACAATAACAATGCTAAATTGATCAATGTCTTCTTTCTGGGGCTAAAGTTTAATGTAAATCAATCATTTGTCTGGATATATCAGGTTATTAATTGCTACATTACTCAGCATATGGAAGTGATGTTAACAGCTTCTTTCAAAGGGAAGAATGACCCACAGGACTTATCATTAATTACTTCAGTATTATTTTTTCATTTTGTCATTTTATACTAATTCCCTGAAATGGCCAGAGTCCAAAGTGGCTGTTTTTATTGTTTAGCTGACTACACAACTTCAAATTCTGGGTTACAATGAAACTGTGTTCATGGATTTTTTGGTTGTTCAATGCCTATTTCATGTGCCTGGTTCTAGGGGATACACAGACAAACAGCACAGACACAGACAGGCATTGGGAAATAAAACATGGTGTATTTAAAGTTAGTTGGCCCTTGCCAGTGTGGCTCAGTTGGTTGGGCATCATCCCATGTACTGAAAGGTTGCTGGTTTGATTCCTGGTCAGGGCACATGCCTGGGTTGCAAGCTCAATCTCAGGTAGGGAGAGTACAGAGGCAGCTGACGATGTCTTGCTCTGAAATTGACATCTCTCTCTCCCTTCCTCTTTCTCTAAAAATCAATAAAATAAAGTAAAAATAAATAATGAGAGCTGACAGACAGTACTTACTATGTCCCAGGTACTAGTATAAGCAGTTCAAATATATGCACTCTCTTCATCCTCACAACAATCCTATAAGGTAAGAATTTGTCTTAGCTCAGACTGCTATATAAAAATATTATAGACTGGGGAGCTCATAAACAACTGAAATTTATTTCTTATAGTTCTGGATGTTTAAAGTCCAAGATCAGGATGCCAGCATGGTGAGGGCCCTCTTTAGAGTTAGTCCATAGCAATTATTTTATGCATGAGGCCCAGAGAAGTCATGTAGCTTACCGAAGGTCATACAAGTAGTATCTGGCAAAACCAGAATATTTATCAAACCCCTATGGCAGCGATTCTCAACCTGTGGGCCGCGACCCCTTTGGCGGTCGAATGACCCTTTCACAGGGGTCGCCTAAGACCATCCTGCATATCAGATATTTACATTATGATTCATAACAGTAGCAACATTACAGTTATGAAGTAGCAACGAAAATAATTTTATGGTTGGGTCACAACATGAGGAACTGTATTTAAAGGGCCAGAAGGTTGAGAACTACTGCCAATGGTGTCATGGAACTGTGATGGGTAATAGGCATATAAGAGGTGAACAGAACATGTCTGGTTCTTGCCCTCCTCAAGTTTATGGTCATTGTCAACCGAACACACAGAGTCACACTTGAATATAGTGACTCCATTTTATTTTTTTCACTCTTTACTCACCATTAAGCAAGTAACATAACCCTTCCCAGGTTCTCAGCCTTTCCTGTCCCCCCCCGCCACCCCCCCACACTTTGTGTCTGTGTGTATGTGTGTACATTGGTCCTCCAGCCAACCAGTGGAGAGTTGATCAGGGTAAATGTGAGGCAGGATAGTAAGAAGCTAGAAAAATTCCTTGGCAAGTAAAATGGGGAAACAGACAGCTGAACACACTGTCCGAACAATTTACAGCCAGATACAGAAGGTCACGTCCCTAGAGATAACATCTAGGCCTCAGTTATATTTCAGCTCCAGGCCCAGAAAAGCAGCAAAACCAGGTGGACCATGCCAGGACTAGCTGCAATGACGCTGACCAATCAGTAGAGACCACAACCCTTAAAGGCACATCAGGAAAACTGATGAATATTCTGCTGAAACCCTCTTGAGACCTCCCCTAGGATTCCCACTCCCCTGCAAAAGAGAGATAAAAGCCCTCAAGACAAAGGGCTCGAACCTTTCCCTTCCCCCCTCATCTTCTCCCACAAGCATGCATCTCTCTTTTTTTAAATTTTCTTTATTGATTAAGGTATTACATATGTGTCCTTATGCTTCCCCTTCCCTCCTCCCACCCCAAGGGGCATCTCTTAAACTTTAAGGGACCCCATGAGACTTGCAACTAGGAGAGCAATGAGCAGTGGCAGCTGGTCCCTAGCTAACCCCCTAAACCTGCCCCCAAAGTTCCTTTTCTCTGACTTCCCAGGGAGCTAAAGCAGCCCCTCCTCTGCTCATTTCTTTGCTGTAACATTTCTAGACAAAGCAGCCTCACTAGTCGCTCTCCTGTTGCTTCTTCTATCCTACACCCTTCCTTGTTTCACTGTCCCCAGCTTTAATAAACTTCCTCTCAACATCACCAGGACTTGTGTTGTGAAATTTTCCTGCAGGAAGTCAAGAACCCACACACTACCAGTAGCACTAGGCAGACCTTGTCTGGGCCAGGTCCCCTTTTCAGGTAAGAAATGGTGCCCATAAAATGGGCTCCCTGGTCTGGAGGGCTGGGGTAGGGACCAGGTGACCTGTGGGAGACAGACATAAATGTTTCTTTTGGCAATGTGGGTGAGAATGGGCCATATGCTAACCTGACTAGCTCAGGGAAGGCTGCATGGCAGGCTTGCAAACTCAGAGATCTAAAGTAAACCCAAAGGATGGTCTGAAATGAAAACTTTGTAAATCTAAAAGCAGTTTATGGTGGGTAGTTATGTCCTAGGCTGGTATCTTCTCTGACAAAGGTCAATCTTTACCTTAACTGAGCCTGTCTATTGTCATTTTGCATCCACACTTGCGTATTTTTGGAATGTGAAAGTAATTTCCCTTTTCTCCGGACCCCTCAAAGCACAGGCACTACTCTTGCAGAGACCACAAATCCCCTCATTGTTAATTGTTGACTGTTAATTAAGTACCCTGCACCCACCTAAGTAAAAGAAGTATGTGCCTATCATTTCACTTTTTATCCAATCCCAGAGGTTTCCCGGTTTTGCTTTCTTCCACCTCCCTAATCTATGGCCAGTGGGTTTCCTGTAACCCACTTCCATCTCCTCTTTTGATCGCACTGCATAAAACAGGTGCAAACCTGCCACCCTCCAGCATTATCTCAAACTGTTGATATTCTGCTTTCCAGCATTTGTCCACAGTTTGACTCAAATAAACTCACAGAACTTCTTCACAGATCTGAATGTTTCTTAGGTTGACAACAGTGATCTCCTTAAGGCTCCTTTCTTTCTGGGCTGTTTAAAGTGGACATGCCTCAAGGTACTCAACCACACTACTCTTCTGTGACTACTCACCGGTCCCCCACCGCCCAGGCCTCTCTGACATCCCTGACCTGCCATTCCAGTGATCGAGGCGCCTTCCCAGCTCCTCGATGCCCTGAAATTTCCCCCTTCTTGGAGCCTCCAGAATTCCAAGGCCCGTCCCTCCCTCCTGCCCCAGAGATGGTAGGAGATGCCCAGCGAGCATCTTGATCCCTGCCCTGCCCCTAGTAGACCCAGGCGCCTGCCCAGGGCTGCCTGCTGGGGTCACTGGGGTCTGTGACCAGCCGCTGGGAGGTCAGCCCTGGCTGGTGGAGACGCACAAAGGGGAATGGCAGGAGGCAAAGGGCGGCTCAGGAGGGCAGGGCCACGCACAGCACAGTCGCCCTGGCACACGGGCATCAGGGCCCAGGCGGGCAGGCAGCGCTCCCTGTCCTGCGGCGACCATTGTGCATGGCTGCCTTGGCCTCAAGGTCTGGTGGGCGTATGGGACAGAGATGCGCCGAGAGCGCCCCTGGAACGACACCCCGTCTCCACAGATAATGCGTTTTACGTTGCATAACAAACAAGAATAAGCCTGGGTTCCTCTGCGCGACACGCGAAGAGGGTAAGGAACGCACAGAGTGAAGGACGGAGGTGGGAGCTCAGCCTGCGCCAGGCGCCGGGTCACGTGGGCGGGGGGGGCACCGCATGGCGGCGGCCCGCGCGCCACCGGCCGGGCTGCCCGGGTGCGCGCGCCGACGGGGCGGGCGCATGCGCAGGGGGGCGCGCCGCCTCTGCCCCGCGGCGAGGGAGTCTATGGAGAGGCGGCGGCCGCGGCTGCTGAGGCGGAGGCTGAGGCAGCGGCGATGGCGCCCTTCCCCGAAGAGGTGGACGTGTTCACCGCCCCGCACTGGCGGATGAAGCAGCTGGTGGGGCTGTACTGCGACAAGGTAACGGCGTGCGTGCGGGGCCTCTTGCTCCGGGCGGCGCGGGCGGCGGGGAGGAGCGGGCCGGTCCCTGGCGGCCTGGCCTGCGTCGCGCCCGCCGCCCCCCCGGGCCGCGCCGCCCCGATCGCCGCTCGCCGCCTGCGTAGCTGTCAGCGCCGCGCTCGCCGCCCCGCACCTTCCCCGGGGGCCCGCGCCCCCGCCCACCCCGCCGCCTGGGACGTGCCCTCGGGGCTGGCGGCAGGGTCCTCCCGGCCGGGGGCGGCTTCCCGCGGCCGCGCCTGCCTCCGGCTCCTGCGCCCGGAGAGCGCGGGGCACCGATCTCCGGGGACTCCGGGGCGGCCGCCTGCGGTGGGCTTCCCAGCAGCCCGGGGGGCAGGCCGCTTCCGCCGCTGTCCCGCCTCCCATCAACTGCCCCGCAATGTCCGCGGCCGGTTAGGGGGCTCCCCGGTCCTTTGCAAACACCCACCCAGCCATCCATCTCCCGAACCTCCCGCTTGCTTCCTGGCTCCGGGGGACGCTTCTCCAAGCACCCCGGTTCAGCTAAGCCCCAGCTTCTCACTGGTTGGATGGGGGAGAACACCCAGGTTTCCCGGCTTAGGAACGAGCGAGCCTTCCCCTCTTGGTCGGTGGTTATTTTTTCGTTGCAACTTTTTATTGCCCCGAGGTCTTACGCCTTGTAGGTGTTGGAATTCTTGACGTGGGCTCGGGTGTAAGGGGCCTCGGAAAAAGTTGGTTTTTGGACTCTTAATGGGGTGAGCACAACTGAGCAAGCACTTTTGTGGAGGTGGTTCAGGGCCTTTTGCTAATGATTTTAAAACAATAGTAAGAATCCTCGGTTTTTGTTTTTGTCAATTTACATTGGGCAAAGTCCATGTGGATATCCTGAAAACGTGGGGGCAGTTACGTTTCGCCTAGAAATGAACCAAATTAAAAAACAAACAAACTATTTCAACGATTGTTTAAGCACAGAAATCAACTCTTACGGATGTTCAGAAGTTGCGTAGCATGAAGCAGAAGCCCGTTACGAGAGGCGTTCTCGCAGCCCCGTGAAGCGGTTGGAGGATGCCAGCGTGTTCCTCGCTAGGCCACGCTCAAACCAACCACTTCAAGGGCGCCCGCAACCATCCTTCCCTTCCCTTCATTTTGAAAATTAAAAAAACAAAAACAAAAAAACCACCTGATTCAGATATAGGTATGAACACCAAGGTATTCTGGGACAGTGCTTGTCAACCTTGGTTGCTTGTGAGGACCACCCCAAAAGCTGCTAAAAATTCTGATGCCTAAACCAGTAAAATCAGGATCCAGGTACAGTCATGTGCACGGAATGACTTCCGTGTTCTAGCAGGGGAACCGCATATGCCACCTGGGTCCCGTACGATGATAGTGTAACTGAAAGACTCCTGTGGCCCAGTGACGTTGCAGCCTGTGTCCCCAGCGCATGACTCACGCGTTGGTGGTGAAGCCCGGCCAGTTGAGTGAAAGTATGGCGCGTGGAATTCCGCGCAGTACATAGTACTTGATGATAACAGGCGGCTCCGTTGCTGGTTTCTGTATTTATTATACTGTACTTTTTGTTGTTTTGTTTTTTTTTCTCTCTCGAGTGTCCTTTTTCTGCTTGTAAAGAAAGTTTGCTGTATGTCATGTCATGGCACATCTCTTGACTGCATTATTTTCTCTTGTGCTTGATTTAATCTTCGGTTTTGTACAGTAACATGCTGTACAGGTTTGTAGCCCAGGAGCAATAATAGGCTACATGCCATGTAGCCTCGGTGTCTAGTAGGCTATACTTAGATGGTATCTAGCTTGGTGTTCCCACAACAATGAAACCGCTTAACGACGAAGTTCTCAGAATGTAGCCCAGTCGTTAAGGGGCATGTGATTGTATATGTCAAGCTAGGTGAGCCCAGTGTGTAGCCAAGGGTGAGAACTGCTTATCCAGGAGAGGCATCAAGAATGGGTTAGTTAGCCAGTCGGTAGGTAAGCTGAGTAACAAACCCCTGATTTTTTTGAGTTAGCTTACTTAGTGTTTTTAGCTTCTCTGACAGTATCCTTTAATTGCAACAAAGAAAAAAAAAATGGGGAGTTTTTTACTTTCTCAAAATCAAAAAGGAAAAGTTAGTGAGGACTAGTGGATTCTGAAGTCTTCTCCGTTTTAGATTTGGGGAGATGTAGTCCAGGGATCACCAGAAATGGTGATGAAAATTTTTGTGCATGTGTACATTTCCCTCGGAGGTTTGTGGCCTTCATTGGATTTCTAAATGCTTGCTACTCTACTAAAATAATTAGGAATCCCAAATTTATTTAATTATATACTAGACTAACCAGCCTTATTTTAAAATTTTAAAAAGTTAATCACTAGTTTTGTATGTCATTACCTGGTGATTGAGAACACTAGAACAAATTTGAAAATTACAGAGCCATTTCTAAAAACAATATTTGAGTCAAATAAGATTCTTTTTAATTAAATGTTCCTCTTGCAATAACTAAAAAGCATTTTCTTTTTTGTTAATCCTGACCCAAGCATATTATTTCCATTGATTTTTAGAGAGAGTGGAAGGGAGAGGGAGACACAGAGAGAGACATCGATGTGAGAGAGACACATAAATTGGTTGCCTCCTGCACGTGCCGGGGGCCAGGGATCAAGCCTGCGACACATAGGTATGTGCTCTTTACTGGAATCAAACCTGCGACCCTTCAGTCTGCAGGCCAGTGCTCTATCTACTGAGCCAAACTGGCTAGGGTGGAAGCATTTTCAATTTGATATAGCATAAGTGAAAATCATCACCAATTCCAAACTAATTACAGGTAGTTAATGAGATTGCTGTATATAGTCATCAAGAAGATTAATGGTACAATTTTCTGACCTATGGATCAGAGACCAAGGTGATTTGGGGAGAGAGGAGGGGTGGCTACATAAGAATTCTACATCCGGATTTCTTCTTGATGCTAATAGTTAATGGAACTCTCCTAGGACGTTTTTTGGGAACTATCTTGGAAAAAAATAAGTTTTTTATAATGGCTGAATAGACTATTTGTTTTTACTCATTTGCAAACCCAAGTTTTGCCTTCACCGTCTTTTGGTTTCATAGACCAGGGATATCCAACCCAAACAGCCTACATTAAAACTTTACAAAATGAGAACTAGTTTTTATACTCAAACTAAAAAGATACAAAGCATGTTATTTCACTGTATTTTTTTTTTTTAGTATATTTTTATTGATTTCAGAGAGGAAGGGAGAGGGAGAGAGAGATTGAAACATCAATGATGAGAGAGAATCATCGATCGGCTGCCTCTCGCACATCCCCTACTGAGGACTGAGCCTGCAACCCAGGCATGTGCCCCTGACCGGAATCGAACCTGGGACCCTTCAGACCACAGGCTGATGCTCTATCCATTGAGCCAAACCAGCTTGGGCTTTCACTGTATTCTTAATGTTGACTCTGCCCAGTAATTATAAAGAAGCAGCTAGGTTGGACTTGTAGGCCTAGGTTAGCTAGACCAAGCGTACATAAGCATCTAGTGATAGATCCAAATGAGAACCCAAGTCAGGATCACGAGTCCTAGTTTAATTTTCTGTGTGTGAAATCAGAGTAGTTCCTGGAAAATATTTTTGGCAACAGTTTTTTTATGAAATCTTTTTGCAAATTTACTGACCTTCCCAATTGGGATAATTTTAGTGAACATTTGCATCGACTGACATTCTTTTTCCAGTTTATTCCAATTCTTCAGTCTTTCCTCTAATCCTCAGAATTTAACAACATTAATTCTACCAGTGAGCGTTGAGTTTCTTCTGTCAGTTGGATGTATAGTAACTTGTGTTGGCGATGTGAGATGAGGTCCTAATTCTTAAGGAATTTACACTCAAACCTCTATGGTAGGATGGAAATCCAAATGCAGAATAGAGGGAGCCAAGAGGTATATTAAAGTGTTGGGACTGGTCTTAGAGTCTCTTCAGACTGGTTTCTGAGAACAAAGTAGGTGGTGGTTTAGGATATGCATGGAACAGAGATTCCCAGGCTTACACATAAGCCAGTTATAAAAAATTCAAGTGGAGGCTTTATGGAGTGCCCAAGTTTTTCAGGTATGAATATTAAAAGTGTCATTTACTTTATCATTTTATAAAGAAAGGACAATTTATGACCAAAGCAACTAAGGAGGAAGTAAGCTCAGAATAATTTGAACAGATTATTTTTTAAAATTAAACGAATACTAGTATAGCTTTATGAAGAATTCCTTTAGTTTTCCTTGTTTTTCTATTTCTTTGCATACTTGTAAAAACTTATTGACTGGCATTGAGAAGATTGGCTTCTTGAGAGAATGTTGAATTAAGAGCTAGGAGAGGAAGGAAAAGGGTATTCAGGGAGTTCTTACTACATGCTTATGTTATTTCTTTAAATCCTCACAAGAGCTCTGTGAGACAAGCATTATCCCTCATTTAAAGATGAAGAAATGGACTTAGTGGTTAAGTAACTTGCCCAACTCACTCAACTAGTAATTAGGGGAGCCTGGATTTTAATCTTAGGATTTCTCTCCCTTCTGAAGCCCATGTTTTTTTGCATTACCTTACTGATTCTGCTGTTTATTATGAGCTGTATGGTTTTATGCAAAACATTTTCCTGGTGAACCAGTTTTTTTTTTCTATTTGTAGAGTTAGTTTGACCAGAGATAGTTGGGTTTCTTCATTACATGTAAATCTCCCTTGACTAAAAGTAAGCATTGTATGGCTGAGTAGACAAAAAGTAAAACCTAATTTGGGGTAATAATAGTGTTCGGGTTTTGTTGTTATTTTCATATCTATTTTTGAACTTATTATCTAGTATTTAAGTGACACACTTTTCAAATCAATTTGAAGCCAGGCTCTAAGATTTTTAGGTTGTAGAGTGCCTGAGACAGAGTCAGTTCTCAATTTTTAAAATAAGGGAGATACCATGTTACTGGTTGTTACTATTTGTTTATTTATGTGTATTGTGTTCTACAAGGGTTCTTTGTTGAATTTGCTAGGCATCAGAGTATACAAGTTTATAGGTCACTTAGGAACTTTTATAGCCTACTATAGAACATTGTTTTTCAAAGTGTATCCTATGACCCGTTTGTGGGTCATTAAGTCAATTTTGTGGGTCAGAAACAGCATTAAAACATGAAATGGAAAAGTAAATATTAGAGTACATCACAGGTTAGGGAAATACTGTTTGCTGAAATTTTTTGAAATGTTTGTGATGTGTGTGTGTGTAGATTGCAGTGTATTTCATACTAAGGATAATAATTAAACATTTAAAAAACACTACTTTAAAGCAGCATTTCTCAAATGTAGCATTATTGACGTTTTGGGCCAGATGATTCTTTGTTGTGGGGGCTGTCCTGTAGATGTTTAGCCCTATCCCAGACTTTTACCCACTAGAGGTCAGTATCACTTCTGCAATGGTGACAATCCAGAAATGTCTCTGGACTTTGCCCGTAGCTCCTGGGAGGCAAAGTCAATTCCCTAGGGAGAACTTTTGCTTTAGAGCTGGCATTCTTTTTAACTATTGGATCTGAAGAGATAGCTTTATGATTGGGACTAACATTGTATCTTGTGGAAAGAACATAGATTTTAGAATAATAGAGATTTATCTCTGTTTTGTTGTCTACTACCTGTCTGGTTTGGGTTAAGTTATTTTCTCAGAGCCTCAGGTTTTTCACTTATACAATGGGAAATATAACTTTCTATGATTGTTTTAAGATAATACCTAAAAGTACTTTGTATAATATTTAGCACAGCATAGGCCTCAATATGTCCCAGATGTTATTAGTGTATGGGTTATTTTTTTTCTCAATCAAGCCTATATGCTTGAATAACTTTACAGAGGCAAACAAAATTTAAAAAAACAACAACTCATAAACAATTTTATAAAAGTTAAATCATTTATGTACTGGTTATTTTTTTAAGTGCTAAATTTACTGACTTTAGTATCAGTTTTAAAAGTTATTTTCAAGTGGAGAAAAACTAACGAGTAGTTTTAATAATAGTTTTGAACTAACTATAGAAATAACAGAAAAGCCCAAGTAAGGCTTACATATATTACAGTCTGTGTTCTTTAAATATATTATTAAATTTCACAAGAACCCTATGTGGTAGTTAATATTATTAGCCTTATTTTACAGATGAAGAAACCGAGGCACAGAGCAATTTGATGGCTTTTGCTGACAGAGATGGATTCATACTTAAGCAATCTGGCTCCAGCAGTGGTTCTCAACCTTCCTAATGCCGCGACCCTTTAATACAGTTCCTCATGTTGTGGTGACCCCCAACCATAAAATTATTTTCGTTGCTATTTCATAACTGTAATTTTGCTACTGTTATGAATCGTCATGTAAATATCTGATATGCAGGATGTATTTTCATTGTTCTCGACCCACAGGTTGAGAATCGCTGCTCCAGAGTCAGCACTTTAACCACTATGCTGGATTGACTCTACATATAAAATAAAGTACTTTTATATATGTGACTTGGTTTCAGTCTGGATCCTGCACCTGGGCTTTACCTTAGCTGGTGTTTAAATCTGAAAGATTTTCTAATAGGTCACTGAGAATATATGCAGAATTCCTGCATGTCTTTTTAAGATATTACTCTTCTTAACTCACATGAGGACTTTTTTTTTCCTTAATTGAGTTGAGAGAGAGGGGAATGTCGTGGGGGCTAGGGGAGTGAAAGAGAAACATGGATTTGTTGTTCCACTTATTTATGCTTTCATTGGTTGATTCTTGTATGTGCCCTGACCTGGGATTGAACCCGCAACCCTGCATATCAGGATGACACTCTAACCAACGGACCTACCTGGCCAGGGCCTAGGACATTTTTTACCTTTTTTTTTAAAAAAAAAAATATATATATATTTTTATTGATTTTAGAGAGGAAGAGAGAGGGAGAGAGAGGAACTCAACAATGAGAATCATTGATTGGCTGCCTTCTGCATGCCCCCCGCTGGGGGTCAAGAGGGCAACCCAGGCATGTGCCCTGCCCAAGAATTAAATAAACTGTGACTTCCTGGTTCATAGGTCGACGCTCAACCACTGAGCCACACCGGTGGGGCATTTTTTACCTTTTTTTTTGCCATGCTTTTCTTATTTTTAAAACTTTTATAGCCATTATTAATGTTTTCTTTTGATTTATCTCTTATTTCTACTAACTTATTTTAAATTTTTAAAAAATAAAGTGACACATGATAGTATTTGCTGAAATTAGACACTAGTGAATTTTGTAGTCATCTTATGCGACATTTCTTGGGATAAAAGTCTGCAGTTGTTTTTGTGTGGCTCAGAAGGTATTGTTTGAAAAAATTAAAATAATATTTTAGGATGTGAAAATTATATGAAAATTAAATTAAGTCCATAAATAAAGTTCTTTTGGAATACAGCCACATTCATTTGTATGACTATTTTTGTATTACAACAGCTGAATTGCTTTGCAAAACTTAAAATATTTGCTGCTTGGCCCTTCACAAAAAAAGTTGCCAACCCCTTTTCTAGATAATTTACTTACTTATTGTGGCTACTATTCATTGTCTTATTTCCCTTCACATACATTATAGAATGTGAGCCCTATTAAGGCAGAGATGTCGTTTTGTGTTAACTGATGTATCCCAAGGATCAGAAATAATAGCTGGCTCATGGTAGCTCCTCATTAAATGTCTGACTAGAGTGAAAAAATGCATGAATTTATAAAGTTGAATGATTAATTTTCAAAATAATGATAGCTAACATTTACTAAGCACTAATTCATTTTAGTTTCACTTGTGAAGTATATGTGTCATTATTATTATCATTTAACACCAAAAAGACACTAAAACATGGAGGGAGAAAATTAACTTACAGTTATCCGGCTAAATAAATGGTAGAACTGGGATCCGATCTTAGACTGACCATAGGTCTGGTTTTCTATAAATTACTCTTAATACCTAACCCATAATTCCTTTTACAGAAGCTAAATTAATTCTCTTGTGTATAGGAGTATTTGTATTTAGCATATGTATAGACTGATGGAATTTTGGGTTTGGCGGGAATCTAGTCTAATCCCTTTTATTTAAAGAAACTAAATTTAATCAAGTTAACCAAGTATAAGAGAGCTATTTTGCTATGTACAAACTACATAAGAATGCATTTCAATATTTCTTATTGGTGCATATTTACATGTATTTATTATGCCTTTCTTTTTAAATTTTATTCAGCTTTCTAAAACCAACTTTTCCAACAACAATGATTTCCGTGCTCTTCTGCAGTCTCTGTATGCTACTTTTAAGGAGTTCAAAATGCATGAGCAGATTGAAAATGAATACATTATTGGTTTGCTTCAACAACGCAGCCAGACCATTTATAATGTACATTCTGACAACAAACTCTCTGAGATGCTTAGCCTCTTTGAAAAGGGACTGAAGAACGTTAAGGTGAGTTGTAAAAATGGATATTTTACTATCACAACTTGTGTCATCTTCTGGTATGTCATTGGTAAAAATTGTTAGCATTTTATAGTAAATGATGTTTTGTTACAGAAAATAAAAATTTTGACACTTGTTAATAACTGTAAGGAAGACTTTACTCGGGGTTATTGTAGTGGGTTTCAACTCTGAATATAACATGAACAAGTGGACCTTTATAGCTAAAAGCAGTGTGGGGGCAGGAAAATGTATAAAGTTTTAAGAGAATAATACATTGGGTAGAATATTAGGAAGCAATTGAATAAATTAGTTGAAAAAAAAAAAAAAAAGAGAATAGAGAGAACACCAAAGGGATAAAATATGCCCACATTTTGAAAGTTCATTATTTTATAAATTTTTCACATTTTAAGTTTAGAGGGCTGATATAGAAGTGATAGATAAGTTACAGGGGGATGTGATCTTAATTCATATGAGGAGGAACTTTTTAGCAATTGTCTGGACTTACAATGATTTACTGTAGTGAAAGATGTAGTGAACTCTCCTTGCCTTTAGTAGTTGATACCTGTCTTTGGAAATATATATGGTCTTCTGTAGGATAATGTAGCATGTATTTTGAATTGCTTAGTGGAAGATACACTAGATGACCTTATTCAACCTTTTTCATCTCCTGGCACACATAAACTAATTACTAAAATTCTGTGGCACACCAAAAAATATAAAATAGGTATAAGTTTGATTCATTCATACTGGATGGATCTTATTTGTGTTGGCTATTGTTATTTTTTATTTAACAATCTAAGGCAGTGGTTCTCAACCTGTGGGTCACGACCCCTTTGGCTGTCGAACGACCCTTTCACAGGGGTTGCCTAAGACAATCCTACATTTCAGAATATTTACATTACAATTCATAACAGTAGCAACATTACAGTTATGAAGTAGCAACAAAAATAATTTTATGGTTGGGTCACAACATGAGGAACTGTATTTAAAGGGCCTGAAGGTTGAGAACCAATGATCTAAGGGAAAAGAGGTCAGTGCCTCTGACTAAATAGTCAGGTATTGCATGGTTTAAAAATTGTTGGGGCATACCAGTTGAAAATTACTGTCTTAAAGGGATTCTGTAATGGCAAGAGTCCTGAAGGCTCCTATAGACTACTTGGAGATATATTAAGAAAACTGACACAGAAATTATATAAATATATACATTAGAAATCAATAGAAGTTTTGAGCAAATACTTGCTATTTTTAGACCTTTTATGGCATTTAAAAGAAGAAATATGAGATCCCATTACTAAAGGAATTCAAGGTTCAGGATGGCCTTAAGACATCTTTTATACTAAGAAAGTACAGAGACCACTTTGCTATTTGTTTGTGCTTTTTAAAACTTTTTTTAAAGGTTTTATATTGCATTTTAAACTGACTTCTTAGGACCAGGTACAGTGGAAATAATGAAGCAGAATTTTTGCAGATTCCTTATTTTGTTTGTTTCTAGAATGAATATGAGCAGTTGAATTATGAGAAACAGCTGAAAGAGAGATTGGAGGCATTTACAAGAGATTTTCTTCCTCATATGAAAGAAGAAGAGGAGGTAAACATAATTTTTCCTCCTTGTGATTTTGATTTATAAATTTTAAAAATGTTATTTTGGGCTTGTTCTACCTCTCAGAGCACGCGTATGCCTTTTCTTCCACCTTTTCTTCTTTCAGGGGTGAACCTTTGCCTTTCCCTCTCCTAAGCTCCTAGGACTCTTATTCTGTCTCTGTAACTTGTTTCCGGAGCCTACGCATTCCTGCTGGCTCACTTCTATTACTTCTGTGATTTTCCAAATAAACTTTCTCTTATATTTTGAAAGATAGATAGATAGAGAAATAAATAAATAAATAAATAAATGTTATTTTGCCTTTGATTCTTCAAAATAATACATTAGAACACTAGAGAAAAAGGCAGTTTTTTTCTTAAACCTCAGAAAGGTTGTTGCTTTTCATTAAATGAATTATTTAATTCATTTATTCAATATTTATTTTCTTATGCAGATGACACTATATTGAATGTTCATAACTTTTTTTTGTCACCCTAATGTATTTTCAGAACCTTTAGAGGATTCTTTAAACTCTTCCTGTATTTCCAGGCTAATAAAGAATTTTTAGGGTTTTTTTTTTAGTAGTGGATTTTAGTAATTAAAAGATGGTGTTAAACTTATCAATCTTTTATGCCTCGTGTACATGTATTAGGATATCACTGAATGGAAGAGCAAAATATTTTCTCATTCTCTTCTTTCTCTGAAGTGAGATGGGCACACTCTTCTTTGAGCACACCCTCGCCCCACTTTCCTTAGGCGTGCGCTTTGCTTTTTCTAGCCTAAGCTGTAAGGATCCTGACGAGCCTGCACCCAGGGAAGCACTGGGCGGTGGCAGCTGGTTTTGGGCTTACCCTCCGATCCTGTCTCCAGGGGCCCTTCCTTTGCCTCACTGTTTCAAGCTTTGATAAACTTACTCTTACTTAAAAACAAAAACAAAAACAAAAAACAACCAAAGTGGAATGAATATCAGGGTAAGGAATAGAGAAAATATTTGATAAAGAACTGGCTTCTTACTCATCTGTAAATTAGTTATTATGGTGATTCTTAACTATAGCTTCACCTTATAATCAGACTAGAGGCCCGGTGCACAAAAATTTGTGCACTTGGGGGTGGGGGTGGGGGGTCCCTCAGCCCAGCCTGTGCCCTCTCACAGTCTGGGACCCCTTGGGGGATGACCACCTGCTGGCTTAGGCCTGCTCCCTGGGAGATTGGGCCGAAGATGGCAATCAGACATCCCTCTGGCAGCCCGGCAGCCCTCGGGGGATGTGTACTTGCCAGCGGGGAGCAGGCCTAAGCTGCAGTTGGACATCCTTAGCGCTGCTGAGGAGGCAGGAGAGGCTCCCACCACCACTGCTGTACTGGCAGCCATCAGCCTGGCTTGTGGCTGAGCAGAGTTCCCCCATGTGGGAGTGCACTGACCACCAGAGGGCAGCTCCTGCATTGAGCGTCTGCCCCTGGTGGTCAGCGTGTGTCATAGTGACCAGTCACTCCCAGTCTTTCTGCTGTTAGGGTCAGTTTGCATATTACCCTTTTACTATATAGGATAGAAGCCTGGTGCACGGGTGGGGGCCGGCTGGTTTGCCTTGAAGGGTGTCCCGGATCAGGGTGGGAGTCCCGCTGGGGTGCCTGGCCAGCCTGGGTGAGGGGCTGATGGGTGTTTGCAGCTGGTCACACCCCCTTCAGGTTGGGGGTCCCCACTGGGGTGCCTGGCCAGCCTGGATGAGGAACTGATGGCTGTTTTCAGGCTGGCCACACCCCCTTTAGGGTGAGGGTCCCCACTGGGGTGCCTGGCCAGTCTGGGTGAGGGGCTGAGGGCCATTTTCAGGCTGGCCAGCGACTGAAGCTCCCAGCCTCTCCTTTTTTTATTCTGAGATTTATTTACCTTCTATAATTGAAACATTGTTGCTGTCACTGGCGCTTCCAGCTCTGAGGCCACGGCCAGCCGGCTGAAAGCAGGTATCTGGGGTTTGTTTAGCTTTTACAATTGAAACATTGTTGCTTTCGGGCTCAGAGCCGGGCCGCGGCAGGCGGGGAACCTTGGCTTCCTCCATCACTGGAGCAAGCAAGCCTCATGTTCACTTCAGCTGTGTGGCTTCTGGCTGCCATCTTTGTTGGCAGTTAATTTGCATATCGCCCTGATTAGCCAATGGGAAGCATAGCGGAGGTACAGTTAATTACCCTTTTTGTCTTTTATTAGATTGGATTGGTATTTAAAAACAAAACCAAAATACTTTAAAGCCCTTTTTAGACCAGTTAAATCAGGTGGGATGTCAGTATGGGTATATTTAAAAGATTCCCCAAGTTATCATCATAAGCAACCAGCACTGAAACCACAGAGTTACTAGAGCAGTGTTTTTTAACCTGTGATGCACATCAAAATTATCTGTAGCACCATAAAAAAACCTGCCATCTCTAAAGGTTCTAACTGTATAAATGAGCAGTTGAGACTAAGCATCTATTTTGAAGAAGAAATCTAGGTAATGTTGAATGGTTGAAAGTCTCAGTAGAGCTGGGCCCCATTCTCCTAGGATTTAGAGCAGCCGTGGGCAAACTATGGCCCACTGGTCGGATCCGGCCCATTTGAAATGAATAAAACTAAAAAAAAAAAAGACCCTTTTATGTAATGATGTTTACTTTGAATTTATATTAGTTTACACAAACACTCCATCTATGCTTTTGTTCCGGCCCTCCGGTCCAGTTTAAGAACCCATTGTGGCCCTCGAGTCAAAAAGTTTGCCCACCCCTGATTTAGAGCCTTGTTTGGGTGGGTAGAGGCCAGTTACTGTATTAGCAGAAGGCAGTTAACTGACCTAACTGTCTAACTCTAGAGAAGAGTGAAGAGTGTTGGACAAGCTCTGTACAGGAAGACCTCGTTCTGATGCTTTGAAATTGTTTAGGGATTGACTTAGCCAGAGAATTCATAGAGAGAAGGATCTTTTTGGTGATATTCTTCTCTATAATTTTTGGATATACTAACTTGGTGGTAACAACTAAAATTTTTATCTCTTTGAAATAGGTGATCATAATACTATAGCCATTAATAATTTAAAGGGTGTAGAGTAAAATAAAATAATTAAGCATATTTCCTTATGACTATTTTGTTTAATTTAGGTTTTTCAGCCCATGTTAATGGAATATTTTACCTATGAAGAGCTTAAGGATATTAAAAAGAAAGTGATTGCACAACATTGCTCTCAAAAGGATACTGCAGAACTCCTTAGAGGTCTTAGCCTGTGGAATCAAGCTGAAGAGCGACAGAAGTTTTTTAAATATTCTGTGGATGAAAAGTCAGATAAAGGTGAGATAGCAAGTGATTTATTAGTTTCAAGGCTATTTGCTTTTGTTGATATGAACTTTAGATTTTGTTTGAGGAATAATTTAAGTCATTTAATTTCAAGTATAAATTTAATTGACATTAGTTTCTATCTTAGAACTTAGTGTTTGATAATTTAGCATCTCATACTTGGGCCACATGAATGTTGTATTTCTTAAAGGGATTGATATATACACAAACTAATAATTGGCCTATCAAAATTGCTGAAAACTCATATACAGAGCACGTTTGCAGTATCCAACTTTCATATATATATATTTGTATTGATTTCAGAGAGAAAGGGAGAGGGAGAGAGAGATAGAAACATCAAAGATAAGAGAGAATCATTGATTGGCTGCCTTGTGCCCCACACCGGGGATCGAGCCTGCAACCTGGGCATGTGTCCTGACTGGGTTCAAGGCAACCTTTCAATGCACAGGACAACACCCAACTAAGCCACACCAGCCAGGGCAAAATATGCCTACTTTTTTCTTAGACTACTTCCTCCTTTTTATTTTTATTTGTCTTTGATAGCTTTGCCATTTAAAACATTGTTTTAAAATATTGGCATCCTTAGGTTAGTAAAAATTTCTTTGATTCTTCTAGGTGGGCAGTAGCAGTGACACTTCTGTTAAAATAGCATAAAAAGTTTTTTGAAATTTGTCCTTTTCTGTTTTTATTTAACAAAGTAGGTGAGATGCATGTTGAAACAAAAATGTTTTTGTAGGTTAAGCTATAATTAAACTTATAAAACTTGTGTGCTTCACTCTGAAATTCAACTTGGGCCTTTAACACCAAGCCAAGGCCTGTTGTGTCTGGTTTAATTGTAGTATATAACATGGGATTTAAAAGCATCACACTTATTACATTTAATTTTCCCACTCCTTCAAAGCAAATTATAGCTGCTTTATTTTAAAAATATTTGTTACTTAAAAAGGGTTGGAGTAAGTAATTTGTTCATAGCATTACAATATTTTTGTGAAAACAAATCATACAAAGTCCTCAAATTCTTCCTAGTACTTCAACAATGAATCTTTTATATTTTATATTCCTTATTGTATACCTAATTTGCTCTCACCCCAGAAAATTGCTACTGAATTAATGTTATAGGAAATTAGACATCCAATGACTAATTTCTACAATAGTTGCTGACCAAAGATTCCTGATAAATGTATGCCAGCATTAGAAATATTTATTATATTGTCTCAACTGGCTCATAAATATAGACATATAAGTAGGTTAGGGTATTATTTATAGGTTAAAGAATTCAGATTTCACAGACTCTTATATGAAATGTGAAAAGAGGGGAAACTCGGAAGATACTCACAGGAGTCATAATGCATGAATGGAAACTGTTGAGAGATTTGTGTGTGTCATTAAAAATGCCTAGGAGATCTCATAATCTAGTCGACTCCACACTTGTTGATTTAAAGCTGTATAACCTGTTGGATTTCTTTTTCAAATGATGCTGCTTATGCTACAAAGTGAGTATTGTTTTTTCTGTGACGCGTTTGTAAGAGGAAGTCGATTCTGTGTTTGCTATTGTAGCTCCCACTGATGAAGTATGATTTGAGCCATGATAGTTTAACCCTACGGATTCTTAACACGTTTAACATCCTTATGTTACCTCTAATCCATGTTACTTCCTTTTCACATCTTGCAAGCAGGAAGGAGTGGACTTTAGGCACTTGATTTTATTTATAGAAATGTGATTGTCATTTCTTAGTGCTTTTGCTCTTATATCATCTAATGGTAAAACTTTCTTTTTTTATTTCAGAAGCAGAGGTGTCAGACCGATCCACAGGTATAACCCATCTTCCTCCTGAGGTAATGCTGTCAATTTTCAGTTATCTTAATCCTCAAGAGTTATGTCGCTGCAGTCAAGTAAGCCCCAAATGGTCTCAGCTGGCGAAGACTGGATCGCTTTGGAAGCATCTTTACCCCGTTCACTGGGCCAGAGGTAGGTAAAGGGGACTTTTAGTTTGTTTACAAATATTTCAGTCTGGTTTTTTGTTTGTGTTTTAAAAGAAATACTCATAGACATTAATAAGTAAGGCCAGTGAGTTTAGCACTCATTTAGAAATTATTGGGAAACTGAGAGGTTAAGTAAAAAGTAGATGTCATAGTTAGTGTTCTTTGTATGCATTTTAGAGTGAGTTATGTGATGTGTGCCATTTCCTTTAAAATAATCAGGAGAAAATTGTTGGGGAGAGAATGCAAAATAATTGGCAAAATGTTGATCATTGTTGAAGATAGGTGATGAGTACATGGGTATTCATTGTGCTACTTTTTTAATGCAATTTCTTCCTATTTTAAAATTATTTTTGGAATTTTCAATAACAAAAAGTTAGAAATCAAATTAATAGGATGTCAGAACTGCTTTAAATAATTAGATTATTTACATATTTAAGAAATACAGAATAAATTTAATTAAATATAAAGATGAGGTGCTATTATGGTTGCCTTTTGGTAGTAGCTCAAAATAACTGAATCTATTTTTGTCTCCAGCATATTTTTTGATTTTTTTGTGTGATTAGTAATGCCTCACTCAGTAAATCAAAAATTTATATTAATTCATGTGTTAAGATACTTTTTTACATGTGAACAATTAAAGAAAATTTCTTTTCATGAGCATATAATGTAGTCATGGGGTAAATGCAGCTCTATTGCATGTAATTTTTTTTGTCACTGAATTAAAATAATTTCTAGATGAATGTTAACCTCAAAATTCACATTAAGTTATTCTGAGTTTCCTATAATTTGTCACTTTGACATGGAAATACATATTTCTCACATAATTAAATTATGAACATGATTGTAAAAAGTTTTATATTTACCATTTTTAAAAAATATATTTTATTGATTTTTTACAGAGAGGAAGGGAGAGGAACATAGAGTTAGAAACATCGATGAGAGAGAAACATCTATCAGCTGCCTCCTGCACACTCCCCACTGGGGATGTGCCCGCAACCAAGGTACATGCCCTTGACCGGAATCGAACCTGGGACCCTTGAGTCCGCAGGCCGATGCTCTATCCACTGAGCCAAACCGGTTAGGGCTATATTTACCATTTTTTGAGTAGTGGGTGGGCTTGTATGATCCAAATGATCTAGAATTGGTATTTTTATATGGAATAACTTTTTCTATTAGTTGTAGTATAATGAAAGTCAAGAAGTCAAGCAAGACAAATATGGATGTTTTAAATGCTGTTTTTGCCTAGCTATGTTTTTAATTATGAATAATTATTAGGAATTGATATATAATGTAGGTACTGTTTAATGAAAGATCAGATGTGATGATGATATGCTAGACTTCTGTGAAGTTAAGTGGATATTAATGTTTCTTTTTTTTTTCCTGTTTCAGTATGCTTAAAAAGTTCCAATAGAAATGGTTTTTATGTGTTTATAGTATTTGTTTCCAGTAGTTCTCACTCAGAACTGATTTTACCCACCTTGAGGGACATTTTGGTATGTCTGTAGAGACATTTTTGTTCAGTCTGGGGGAATTTACATACTGGTCTTCAGTGGATGGAGGCCAGGGTTGCTCTTAAACACCCTACAATGCATAGAACAGACCCCCCACAACCAAGAATTCCCTAGGCCAGGATATCAGTAGTGTCGAGGTTGAGAAACCCTAATTTAGATGTAATGTTGGGAGTTCAGTCTCTGTCTCTCACTTCACAATCATGTGGTTTAAATGCAGTATATCCTCAGGATCTTTAAATTTATGGCTTACTTTACCTTAATCTGACCTGTTTACTTCTGTTCCTACCTCCTTCTGAATTGCTGACTAATCCACTACTCAGCAGAAAGTCTTGCTTCCTTTTGTTTATTAGCTGTCGTTATAATGGAGATATTGCCAGAGCCAGTGTGAAGCCTCTGTAGGGGAAAAAGTTAGGTGGTTTTCAGTGATTTCTAAAATTGCCCGTAAGATTATTGATAATTATTTTTCATTGTTCTTTTTAGCATGTCTGAAATTGAATTCTTTGCTTATTTAAGTGTAATTTTTTTTAACCATAACTGAATATTTCTAACAATAGCTGGCCCATTGCCTGGGGCTCGTGTGTGTAGAGATTTTTATTATAAATAGGTTACTTTTTTTGTAATGGTAGTCAATCTAATCTTATTTTGTTCTTGTTTATTTGTTGAATAGGTGACTGGTATAGTGGCCCTGCAACTGAACTTGATACTGAACCTGATGAGGAATGGGTGAAAAGTAGAAAGGATGAAAGTCGTGCTTTTCAGGAATGGGACGAAGATGCCGATATAGATGAATCTGGTAAGCTCTGTTTGGAAATAAAATTATTACATGGTGCTTTAATAATTCATATTATATTAAATGAGTAAATTAATGTTATATTAAATCAATCTATTAAATATTACATTCAAATGTAAATTTCCATGATAATATTTACGTATTTAGTGTTTTCTAAAGAAACATATTTTTAAGCCTACTACTTTTTAAAATTTGAAGGAATAATCAAATTTAAAATGTATTCTGTTTGAAGTAATTTTTTTAGTGTGTATAAGATTGTGTTACATATGTTTTTATATTTAAATACCTTAATCAGAAAATGCTGGTTATTCTTCTTATTTAAATAATGTACATTCATGATAATGCTTTGAAGTTTACAATGTGTGTTTTTAAATGTGCTCATTTGGTCATTCCGTAGTATTTATTGAGTCATCTGTGGCCCAGAGGAAGGAGCATGAAGCTGTCGAATCTGTTTTTTCTTTTTTTTTTTTTTTTTTTTTACTTTATTGGGGTGACATTGGTTAACATAACTATATTATTAATTCTATAATACATCATCTGTATATTGTATGTTTACCACCCCAAGTCAAGTCTCCTTCCATCACTGTTTATCCAGCCTATATGAACCTGTTTTTTCATTTGTAAATAGTTATGCTGCTTGCCTCACATGGCTGTAGAATTGTGAAGTAATCTGTAAAAATTCTTTGCAAATGGTAAGGGACTAACTAGTGTAGCCATTCATTAAGCACTGTGAAAGAATTCATGGGTGAATAAGACTTTATTTTCTACCCTTAAAGTACTCACAGGTGAGAACTTAGAATACATGATTCTTAATTCACTGTAAATAATGAAAAATGCATTTTAATAGAGGTGCAGAAATATGCTATTTGGGAAAGGAGAAAAACATAAAGTTTGTCTTAGATATTATTCAGATAATAATTACTAAAAGATGATGAAATAGTAAAAAAATAACAGATAAGATACTGTTCTACTTGGTAAAACTGGACCTGTAGGAAATTTTTATTTGTAAGTTGTCCACTTAAAAAGTAGTAAGCTGGTCTGGCAAAAGAACTAAATATGGAAAGTAAGGACTATAAAGTTAAAGGTTATTCTTTCAGCAGCAAGTTTATTTTTATGAAATGAAGGTGCCCCTTTTTGGTATAGTTTTGAGCATTTGCAAGATACGACATAAGGAACAAGGGAGAAAGAGGTCTATTCCAGTTAGATTTGGTGATGTGCTTATCCCGTTGCAGGTACTTTCTGAGCATGGGGTTAATAGTGAACAAAATGGAGGAGGGTGGAATCTCTGGCCTTGTTTAGGATAAAATTTGGAGAGGGTAGGCAGATAATAAATGCAGGCAAAAATATATTCTATACTAGATAGTGTTGAATGCTGTGGAGAAAAATAAAAAGGCAAGAATGCCAGGAAGAGAGAAAAGAAATTATGATTTTAAATAAAGTGATTAATTAAGGTCCGGTCCCCTGAGAAATTTGAGCAAAGATCTCAAGCAGGTAAGGTCTTTACGCAGATGTCACATTAGGGAAAACTTGATTTATCTGTCCTAGAAAATTAATTCATAATATCTATGTTTAGTTTTAAAGGCTTTACCAAACTGTTTGCTCTTCAACATTTGAAGATAGCTAAAGTGAAGGCTGTTGTTTTCCTATGTATTGAAAGGGAAAAATTAAGACTATAAGGTCAAGCCCTTTTTAAGATAATATGTCCAGTTATTTAGTGGATCTAAGACTAAACTACCATTTATGTTAGTACTTTTTCAGCTTAGCTGTATAGAAGTTAATGTTCTTGTAGGATGTTTATTTTATTTTTTTTAAGATTTCATAGTAAACAGTACAACACATTTAGATGGAGAGGGCAACAGAAAGAAGACTCATTTGTGAATAAAAGTATAGCAGAATAAATAGGTTTAATTAAAAGTCATTTTTATCCATATATATTATGTCTGGCTAAAGGAAGAGTTAAGATAATATCTGTAAACATGGAACCATTAGTTACAAATTCAGATTTATTCTTTCTGCTTATATTCCTTTTGTCAGCTACAGTGATTTTGTTTGTTTGTTTTAATGATACTTCCTTTATATATATATATATGTGTGTGTGTGTGTGTGTGTGTGTGTGTGCGCGTGTGTGTGTGTGTGTGTGTGTGTGTATAAATTGGTTTATATTTAGAGACATTTAAGTTAGGTCTTCAGGTAAGCATAATAACAATAGGACCCTGAGAAAGGTGATAAAATTATTAGTTCATTCTTTTTATTGTAGTGTTTTTTTTCTTATATCAAATTGAAGTTTGCAGTTTTTTTTGTTGTGTTTGTTGTTACAGTAGTGCATCCTGTTGTATCATCCAAGTTCTGCAGAAATTATTAAGCAAAAATCAAAAGCCATGCTCATTTTTAACTTCTTAAAAACCCTAAGGTACTTTACTTTGCTTGATTTATTATGACCAGGCTAACTTAATTGTTTCAAATCTCTTCCAGCTCTATGTCCCTTTTATTTGGGTAAAATAACTAATGTTACTTTTATTATGGTTCGTTTTTCTTTTGGTGTCCTATATTCTCTTAAAGAACTCCTAATATTCTTCAAGTATTCAAAGTTTTTTTCCTAAAGCTGTTTTCAGTGCCTGAAACTGGAGTTATTTTTTTGTTTCCTTTGCTGCCTATCTTGATATCAAAATTACCTTCAATCTTGAAATACCGTATATGAAAAAAACACACCTTCTCTTTATTCTCATTGTAAACCTTTTATTTTTCTTCTTTCACCTATTTTTAATTGAAGCCGGACCAGTTAAACATTTAAGTCCTGGGGAGTGAGACTTTGTCCATTTAACTTGCTTTGCATACATAGGGGAGTTTAAGGATAGCAAAGAGTATTTAATATTTAATGTTGGTGATTCCATGAGTAGCCTAATTATAATTAGTATATCAAGTTCTTAGACTTTTGAATTTATTTTACAGAAGAGTCTGCAGGGGAATCGATTGCTATCAGCATTGCACAAACGGAAAAACGTTTACTCCATGGCTTAATTCATAATGTTCTGCCATATGTTGGTACTTCTGTAAAAACTCTAGTATTAGCATACAGCTCTGCAGTTTCCAGCAAAATGGTATGTATAAATTAGCACTAATTGGGTATTAATAAAAACTAGCAATGATCTAAATTTGGTTTGCTTATTCCTGAGTTTAATTAAGGAAAAAATACACTTTACCCATGAGAGTTCCTTCCCATGAGTAGGCATATACTGCTGATGTTTACATGATTTCATTTCAGTTCTCACATTAATCTTTGTATATAGATATCATTGTCTACACATTCTACAAAAGGATGCAGAGACTAGGAGAGGTTAAACAGTTTATTTAGTTTTACAAATGTTAAGTGATGAAGTCCAATTTTATATGATTACTAGAGGTCTGGTGCACGAAATTCATGGCACTGGTAGGGTACCTAGGCCTGGCTGGCGATCAGGGCTGATTGGGGCCTTCTGGCTGCTGGCCAGGGCCTTCCTCCTTCCTTCCCTGGCTACTGGCCAGGGCCTATCTTCATTTCATGCCGCCCCCTGGTGGTCAGCACACATCTTAGCGAGCAATCGAACTCCCAGTCTCCCGGTCAAACTCCTGAGGGGACACTTTGCATGTTAGCCTTTTATATATATAGATAGTATGTGAGGCATGATCAGGTGGGCAAAGGATATTAAATCTCTGTTTTATAAAAATGTATTTTGTGACATCCTACATCAAAATCTCCTTGGATATTCCTTAAAAATGTAAATTTCCTGGGTCTAAACTCACAGCTACTAAAATAGATTTTCTGGGGTTTGAGCCAACATATATATTGGCAATGCAGATTTTTAAAAAAAATTTATTAAGTTGATTGGGGTGACACTGGTCACCATGAACAGGCAATGCAGATTTGAAGTGATTTTTCCATGCACAAATGTTTGAGAACCTTTGGATTATGTCACTAAAAGTCACCTGCCTCTTGTCTAATGAAAAGTGTGTAGATCTTCATAGTGACTTTTTCCCCCCTTTAGGTGAGGCAGATTTTAGAGCTCTGTCCTAATCTGGAGCATCTTGATCTTACCCAAACTGACATTTCAGATTCTGCATTTGACAGGTTAGTTGTTTTTAAATATTTAAATATGATTTATAACTATGAATTTGTAGAATTGTTCTGTAGTTCCTTATTTGCATAATTATAGTTTAATCATACTATTTTTTAAAATATATTTTATTGATTTTTTACAGGGAGGAAGGGAGAGAGATAGTCAGAAACATCGATGAGAGAGAAACATCGATCAGCTGCCTCCTGCACATCCCCCACTGGGGATGTGCCCGCAACCCAGGTATATGCCCTTGACTGGAATCGAACCTGGGACCTTTCAGCCTGCAGGCCGACGCTCTATCCACTGAGCCAAACCGGTTTCGGCCATACTATTATTTTTTATTGTCAACTCTGAGTCATGAGTGGTTGTAATTTGATAGCACCTCCAGTTCTTTGCCTCTTGTCAGGTCCCAGTTGATCCAAAACTCCAATCTGCATCATCCTGTCATTTTTATAAACCTGCACTTTGTCTAGGCTTCTGAGCCTTGCCGTGCACTATTGTTTTTAAGATGTTTTCTATTTTAGTTGGTTCCTAGTAACATTTGGCAAGGCTCCCTCATACAATTCTTCATATTTATTCTGAAATTGTAACACTTCCTTCAAGGTACACTTTCACAGATTTTACTTCTTTGGATGCTTCCAATTTCCTTCTCCCTCTATCTCACTTTCCTTTTTTTTATCCTAGCATTTATATCAGCACCTCTCTCTCCATTGCAGAGGGAGATGTGTATTCTTCTCTGGCTAAAGCTAATGCTCTACCATTTCCTAGAGCTTGTTTCTTCTGGATCTTCCTGCATTAATCATTAGTTTCTCTCTCTCTCTCTTTTTTTTTTAATGTGTATACAGGCTCTCCTTTACTGGTTACTTTTCAGTAAAATAAACTAGGTCTTCTCCTCTCCTAACCTTCTCTTAGGTTAAATATTCTTATTTCCTAATTTCTCTTATTGTGTTTTTGTATCTCTAGCATCTAAAATAGTGCCTGACAGTATACATTCAGTAAATGTTTGATTATATTAAAGTCTTTCTCTTTTTTTTCGTATTTTTTAAAGTTTTTTTATTGATTAAGTTATTACATATTCTTTTGTTTTTTATATACTTACGTAATAGTCAAATGCTTTTGAAGAATTTAACAATATCCACTAATAGTCTTGTAACCTCTTAATTATAGTTGGTCTTGGCTTGGATGCTGCCAGAGTCTTCGGCATCTTGATCTGTCTGGATGTGAAAAAATCACAGATGTGGCTCTAGAGAAGATTTCTAGAGCTCTTGGAATTCTGACATCTCATCAGAATGGCCTTTTGTCTACAAGCAAAATTACTTCGACTACATGGAAAAATAAAGACATTAACATGCAGTCCACCAAACAGTATGCTTGTTTGCAAGATTTAACTAACAAGGCTATTGGAGAAGAAATAGATAATGAAAACCCCTGGACTAAGCCTGTTTCTTCTGAGAATTTCACTTCTCCTTATGTGTGGATGTTGGATGCTGAAGACCTGGCCGATATTGAAGATGCTGTTGAATGGAGACATAGAAATGTGGAAAGTCTTTGTGTAATGGAGACAGCATCCAACTTGAGTTGTTCCTCCTCTGGCTGTTACAGTAAAGATATTGTTGGACTAAGGACTAGTGTCTGTTGGCAGCAGCATTGTGCTTCTCCAGCCTTTGCATATTGTGGTCATTCATTTTGTTGTACAGGAACAGCTCTAAGAACTATGTCAGCACTCCCGGAGTCTTCTGCATTGTGTGGAAAGGCATCAAGGACTAGCTTGCTTAGGGAAAAGGACTTAATCTACTCTGGGAGTGAAAAATCTGATCAAGAGACTGGACGTGTACTTCTGTTTCTCAGTCTGTCTGGGTGTTATCAGATCACAGACCATGGTCTCAGGTAAGTAATCAATTGCAAAGTATTAGGAAATGGACATGTTCTCATTCTCAAATGAAATAGAAATTTTGAATCTTAAGTGTCATGCTTTTCGCTGATTTATTTATCCAAAAGAGTTAACCAAGATTTGTCTTACTTTGAAGTGTTGGAACATTGTAACTTCAGCATGAAGTTTCATGTCAGTCAGTTCAAATACTTTGTGATATATTGGAAGCACATAAATTAAAAAGTTTTATAAATACTTAGCAAATGCCTACAACACATTTTCTGTGATGTTTTAGTGGATATAAACATGAATAAGATAAGAATTTTTACTTATAACAGAGAAGAAAATATATCTACCATATTCAATCTCCTTGTTATATAGGTCTATTCTGATTTTCTTTTTTTAACTCAGTTTGCTTTTTGTGTTTTTAGGGAATTTGTCTATTTCATTCAGGTTATACAATTTGTTGGCATATAATTTTTTATGGTGCTGTTCATAATCTTTTCTATTTCTGTAAAATTGGTAGTAATGTCCCAATTCTCATTTCTGACTGATAATTTGAGCCCTCTTTCTTTTTTTCTTAGGCAATCTAGCAAAATTTTTGTCAATTTTATTGACCTTTTCAAAGAACCAATTTTTTGTCTCATTGATTTTTCTTTATTATTTTTGTACTCGAGGCCTGGTGCATAAATTCGTGCACAAGTGGGGTCCCTCAGCCTGGCCGATAATAGGGGCCGATTGGGGCTGGCCAGGGGGAGGGACGCGGGAGGTTGGCTGTGGGAGCACACTTACTACCAGCAGAATTGCTGCATTGAGCATCTGCTCCCTGGTGGTCAGTGCGCGTCATAGCAACTGGTCGTTCATTCAGTTGCTTAGGCTTTTATATATATATAAATTCTCTATTTAAGAAATTTTTTCCTGTAGTCTTTATTATTTCTTTCCTTTACTAGCTTATGCTTGGTCTTTTTCTAATTCGTTAAGGTGTTTAGTTAGGTTTAAGATCTTCATATTTAATGTTGGTGTTTACAGCAGTAAATTTTGCTCTTGGCCCTCTTTTTGGTGCATCCCAGCAGCTTTGGTTTGTTGTGTTTTTGTTTTTATTCATCTCAGTTTTGTGTGTGTGTGTGTGTGTGTGTGGGGGGGGGGTTATAATTGTTATATCTTCTTGGTTTAGTGAACCTTATATCAATATATAATATTTTTCTTTGTCTCTCGTAACCTTTTTTAAAAATTTAAGGTCTCTTGTTTGACAATAGGATAGCCACCTGGCTCTCTTTTGGTTACTTTTTGTATGGATTATGTTTTCTCATGTTTTTACATTTAACCTCTTTTTGTGTTTTTGCATTTAAAGTGAGGTCTCTTATAGAGAGCATATAGATGCATCATATTTTTTTAATCCAGTCTGCTAATCTCTGCATTTTAATAGAAGTGTTTGGTTTACATTTAAAATTATGTATATAATGTACCATTTGATTCCCGTTTTTCCCCTTCTCTGTATTTTTTTTATAGTTATTTTCTTAGTTGTTACCTTGGGAATGTAGTTAACAGAACTTAAAACAGCCTACTTTGATAACCAATTTAATTTCAATTATAAACAAACATTTACACAGTTCAATGTATCCCTGTCTAAGGAATGAGGGTAGTTATGCTTTATGGAAATTTTTAATTTTTCTCATTACCAAATGAAATGGTCTATTGATAGAGGCCTAGTGTGCCATTGGAATGGAATACTTAGTTTACATAGATTAACATATTGTAATTGCTGGATTGATTCTCTTGCAGGGTTTTGACTCTGGGAGGAGGGCTGCCTTATTTGGAGCACCTAAATCTCTCTGGTTGTCTTACTGTAACTGGTGCAGGCCTGCAGGATTTGGTTTCAGCATGTCCTTCTCTAAATGATGAATACTTTTACTACTGTGACAACATTAACGGTAATGCTTTTTTATCAATGAGATAATTTTGAAGGAATTGATTTAAAAATTTTTAATAATGTGGATCTTTCTTAGGGTTTCTGTTTAGTTTTCTAGATTCTAATTCCCAAACTGTTTTATTTTCAGATTTAGTCCTTTATATTTGATAAAATTTTAAAAATCACATGTTTTCCTTAATTAGGTCCTCTAAAAGTAACTTGTTTTTACAGATATTTCAAATATCCATTCTGGCATATTTTTGAGATATGTAGTAGTTTAGTCATATAAAGTTTTGGGCACTTCTTCTAGAATGATATAGCACTCATTAACAATTTGGATGTATTGATGGTCTAGATATATTGACTTCTTAGGCATGATAGACAGTTTTCTAGTGGGACAAGTTTATAAAATGCAGTAGGAAAAGGACATTGGTAAAGTGAATTCCTCAGGGATCTATTCTCATAGTATTTTTAAGATTGATTCCTAAATCTACTTTTAAGAATCATCAGGTAAACACTTCTTAATTTTTGTTTTGATTTTTAAGCCTATCCCTACCCTGCAGTGGGCTTGTTCCCTATGCTTTTGCAAAATATAGTCAGTGCCCTTTTGAGCATTTGATGATATTCACTCGTAGAGACTAAAATTCCCAAAAGCATACAAAGCTGCTCTTCAAGTATTAGTAAACATTTCAACTTTCTGTATTTATAACTGGAAAAAATTTAGATGATTCAAATCTCCTATGCACCTGTCTTTTACACCATATACTGTTGTTTGAGCCTGTTTCGTCTTAAGATGATGGGAACATCAACTGAGTTTCTTTCAGGCAGAACAATGGACAGGAGCTAGGAAGGCTAGAGGAGTGGTCTCTTCTTTAATTACATACCAGTAGGTAGAGAAGTTAGTAAATCTGCTATTTTCCTTAAAATATATATGAAGAGACAGGAGATAGCAGCTCTCTTATTTCTGGAATTACATTGGTGATGCAGGAGATGACCTTTCATGTCTTGAAATAGCAACACTAAGTTGGAGCATTTCTTGACTCTTTGTTGCCATTGGTGTATAATCAAGGAATGGTAAAAATTTTAGTTGCAACCTGCCAAGTGTACAAAAACAAAGCATGATTGCTAAAGTGAAAGACTTGCCTCTTGTATGGATGCAGTGAGTTTGAGAAGGGAGATATTTTTTAAATGTACAGTTATGTTATTGTAGGTACAGTATTATACTTCCTAAAGTACATAGTATACTGTGAAATATAAAAACAATTATTTTTATAAGAAAAACATATGTATGTTGCACTTGAATTGTCCATAATGATTTCAGCATAGGTTATGCTTGTGGGAATAATCACAACCTAATTTATTATATTTATTTTTGGGTATGTAGAAGTTATGGGGTAGGGTAGATTGGTCTCGGTTCATTTTTATGATCTGCCTACTTGTTCCTTGTGTGTAATTTTATAAACTTTTTGAAATAATTTATATGATGGGATAAGATATTTAAAATCTTTTGCACTTTGTTAGGATGTTAAAATTCCTTTAATCTCAACTGGGTTTGAATATATACATTTTAAAGTGTTCTGAAGGAGCTGCTACATTCTTTGTTGAATTTTAGATTTTCTTTTTTTTTGATAAGTGAGTGGTAATTTTCAATAAATGAAATTTATTGAAGACATCTGACTTTGAAAAATGTGGAAGGAAATTAACAGTGCTTATATAATCTAATATTAAGTATCTTTTTACAGCTTCTTAAAAGGAGCATGATGTGGGGAAATTGAAACCTTTTAAAGATAATAGGGTGACTTGTCATGTTAACTTGTATTCCAGAATTCCAGCCAGCTGCTCTGAAGTAATCTTTTTCTTAAAAATTAGACATGGACAGCCTAGAAAGTGTTAGAATAAAGTTACATTGCATCCAGTATTGCAGGATGACACGATGGTCCAGTATCTTTCACTATAGCCCAACTTGTACAGTAAATAGTGACTGCTTAGGGGGCCTCTTTTTATTATTATTTTTATAATTTTTCAAAGTAGCTAATATGCTTATACATGATCTTAGAACAATAAGGAGCATACTTAGATGACAAATGTTTTAAATATTTGAGAGCAACATTTATGTTTTTTGTCAAAAGAAAGTTTACATAAATACCAGGTTACTAAGTAAAAGAAGTAAATACTAATAAATGATATTCATTATCTAAATAATAAGTGATGCATAAGACAGAACGATCTGTTTCAGAAACACAGGCAGAGATTTTGCAGAAGGTAATTTAGTAATCAAATATTTATTTTTTTAAAATACATTTTATTGATTTTTTTACAGAGAGGGAGAGGGATAGAGAGTTAGAAACATTGATGAGAGAGAAACATTGATCAGCTGCCTCCCACACACTCCCCACTGAGGATGTGCCCGCAACCAAGGTACATGCCCTTGACCGGAATCGAACCTGGAACCCTTCAGTCCGCAGGCCAACGCTCTATCCACTGAGCCAAACCAGTCAGGGCTAGTAATCAAATATTTAAACAATACCTACTGGGAGACAGACACTGTACTAAACATTGCTATAAAATGCCATTTTTTATTCTTCTGAATGATTCTTCATAACATTTAAATTTATTTGATTGATGAAGTTAAGATTTAAATATAAAAGAAGGCTTCTTAGCCATAATATTTAAAAGATGTCATTTAAGAAGTGTTAAATGGAAGTGTTGCATAGTTTTAGAACTCTGAACAATGACAGTAAATAAACTTTTTATACTGATTTGCATTTCAATATATGTGTAATTTATGAATTAAGATAGATTAGATTATAGTTTTGGAGATGACAGTCTCAGATGATTTGCTCTTATGTTTCTAATTTAAGTTAAAGAGGAATTAAAGGTAAGTGAAGGTAAGTGCAGATATAGAGTATAAGTAAGATATTTAATATCAAGGAAAAACAAATCATTCAATAAAAAGTTTGGGTAAATAACTACAGATAACATAACATAACATAACATATCTTAGTCATATTTTTTCCCAATGCTGCTGCACTTTTTCTGTTGTCCATTTATTCCCTTTCTGAACAGTCCTTCTGTGATCTTTAAAGGTCTTACTGTTAACATTGCTTACTATTTCCAGGCTTTGGAAATTGTTACTCTCCCATTTTCCTACAATATGAGACTAATCCAAGTTAAAGATGGTGGTTGTCTTCACTTATTTTTGCCCTAGGCCATCAACAGTGTACAGTCTCTTCATGGATGGCATCGCTTTGATGGATTGTTAGGACCAGACACCTGCTCTGTTATTGACCTTATGATGGGATTGCTGTTACTGTTACAGTTATTGTTTACATACCCATATGCTTCCTACCTTCACATTGAAAACACTGACATATTAATTCCCTCTGTTTACTCTAGTATTCACTTAGAATCCCACTGAAACACCGATATTCTAGTGAAAGTATTTGAGGGAGGGGCACATTTTACACCAGTGTGAGTGAGAACTTTGTTTTGTGATGAATAAGGAGAAGTTGACAATAGGATTGGATTACTGTCTAGCTAATTTTTTCTTTCACTACTATCCCTATTACCAATCCCGTAGCCTTTGAGAGCAAAGAGTGACCCAGCGTGGAGACAGGATGCTGGGCCCCTCTGTCTTTTGGGGTGGATGGTAAAAACCTGTGTGGTTTTTGGAAAGATAGGGATCTTTAGAATAGCTTCCCCAGTCCAATTAGCTCCTTTGAAGGCTCCCCTTTATTTCTCCCTTGAAAACCATAGCAGACCTCATTTTTCATTGCTTTCAGTCATTGCTTATGATGTTTTTTCTAGGCCACTGTTGAATTCACTCTAAAGGCATCGTGGTGAAGTATTTTAGGAAGAATTTTAGTTTGGAGAATTATATGAAGTTTCCATGTTTCTTTCCTCTTATTTCTCCTCTTTTAGAAATTTGGAGTAGAATTACATACTGAGAAAATGATAATCAGATATGTTTTTGCAAAACCCATCAGTTCAAGCATTTCATCACAAGTACTAAGTGTCAGAGCAGGACGATGGATTGGATCTTTTTTTTTTTTTTTAATATGTTTTTATTGATTTCAGAGAGAGGGGAGAGAGAGAAACATCAATGAGAGAGAAACTTCAATTGGTTGTCTCCACCCCCCTTGCAGGTATCCAGCCTGCAACCCAGGCATGTGCCCTAACCAGGGATTGGATCTTGAAGAAAGGCACTGGGTGATTGGTAGGCAGGGAAGTAACCAGACGAGGGTGAGGGTAGTGAGGCAAGACAAGAAGGGGTGGCATGGCGGGTTGGGTGGTGTTGAAAATAGAGAAGCTGAAAACGTATCAGCTTCTGGAAAACCAGGTCAAAGATTGACAGTGGGAGAAGGATTTCAAACTATAGGATTCCTTATCTGGGCATTTCTAATACCTGGTAATATGTACTAAGAAATTTGATTTTGGTTAAGATGACTAACCTTATGTCTTATTTTAAGGGAAGCTAATCCTAACAAAAATGCTACTTTGTGAATTGTAAATATTTGACACATTCAGCTTCTCATTTTAAAAATAGAACAGATTTTAATTTTGGTTAAATGAAAATGGGCTTGTGGTAATTCAGTTTTATATTTGAAATAATTTTAGATTTTAAGAAATTTTAGATTTAGAAAAATTTAAACCTATGAATATGGACTAATATAATGAGCATTTGTGTATCACTGACTTCAACAATTATAAAACTGTGCCCAATATCTTTCATATACAATGGTATATTTTTATACCTGCTCCCCATGCCCCAGGCACTACATCCATTCTAAAGTTAAACATAAGTGAAAGTAAATGAAATGATAAACCGTTGCAATTCCACATGTTTGTAAAGTTCATTACTTGTTTTTTTTTTTTTACTTAAAGATACTAGTACATTATCATTTCAATAGTCAAATATATGAACATTACTGGTATGCTTCATTGATTGTATATCCTAAGAAATTTGCCCTTTGTATTTTGTGTATGCCATTTCAGGGATACAAGGAAAAGTTAAATTCTGGGAAATAAGTGTGTGCTGCTTGTCCAGTTGCAAGTAGTTATTTTCTTAGGTTGGTATTAGCATACTGGCCATTCACAATAGGTTGCTCTTTTAAAAAACAAAACAAAACTAATTTAAAATATGTTTCTGGTTAAGCTAGTTGTCAATCCAGAGTACTGAAATATTTCAATTATAACCCTTTGACAAAGTCTATAATAAAATTACATTTCATGTACTTTTCCTATGATCCTTACATAGCACAATTGCAAATATTTTTGGTTCTGATTGATGATTAAAGAACTGTTAACTACTCTTTATTTGTTCATAGTGCAGATATACTGAAAGGCTTCAATATAATTAAGACCTGCTTTTCCACATTTTTCTGCCTTTATAAAACTGATTCATTCAAAGTAATTAACATTTGAATATGTGCCATGGTACCTCTTTTTGATATTTCCTAATTCACAGCTATGTTTCCTAATGGTCTTTTTATCTAGTGTCTGGATAGCATAATGTGACTGTGATAAAATGTCAGCTATACCACAAGTGTTTTACTGTTCTTTGTAATTGAATCACATTTTTTATGTGTTAATATGTTTATTTAGTTAACCACTCATTTTGTACTTAATTCTGGAAGATAATTTCACTTAACCCAATCATATGATTTATTTTGGCTGCAGATGTTAGATAAAAATATGACAAATATGTTAAGCCTATGTTTACACAGTTTTTAAAATTTTTGAATATAATCTTATATAATAAAGAGCTAATATGCTAATTAGACCAAACAGCAGAACGACTATCTGGATGACCTTCGGGCCCAGGCAGCCGCGGCTGCGAGGGCGAGCCCCTTGCACAAATTTTGTACATTGGGCCTCTAGTGTTTATTATAATTGTTTAATATTAGATTCTTTAGCTGATCTGTTACAGATAAGGCTGTGTTTGCCTTTATTATATTTCCTGGAAGGATGTTCAGAGTATAAGAAAGCTGTTAAGCTAGCCTATCAGCCTTGTCTGTGGGTTACTCTTTTTCTTCTTAGATTTTTATTTTGTAAGAATATTGACAAAATATTATTTTTCTTCTTTCCTTTAGCTTTTGGACCATGAAGGATACATTAATTAAAGTCAAACTATTGGCAATGTTTATGTCAGAATGAATTTTTATACACCTATTGTGAGATTTTACTTGTTATAAATGCATTGCTTGCTGGTAAAAAAAAAAATCAATGTTTTAAGCTTTCTCATAAAAGCTAGATTATTTTTATGTGATCCCTAAGAAATTCCTCCTTTCACACTTTTCTGTTTTTATACAGGTCCTCATGCTGATACCGCCAGCGGATGCCAGAATTTGCAGTGTGGTTTTCGAGCCTGCTGCCGCTCTGGCGAATGACCCTTGACTTCTGACCTTTGTCTACTTCATTTAGCTGAGCAGGCTTCCTTTCATGCACTTTACTTGTAGCACATTTCTTGTGTTAACCATCCTTTTTGAGTGTGACTTGTTTTGGCCTCATCCTTACAGCCTCAGAAATCTTAAAATTTACCAGTGAACTGTACAGTGTTGTTTCTCTTGCAAATCATATTTTTGTTTTAGAAAGGGATTAGGTCTTTTCATGAGGATGAGAACAGTTTTATCAGATTTCTTTTAAATTGAATGCTTGGAAAATAATGTCACTAATGCCTTGCCATTCAAAGTATTTTTTAGATTATTTTGAGTTTCAAAGTCAGTGGGGGTTATTGGTTCTCTTTCTATATAAACACTGTACCAAGCTTTGCCGATCTTTCAAACATACACTTCTGAAGTTTTATTTTCAAAGACAGCACTTTTTGGAAACCAACCTGTTTTCCATAATGTTTCCTTTATTTGAACAATTCTTAGAAGGCCAATTCAAACATACCCACATATAAGTTTCTTAAGTTTATAGAATAAATTGGCTTCTTGGCAGTTGCTCAGTGAGCTAGCAAAGCACCAATTTATTTGTATTTGCTTTCTTCAAAGAACCCCAGTTTCCACCACTGTTCCTAAATTGTCAAATTTGGGAGGGATTTTTAAAAATTCTACAATCATTTGAAGAAATGTATAAATAAAATCTACTTTGAGGACTTTACCAAGTGTCTTTTGTGTTTTGATTTCATTATAAACCTCAGTGCAGGTTTACTTGAAGGTAAAAGAGAACTAAGTATTTTAGCTCTCATGAAATCCTGACCTTGATAAGCAGTTTTAGACAGATACCTAATTTTGTTGAGCTGAATCGGTGTTTTTATTTTTAATTAATTATGCAGTAGTCAAAATTTGAATTGCTATGTGAAAAGGTAACGGGAGTGGAGACCTGCAATTCAGAAAGGTGCATGCGGAGTCCTTTTATATATCTAATGCTGTATGAAATCCTATGTCAAGAAGAGAAGAGTAGGCGGCATGCCATCAAAATACGTGCAAAGCTATGAAAGAGGAAATAGTCTTGCAGTCCTGTTTGTGGTCCCAGGTATTGTTTTATTGGGGGATAGGAGGTGTAGGAGAGAAACAAACTGTAGGAAGACAGGTTTCAGTTCAGGCTAAGAGAAAACTTTATCTTAGATAATGTTTTCTAAAGGTGAAAGAAGAATCATTTGATGGGCATACAAATAAGGAGAATTCACACATGCTTGTAAATTTCACTAACATTTGAATTAAATACCCGAGGGAAGATCAGCTCTAAAGGGTGGATATCTAATGACTCTCCGAAATTTTACCTTTCTTTCTTTAAGAGGTTTCTCATTTTGATTCCATTCCTGTTAACAATTGCAAAATAAATGATGGACCCACCTCTAGTTACTTGCTGGGCAGCTTAGTGTAAGGTGACCATCTTTCTTTTTGAGTTTGTAGCTCAAACTTAAGTAGTTACGTGGTACTGCTTATGCCTTGCTTTGTCCTTTAGTCTGGCCTAAGCTACTTCTTGATTCCCTTAGAGGACTTGAAATCTGAGCTTATTGAACAGTTACAGGGTCCGAAGTTTTATTTTGTAAGGTTGACTTTTATAGTTACTATATTTTTATTTCTCTAAATGTTTAATAAAATTTATTTGAATAGTTGACATCAGGGACTATTTCAAGAAAACAGACTACAAGAATTTTTCTTCAGTAAGTGCCATCCAACCCTGTACTTGGACTTATCTGTAGTTATATGAACTGCATGGTAAAATTACTCATCTATAACCATGCTCTGGGTCACCAAGATAGCACTAAAGTTTCTCTCCCATATAAGCAGAAGACAGTATACTGTTTTTTGGGGGGTGGGGGGTGGGGGGGGGAGAGAATTATGAGAAATAGTTAAAATCATGATTAAATGGTGTTGCAGGACTTGGCTCTAATTGTTATCCTTTTAAATTAATTAATTTGAGCAGCTAATTTCCCCAGGGGTCCAGGTAATTGAGGTGCCTCCCTTTTGCTTTGGCCTATGTTGCTTGATGTTAGCAAACCATTCAGTAGGACTTGGCAAGCTTGAACCGAACTGACTTCAAGTCAGCACTAGTCATGTGGGAACTGTTTTTCTACTGTCCACCTTCCCTCCAATTGCATGGGGAGATAGCAGTCTGCATTTAATTTTTATACATTGTCACTGTTGCATAATTAACTTAAGGGGATGGTTAATAATGATACACTATATACACTTGGTTTAAATTTATCTTGGGTTTTATGAATGATTTCATGAACTATTGAAACTTCATTCTTAGAATACAATGTAAAGTACCTTGTGGTTTCTGACAAACATCAGGCTCAGTGCTGGGCAGTGCCCTAAGGACAGTTGACCCTTGAGCATCTTGGGTTTCAACTGCAGGGGTCTACTTATACATGGATTGTTTTCAATAAATTCCTCTACTATTTTTGATCCCCATTTGGGAGTCTATGGATGCCAATTGTGCATTGATGTACCCCATTTTGTATAGGGGACTTGAGCATTTGGACTTACGTGTTTGTGGGGTAGTCCTCAAACCAATCCCCCAGGAATACCGAGAAACAACTAAGGTTTTTGGAAGTCAAGGGTTTTCTTACTCAGCTGTGAACACTCAGCACTACCAACAGGCAGTAAGAGAAGATATACTGTCTATTAATGAGGACTTTTCTTAGCAATGAAAAACAATTAGGATAAAATCATACCCTTTTAAGAAATTGCAAGTCTTAATTTTTAAAACTACTTCCCTTTTGTTAAATATTTAAAAATATTCCCCTTTCTCCCATAAGATACTATATTACTTTAACCACTGGGTGTATGTGTGTGTGTGTATGTGCATGTGTCTAGTTGCTCAGTATTTCTGTAGGGTATGGTCTTACAATGTATTCAGCGTTAAAAATAATATATTGCAATGTTGTTCCTCCTTCCATCAGGAAAGTTGTGTTGTTTTACTGGGTCTTAAAAGTATGATTGATAGTCTCTTGGACAGGCAAAGAAGGGCAAGTAGGAGGTGAGCAAGCACAAAAGCATGGTGGTCTGAAGCTCACAGTGTAAGGGGGGAACTGTGATATGTGCCATGCCAGCATGGCAAAGGGTGAACATGAGGAGGGGTGGTGAAGGATTAAAGAAGACAGACAAAGAGAATATAGCTGGGGCTTGGCAGATCTCCCATGCCTGGATGAGGACACAGAAAAGATCCAGCTGGCGAGCTGAGGCTTTATTTTATAGTCAGAGATAAACAAGGTCAACATAGTTACAATGTTCTTGTGAGTTTCACTTATTTTGGCAGTACTTGCTGTATCTCCCACAGCCCATTAGCTACCTAGGAAGGATCTAGGGAGCGCTATAAGGTCAAGTTTATGCTAGGAGAGCTCTTCCCTCTAAGCTGGGACTTGTTTGTGGCTCTGCCACAGGTCAATCCGAGGCTTAACTCTATAGCCACTCCCTACAGTGATAGTTACTGAATTTAGAGTCAAAGTGTCAGAGACAAGGCTGACTAATGAATAACACTTTTTGGGGGGTACAGTTTAAATTTTTTATTTCATTTGCAAATTATATTTTCTTCTGATGTGATTGAACAATATCAGTTAAAAATATTCTCATATCCTAATTACAGTTTTACATGATATAAAAAGTATACAATTAAAAAATTACCTGTTACGTATAAGGGAGGCAACATAGATCCAAACAGACAAAACATTTCTGGGATATGGGTGGATATATACAGCTAAAGCAAATTCAACATTAGGAACATCAATATTATGCACTCCAGTGCTATACACAGCTTCAATTAAAGGCTTCAGTTCAGAATAGGGCATGTGAAGAGGAAATCCGGAGAACTGAAGGGAAAAAACAAGGTTTGTACACATTAGTGAAGTTTAAAGATTTTATTTTTTTTCCCTCTTAATATGCAATTCTTAATATTCTTAATAAGAAGTCTTCCTCTGGATCACAAAGTCATTTATTTCTGTCTTTCTGTTCAGCTATATATTAGCACCAGAGAAAACGGAGTGGGGCTAAATGTATTTTTTGTTGTGAGTTGCTAGCATGTTGACTTGGTATATAACACACCTATTGGTCACCCTCTGCTGTTCCCTTCCCTCTTCCTGATATCCCCTGGTTTGCCCAGTAACCCATGCAATTCCAGGGGCCCAGGTTAAGCTAATCACTGCATTCCATCCCCCTGGCCACAGTGATTCTCTGAGTGGTCAATCAGTGACTCTCCACGTGAGTTTTAGGAAACTTGCCAGGAATACTGGCCCTCAAACGCACTCTCCTGCTTTGTCAGTATATGTGCATGTTGTCAATAGGTGTGAGCCCTGCCTGGAACTTTCCAACCAAGTGCTCCCATGAGAAAAGCCAGCTTGAGGATGATGCCATCACAGGGAGGAGGACTCTTCTACTTAAATAAGCCAATAACTTATTTTTATTGCCAAATGATGCTTGAAGTAAGTTTTCTGTTACTTGAGAACATCTGACTGAAAACCTGGCCTTAAAAGTTAAAGGATATGTTAAAGTCAGTGACTAGAATTAAACGTCCAGCTTCACCCTGTGTGTCCAGCAAGGCATACTGCCTCCATTTGAGACTGCTTGCTAGTTTTTCTTACTCAGCTGTGAACACTCAGCACTACCAACTGGCAGTAGAGAAGATAAATTGTCTATTAATGAGGACTTTCATTAGCAATGAAAAACAATTAGGATAAAATCATACCGTTTTAAGAAACCTGATTGAGAGTGGTTGGTTTCACCTTTAATGCATAGTTGAGTCTAACATGAACTAGCCAGATGATTTCATTTTATTTTGCTGGCAATGTATTTTATGTTATTTTTTATAGGATCATCTTATAAAATGGTATTTTTTATTTGAAAAGTATTCTGCTACTTAATGATAGGTTACTGAGATTTGAACTGTTAATGATATTTTTTAGTCTGTGCTACTTCATATACTTTGTAGAGCAATGTAGGATTTTTTTTTTTTTTACTTTTCAATTCTAGTCTACATTTAATACCATTCTGTACCAGCTCCAGATGCACAGTAAAGTGGTCAGAAAATGCACCCCACAGTGGTCCCTCCACTTCCCCAAGCACCCACCTGGCCCCATGCCCATTTATCTCTACCTATGAACCAGGAGGTCACTGTTTGATTCCAGGCCAGAGCACATGCCCTGGTTGCAGTTGTGGTCCCAGTAGGGGGCATGCTGGAGGCAGCCATCAATGATTCTCATCATTAATGTTTGTATCTCTCTCTCCCTCTCCCTTTCTCCCTGAAATTAAAAAAAAAAAAAAAAATGTCCCACAGCTGTTTGTCCACTCATCTGATGGGCCATTGTAGGAATTTTGATGACAAAAACCTGTTAAGGAGCAATTTCCCATTTGAAACCGGGGAATCCACAGGCTCAGTTGAGAACTGTGTGCTTACCCTGTAGTCCCCCAGCTGTCTCAGCAGCTCCGCTCTGTGGTCCTCTTCTGCTTCCTCCCCTCGGCTGCTTTCCAACAGAGGCAGGAAGTGGCGCAGCGTGGAGGTGCAGTACCTGTTCCACCGTGTCAGATGCCGTGGCCTCCAGTCCATGACTTTTTCTTTTAGTATTTTTTCAATCCTGTTTATAAAACATAAACTTCATTTTTTTTTTTTTTTTTTTTTTTTTTTTGCTGATTTGACTTTTCCGTTTTAGACAAAAATCCAGTTTGCACGCAGTGGGGATTCAGGTGATTACATAATCACATTTTTGTAGGTGGAGTTGTTCACTAGGAGTAGTTGGTGCCTAATAGGGGCTAATCCCTGAGGATTCAGAAATTAAAACCAGTGATCCTTGCCCTTACGGGTCGTATATGGTTGGGATGGGGAGTAGACTTTGGGATGATATTCTAAGGGCCATAACAGATGCTTGAACCGGAACACAAAAAAGGGAGCACTGACTAAGGGGGACAGCTAAATTCAGTACAGTCAGCGAAAGATTTTTCATGCAGTGTTCTATCACTTCGTTCATTGGTAACGTATGTACAAACAACTTAGACCTAGGCATAAGGGGTGGGGTTTATGCTGAGAGCTTCAAGTAGGCTGTGTATGCCCCATATTGATTGCTTCCCAGTGCCTTCAAGTCATGAGGTTTATTTTTCTAAACTGCCTTAAAACTGCCTTTAAAATACCCATCATCATTGCAACTTAAGTTTCATACCCTTTTTATAGTTAACTAGAGGCCCGGTGCATGAAATTCGTGCATGGGGTGGGGTCCCTTCAGCCCGACCTGCACCCTCTCCAATCCGGGACCCCTCGGGGGATGTCCGGATGACTGGCAGTTGGACATCCCTCTTGCAATCTGGGATCACTGGCCCCTAACTGCTCACCTGCCTGCCTGATAACCCCTAACCACTCTGCCTGCCTGCCTGATCGCCCCTAACCTCTCTGCCTGACTGCCTGACCGCACCTAACCGCCTCTGCCTGCCAGCCTGGCTGCCCCTAACTGCCCTCCCTGCTGCCCTGATCACCCCTAACCACCTCTGCCTCGGCCCCTGCTACCATGGCTTTGTCCGGAAGGATGTCCAGATGGATGTCTGGTCTAATTAGTATATTACCCTTTTATTAGTATAGATGTGATGGATATTGGGTTCAAAGGATGTGAAGCTTAAACACAGAATGAAAGAAAATAGCTACCACTTGTAAATCCCTTATTCACTAGATACTGTGCTAGTGCATTTTATACATTTTTATGTACTCCTAACAATAACCCTATGAGGGAGGGCAATACTGTCACAATCTTACCTATGAGGGATCAATGAGATAGGATAAAGGAGGATGATGGCAGGGGAGCTGGGATTTGAGTTGAGGCCTCGCCAGTTCTAAAGTCCCTTGTGCTCCCCTAACCAGACACAGGTGTGAGGACCCTGCTGGCTTCCTGCTGCTCAGAACTCTGGGATCCCTTTCTATTTTGGCACAAAACACGACCTCTAGGTTGGGTTTCAAGATGGTCTGAGCAAGAACTGCCTTGTACTTCTCATCAATCCTGCAGAAACAGATGGTGGGAGGCTAATCTGCAGTACCCTGAAGCTATTAGAAGAGATAAGGAACTTCTTGGCACTTAGCTGTTCTATGTGGGGATCCCAAACAAGACTTTATCTAAATTTGAACTTGAGAGTGAATTGGTGTTTTCTAGTAGTAATACCTGAAACCAGGCCACGTTTAGTCTTGTGTGATTTGACATGCTGCTGCTCAGAGCTTGATACATAGAAAGGGCACACAGGCTTTGAAGTCAGAACATCTGGCAGATCTCTAGCCCCCTGAACACTTAACAGCATGTGGACCTCTCTGAGCCTCAGTTTCCACATTTGTGAAACTGAGAGAGTATGTTCTATTTTGCATGATTATAAGGATTATAGGGACTCAAATAGGTTCTTACAGGCCATGATTTAGGTTTATAAACTGGTTGAAGTTCAGTAAGCCACTAATTGGACAAAAGAGGCATGTAAACTGGGGATTATGATCTGTCTGAACAAGACCCATAACGACATGATGTTGAACTCTAATCTGAGGCTGAATTTTGGAGGCCTGCCTAGCGTCCCGGAGTTCACTTCTGTTTGTCCCACACCATGCTGATGCTAAAGCCTCCTTTGAGCCAGGGGATTTAGAGATCACATCTGTACTTGGGGTCTATAAACAGGGATTACAATGTAATTGCCCAAATTATTTCACATGGCCCCAGGCTGAGGATCATCTAGTTTGGGATTACACGCCCAGGGACAGAGTGCATGTGAATGTACGGCACCACGTGACCTGTCCTGTAGCTCGGCTGCGGCCGCCTTGTCTGTGCGTTGGTAAACAAGCTCTTCCGGCTGTAAAAGATAAAGTTCAGAAATTCTAGAAATCTTGTACACCTAATTTGAATACTCCATATCCTTTTCTAACTCCTTTTTTTAAAAAAATTATAAAATCTTAGACAATCAATCAGATAGAGCATAACCAATGCCAATGTATGCATGGCCCATCTTAAGTAAAGCATCACCAATAAATGATCGTTCATCCTCAGTTTCTTTTCTCTCTCATCACAGAACTAACCATGACTTGAAATTTGTTTTCTAACACTTTCATTCCACATACTTAAAGTACCTACTGTGTGTTAGGCACTTTTGTAGGTGATGGGCATATAGCTGTGAATAAACATTTCTGTCCCCACGATATTTATATAGTAGAGATAGGCAAGTTAATAAAATGTGTGCATGATTTTACTACAGACATACAGATCCCTAAATTAGATATTGTATTGTTTTGCATGGCTTTTAAACTATGTGATAATTTTATGCTGTGAGTATGCAACTTGCTTCTTCTCTCTCAACATAATATTTAGTAATAATAGCAAACACACATTTTTAGAATGCTTACTAAAATTAATATTGATTCATTTGTGTAACAATGATAAACTATTCCATTGTGTACCATAATTTATCTTTATGCTGTTCCAATTCTTAGGCTATTGCAAACATTGCTTCTATGAAAAGTCTTGTGTATGTCACTTGGTACACATGGGAGAATTTCTCAAGGCAGGGTTTATTAAATCTTTTTTTTAAAGGTTTGATCACAGTAAAAAATACATTTGCTGTTATATACCCAGTATACACATACATACCTAGCTCTCAAACAAAAGTGGTGGTAAACAATTCTCATGCTTACTACTTGCAGTCTATTACCAGGACCCTTCTTTATTAACTTTGTGAGTGGATCATGCTATGAAATTAATTTAGTGCATTGACAACAGAATATTAAAAATTACATAGAATAACTTTTGTGATACTCTCTTATGTCACAAGACTCCTTACATCAAAATGTTTTCTTTCACATAAGTGTATACTGGTTCATGACATGATGGTATATATCTTATTTTGAGTTGGGCTCAACTAAGTTTGTAAAAGAAATATTATTTTAGAAAAAAATATCTAGGAGTCAAATTAAGGGTAAAAAAGTATCTGGCTACCTAGTATAGTGACTTCAAATTTTTCACTTTCTTTGTCTACATTTGATTGTTATTAAAAGAATTATACCTGAACACTGGAAAGGCCAGGGTATGGAAGACTTCTTGAAAAGAAAGATTTCCATAGCTTGGGCTTGGTGACATCAAAATTTACCCTTAGTGGGGAATCATACCGCTGAATATTAAACCAAATCTAAAAAAGACAAGATCACCATTAATACATGCACACACATGCACACAATGTATGTGTGCATGTATGTACAGAGAGGCAGATCCCCGCTTTATACAGTACCCTCCAAAATTAAATGGCTCTCAAACTGGGCGCAGCCAGAATCACCTGATAGTACCTGGAAACCTCTCTTAGAAAAAGAAAGAAACTCAATTTTCTCAGATGATAAAGCAAAGCACTAAGAGTTAGGCATTGTGAGTTCTGTTTTGGAAGAGTACACAGAAAAGGGCTGGGACACAAGCTCGGCTCTTCTGAACCGAACCCTATATTACTCCTTTAACATCCTGCTTCTCTGCAGGTCAGGTGACTGATTCAACCAAAACTTGTATTTAAGACAGTTATGTAACTGTGCTTGACACTACATTTCTTTAAATGGTATATATGTAGTCCTGGCTGGGTGGTTCAATTAGTTGTAGCAACATCCTGTACACTGAAAGGTTATGGGCTCGATTCCCAATTGGAGTGCATATGGGAGGCAACTGATCAATGTCTCTCTCTCTCTCTCTCTCTCTCTCTCTCTCTCTCTCTCTCTCTCCCCCCCACTCCCTCTCTCTCTAAAATCAATAAACATCCTCAGATGAGGATTAAATAAAGGTAAATGTGTATGTTTATATAAATTTAGATACATAATATTTAAGTAAGTAGGTCAATTAAAAAAATAAAGCAACAGTCAGCCAAATGTGTTTAAGAAGAGATGTTAATACTTACATTATCAGGACCTATTAAACAGCCCACACTTTTTAGGGGACAGAATGTATCAAATTGTCCATAAAAATGTCCACTGCAGGGGTTCCATATTAAGTAGTGGCTTTGCTCCCGAGTTAGCACATAGGCAGTTGGGCCCTAAAGGAAAACAGCCGTTAAAAGAGTGCACTAATTATGCAATTAAGGTTGAGAGTACTTCCTACAAATAATTTATTATATCTAAAATCCATGGCTAATGGTAAAAATTAGTTTGAAGTTCTAGGTTTCACTGGATTTAAGAAATAATATGGATGCATATTTTTGCAGAATTCTTGCACCTGTTACTAGTGCAATGTTGTGAACAAATAGAGTATTAGTTGTGTTGCTCAACCAGTATAGCTTTAGATTGGCTGAATAACCAGTATTCATGGAAATAAGCACTCACGGCATTTTCCTTTTAGTCAGTAAGATTGCCTTTCAAGTATTTAGAAGGCTGATCATTCTGAATACTACTTCTCTTTCTAATACATTAAGTAACATTAGATACACATTTATAATTATATAAATACAAAAAGGTAATTTGACAAGATAAGTATGAAACCTTTAACAGTGACTACACTGAAGAAGGTGTGGGGTTGGGGGTTGGAGCCTGGAACACATCTCTATTACTGAATTTTTTTTTACAATGAGCATCTATTCATTTTTAGCTCATGTATGGTTTCCTTTCATGCTCACAGTTTCCTTATACAGCTCAGAGTTGTGAAGTGACTTGCTGAGAGCCACACAGCCAGGAGGAGTGCAGAGCCTCGAAGCCAGGCCCTGCGACTTCCCAGCCCAGGGCCAGGCTATCTTATCTGGAAGATACTGACGGGGAATGGTTAGGATTCAGACACGATGCTACCTGCCCAGCAGCAACCTGTGCTATCGAATTCCTAAAGGACTCCCAAGACCTCAGAGCTTCTTTTTGAAACATGTTTTGGATAAACTGCTTTAATCCCTGTGAATTTCCTAAACTTGTACCCAGAATTACCCCAGTGTGCTCTGAGTGTAGGGATATTTGCAGTGGACTGGGGAAACAAATTATAATCACGAAGTCTCCAGTCTAATAAAAACAACAACAATATCAAAATATAGCTGCTCACGTTCTTTGCTCCTGTGGTCCCTGCCTTGCTCCCTTTGCCTGTGGGTAGTAGCAGATGCCTGTAGAAGCAGCAAGAGTGGAAGGAGAGGTCTCTAACCTGGCCACACGCTGATCCCCTTTCCTCTCAGCGTGGGTAACACCGGGTCACCAGGGGAGTCAGAATTCTTAGTAACAAGGGCAGGAGAGGCTCATACTCAAAGGGCAGAGCTTGGTGGGGCTTTGCGTGGGAAAGGATGCAGATTTGCCAAAAAAATCTGAAGTCTTGTGTAGGGCCTGGTACTCGGTACGGCTGAAAACCATTTTGTGTCTTATCACTGGTCCCCTCTGCCTATTAGGGAATTTCTGGGCCACTTTCCTTACAACTCAAAAGACAGTGATGAGAATCAGCCCTGTTTATGATCTGGAACTTAGCAACCCTGTTAGACAACGCCACGCCTCTGTCAGAGCCAGCCCACCGGTCTTACCTCGGGAATGGCATTGCCCATCATGAGCCAGGCCTTTTTCCCCAGGGAGAGAAAATAGTTGCATAGTAATACTGCATGTTCTTCTTCATCTCCTGCCAGGAGATCCAGGAATTGCTGACAAAAAGAAAAAAAAATCATGTTGCCTTGACTGACTGCTTTATTCTGGATTGGCTGTGCAGGGTTTTAAAACACCATTGTTAAAATGAGTGCTTTGCAGTATATGACCTGTTTTTTAAAATCTATTCTCAAATTTTGGTATCATGTTTAAATTCATTTTTTTGAAAAAAGCACTTTTCGCGGGCAGGGTGCTTTCTCAGACATTAATGACATGAATTTCTAGAACCAATTAGCATTATGGGGCGAGGGAGACAAATCTCAAGGTTTTCCATTTCATTTTGAATTCATATGTGACAACTCACTGTGTACCAAACACTTTTTAAAAATATATACATTTTTATTGACTTCAGAGAGGAACGGAGAGAGAGATAGAAACATCAAAGATGAGAGAGAATCACTCCTCATCATTGGCTGCCTCCTGCACACCCCCCACTTGGGGATTGAGCCCGCAAGCTGGGCATGTTCCCTTGACCGGAATCGAACCTGGGACCCCTCAATCCGCAGGCCGACACTCTATCCACTGAGCCAAACCAGCTAGGGCCCAAACACTCTTTTTTAAAGCCTGTTTTTTAGAGCAGTTCTAGGTGCACAGCGAAGTCAGAAGGAAGATACAGAAATTCCCCATATGACCCCTGACCCCCCACATGCACAGTCTCCCCATCAACATCCCCCCAGCGGAGAGGTACATTTGTTACAACTGATGATCCTGCATTGAAACATCATAATCACCCAGAGTCCATCGTTTACTTGAGGGTTCACGCTTGGTGTTGTACAGTCTGTGGGTTTGGACAAATGTATAATGACATGCATCCGCACTATAATGCCGCACAGAGCATTTTCGCTCCCTATAAATCCTCTGTGCTCCACTAACTCATATGTGTCTCCCCACCTGCCCCCAGAGAGTTTTAAACACATTGCATTTAATCCCAGAGCAAACCTTTGCGGGGAAGTGGGGACAGAGAGAGGTGAGGTAATACCTAGGAGGTGGGAAAGCAGTCGGCTCTGGGGCACATGGACTAGTTCCTGCATATCTTCGTATAGACGCCTCCAGGTTGTGGAAATTTTTATCTCTCCAGTTGTCAGCATTATGTTGCCAAAATGTATTGGGGAACAAAAAATTTTAAGTGCACTTCAATTTCTTTGGCTTAGTGCTATCCTTCAAAGGGCGTTGCATAATCTAGTTTACTTTTATGCAAATACAACCCGAAATGTAGAAACAGAATGAATACCAGCGGTACATGTTTGTTTACCCTCCAGAAGATCCCGTTGGAAGTTAGTGGCACACAGACTGTAAGCTTGTGAGAGCAGACGCCACGCTTCTTTTGCTTGTAGCCAGAGCTTAGTACAGTGTCTGATACCTGGTAGGTGGCCCAGAAATGCATGCTGAACGAAGAATGACATGGCATGCCTTAAGAAGCCCACAAGTGAAGGAATATACAATTCCAAATGTAACAGAGGCTGTAGCTGTTATTTTTAATGAATAAAACTGGGATGTTGATAAGGCAATACTTGGAGGATAAATCAGAGTTAAGGCATCTGAAGTGTGTTTTTTTTTTAAATTTCTTTGTTCAAATAAAAAAAATAGTGAATTTTTGATCTTTGGGCAGATTAATCCAGAAAGAAAAACTACTTCAGAATTCAGCCCATCCTGGAAACAGGCGACAGTAGATTTTGATAATGACTAATGAATGTGGCAATTGAAAGTCATGCAAGGCATTTAGCCAATAGTCGGAGGAGTCAGCTCCAACCGTAAGCTGTGAGGAAGAAGGACTTACATCAGACGTGCTCCACAGGTCACAGATGCCCGCGAACGAAACAGCGTCCGGCAGGAAGGGAATCAGTGACACGTACCGAGCCACCAGCTCCTGTTTAAACAAAACTAGCTTTAAACAATTATTTCTATCAAATAGAAGGCCGGATCCTGTGCCTCATTGTCTGCAAGAAAGTTTCATATATCACAAACGCTTGTGTGCACAAAACGCAACGAATGCTCATGCTCGCCGAGGGCTTCCCCTCTCCAAACATCCTATGAAGAAGGTCCTTGCTATTATCCATTTGTTACAGATGAAGAAACTGGCCCCTCTGTCTCTTTGAAATGTCGTTGTCATCCCCCCCTCGCCCTCCCCCCTACCCCCCACCCCCCCTTACATTCTTCCTTACTCTCTGCTAAAAAGAGGCTTTCTGGGATCATCTTGTATTTTTCTAGCTCAGTCCTGAAAGCAGCCATTTCTCCTTTAAAAGGGCAATAGCATTTAGAAACCAAGGTCAGGGCACCTTTGTTTTAACTCAGATTCATGTAATTTCTAAGAAGGTTGAGCATCTTTTCATATGGCCTCTCATGTTTTCACTTCTGCATATTTCTGTTGTTGTTTTGTTAATCCTCACCCAGGATATTTGTCCATTGATTTTTAGAGAGATAGGAAAAGAAGGAGAGAGACAGAGAGAAATATTGATGTGAGAGAGACACACATCAATTGGTTGCCTCCCATATGCACCCTGACCAGGGCTGGGGATCAAGCCCCAACTGGTAGGTGTCTTTGACTGGAATTGAACCCGGGACCCTTCAGTCCACAGGCTGACACTCTATCCACTGAGCCAAACCAGCTAGGGCCACTTCTGCATATTTTTAATTGATTTGTAGGTTTGTTTGTTTTTAACATATTCTAGCTACTATTCCTTTGTCTGTTATACATGTTGCAAATATCCCCTCCTGATCTGTGACTTGTCCTTTCAGTTTTTTACGGTGCCTTTTCATAAACTCAAGTTCTCAGTTTTAATGTGGTCAAATTTACCATTCTTTTTATAGTTTGTACTTTTCTGTTTTGTTGAAGAAAAACTTTCTATCTCAGATCATAAAGATGAAAATGCTTCTCATATTTGAGTCCTCAATCTATCTGCAACTGAATGACGTGAAGCAGGAATCTGTTTTTATTTTTTCATATGAAAAATCAGTGATCCTGGTACAATCGATGTAACAGTCCATTTTTTCTTTATTCCTCTCCAGTGCCAGCTTGGTCACGTATCAGGTGTGAGTGGGTCATATTTGAGTGGATCTAGTCTGGAGTTTTTATTCTCTCTTAATTTTCTCTTTGTTCTAAATGTGTCAATACCATTTCCCCTCAATCACTCTGGTCTCATCAGCAGTCTAGATGTGCGGGATCACAAATCTTTCTTGTCTTTTTCCTCTTAAGAACATAAGTTTATTTTGTCATTAGATTCATTTAAATGAAGATGCAAATCTTCCCACTGAGTTCTTGCTCTGCAGGGTTGTCTTGGCTATTTTGACACTTTGCACTCCGTAGAAATATTAGAATCAGCATATCAAGTCCCACTAAAAACTGGAAATCTATTTTAACAGTTTATGTCTTTTAACTGGAAAGTTAATCCCTTAGCTTTGATTGTGATTATTGGCAAATATTTAGACTATTTTTTTTACTACCTTATTCTGTGCTTTTTATTTCTTACACTTTTTCTATATATTTCCTCTCCCCACTCTCTTTACCCTATTTCATTATTTTTTTTTTCCTGCTGCTATTTTGGAAGTTATAGTATTCACTTTTCTTATTCTTTTAAGTGGTTAACATAGAAATATCAACATGAAAGTTTCACTTGAATTCAAAAATTAATAAATATATTTGTCCTCATCTTGGAATATATAAGGGTGTTACTTTTGTGATAGCTTGGATGGTCCTGGAGAGTATTATGCTAAGTGAAATAAACCAGTCAGAGAAAGACAAGCACAATATGCTCTCACTTATATGTTGAATCTAATGAACAAAATACACTGACGAACAAAATAGAACCAGAGGCATGAATACATGAAACAGACTGATAGCAGCTGTGAGAGGGGAGGGGCATTGGGGGGCTGTGTGAAAAAGCTCAAAGCATTAAGAAAACAAAAAACAAAAAATAGACAACAAACAGTAACATGATGGCTAGAGGGAAAGAGAGGTAGAAGAGGGTAAAGGGGGGATAAATTAAAAAAATAAAATATTTTTATCAATCCTGTCTTGACATATATGCATTATTTTCAGGACTTTTGTTCTATCCTGATATTTCACCCACATTGCTATTACGATTGCTATGAAAACAATGTCTTTTTAAAAATTTTCCTTTCTTTTTTTCTTACCTAGCATTATATGGTTCATCTAGAATTTCTGAGAACCTTTGTTCTCTTTGAAGTATATATTTTAAGGAATTCCCTAAGTGAGGGTTTTTTGGCTGTAAATTCTCCCAATGTTTGTGTGAAAGATAGTTTCACTGGCTATAAATTACTAGAGGCACGGTGCACGAAATTCGTGCACTGGGAGAAGGGGGTCCCTCAGCCCGGCCTGCACCCTCTCATAGTCCGGGTGCCCTCAGGGGATATCCAACTGACAGCTTAGGCCCGCTCCCTGCAGGACATCCTTAGCGCTGCTGCGGAGGCGGGAGAGGCTCCTGCCACCACCACTGTGCTTGCCAGCCATGAGCCTGGCTCAGGGCTTCTGGCTGAGAGGTGCACTGACCACCAGGGGGCAGCTCCTGGGTTGAGCGTCTGCCCCCCGGTGGTCAGTGCACATCATAGCGATCGGTCATTCTGCCATTCAGTCAATTTGCATATTAGCCTTTTATTATATAAGATTAGTTTGATGGCTATTTTTTCAGTTGTTTTGAAGATATTATTCCTGTTCTGGTTTTCATTTTTGCCTCTCAGAAGTCTATTGGTCTAACCACTTTCTTTTGTAGATTATCTTTTCTCTTGAGCTGCTTTTAAGGTCTTCCTTGTCTGTGTAGTTCCCTCTGATATGACTAGATTTTCATCTCTTTTTACTTATCTTACTCAGGATTCATTGGGCTTCCTGAATTAGATTGTTGTCTTTCATCAAATCTTGAAAATTTTCAGCTCTTTTTCTTTGAATATTGCTTTTTTCCTTTTATACATAATTTGGTTCTCCTTCCTCTGCCATCTATGTCTCCTAACCTTTATATTTTCCATTTTAAAAAATCTCTGTGCTATATACCAAATAATTTCTTTGCATGTGTACTCTAATTCACTAATTCTCTCTGTATTTAGTTGTATGTTTCTTAACTCTATATTTAACTCCATTTAATGTTGTGTTTAACCTGTTTAATTTCTAATGTTTACTATACAGTCTTATTTCTACAAGTGTACTTTTAACATCTGACTGCCAATTTTGATAGTCTATTGTTCTTTACAAAAATATTTTTTTAATATATTTTATTGATTTTTTTTTTTACAGAGAGGAAGGGAGAGGGATAGAGAGTTAGAAACGTCAGTGAGCAAGAAACATCAATCAGCTAATCAGCTACCTCCTGCATACCCCCTACTGGGGATGTGCCCACAACCAAGGTACATGGCTTTGACTGGAATCGAACCTGGGACCCTTCAGTCTGCAGGCCAACGCTCTATCCACTGAGCCAATCGGTTAGGGCTACAAAAATATTTGTGTTGATTTTTAGAGAAAGAGGGAGAGAGAGAGGGAAAAAAAACCCAAATCGTCAATGTGAGAATGTAACATTGATTGGCTGCCTCCTTCATGTCCCCTACTGGGGATCGAGCCCACAACAGGGGCATGTGTCCAGACTGGGAATCGAACTGGCAACCTTTCAGTGCACAGGATGCCACCCAACCAATTGAGCCACACCTGCCAGGGCAATAGTCTATAGTTCTTTTGTTATGTATTCAATCCCCTAGACTTCTGAAACTTATTAAACATACCCATTTTATATTCTGAATCTGATCATTACAATCTCTTCAGTGCTTATGGCCCGATTCTACAGTCTGTTTCTGTTAACTCTTCCCTTCCTCATGGTGACTTATTTCTCCACTGAGGCTCTTTTATATGTTCATGTTGCTTGGAACTTTTTCTGTGGAATTTTTTTGAGGCTGAGCTTAAAGGGTGTTTTTCTAGAAGGATTTGTGTTGCTTCTGACAGATCTAGGGGTACTACCAACAGGGTGTACTTTCCTTTAAATTTTCAGTTGGAGTTTTTCTGGGTCTTACTGGTTGTGTAAATTCCAGCACTGAATGTGAATAAATACAGCTTTGTGATTAGGAATTCCTAGGGGGAGACGTTCCTTGTTTTCTCTTCTGTCCAGAGTCAAGGCTGAGTCAGACAGGCTTCCTCCTGCAGGGCAGGGTAGCTCCTAGTTCACATTGGTGTCACCTATCAAGGGTTCTAATTGTAGTGGAGCCTCTCCTTCAGCCTTCGGCCTGCTCACCCCCCCCCCCTCCCCCCAACAGCCTTGTGGCTCATGAAAACCCAGCTCTAGGCACCGGGAATTATTTGATGCCCTCAGGGCAAACACTATTTCAAGCCCTCACCCTTGTGGAATCTTGCTCTCTTGCTGTTTCCTGTCTCTTCCTATTTCAGCTATGATTTTAAAAACGTTTTCAATATTTAATTCATCACTCTTAAATGTTCTATGCTGGGAGAAGTTTTCTTCCTACTCTACTATACTAGAGACAATAGAAGTCCCTTTATAGTTTTCAATAAAAGTCGATTAATAAAAAAAGTAAATGAAATGTGGAATACAAAGGTTTTTTTGTCTATTTATATCTGCAAATAGATATCTCATTATCCTGTTCCTAAATGACTATATTACTAAATTACTAATTAATAACTTATTAGCAGAAATTAGTCCCCATACTATCCCCTCTCTAAAGACAGTCAGGGTTCCAGGGCTCACTGAAGAGCCTGCTGACCACACCGGCTCTGTCCCTGGGAGCTGTGCTAAGTAGCCGTGAGCAGAGGAAGGCATGTGCATTTTCAGCGGGCCACTCTGGATGTGCTTGGTGTTGATGGCACATGTGCTGTATGTACTCAAATACTGGAAAGCATTTTTGCTTAATTGGAATTCAGGGATGCTTGTAACGTTAGGTATAACACTGTCTTGGTACAGTGGGAAGTGCCAGGGTTCTGAAGTCAGGGCCTGGGTTCAGATGCTATGAAGGTACCAAGAATACATGATGAAGACATTTATGGAAGACACTGAAAGTGTAGAGCATCTCCCAAATATCCATTTCCCAGCACCAGTATCGTGTCAGGGATACAGTAAGCACTTAATATGTGTTGAAAGAAAGAACCAAAAGTTATTATCCTCTCTGGAACCTTCAAACTTTTCTAAAGAACACAAGCCTCATGGTCATAGAAATGTTTTAACCACTAATGATCTTAATTTAGTTACTTTCTTTAAAAAATGTTTTTTTATTGATTTTTTTTAGAGAGGAAGGGAGAGGGAGAGAGAAAAACATCAATGGGAGAGAGAAGCATTGATGGTCTGCCTCCCACACATACTGACACCTAGGAGCACGCCCACAACCTGGGCATGTGCCCTGATTGGGAATCAAACCTGTGACGTTTCAGTGCACAGGACGATGCCCAACTAAGGAGCCACACCAGCCAGGGCTACCGTTACTTTCTTAACTACTATGAAATATGATAGTTAAGATGGTAATATATTGAAACTTTAACCCACTTTTAGCCCCGGTTTGATTGGTCATGACATACTTACTGCGGTGGCCTGTGGGTCGTTGGGATAAGCATCAAGAAGCTCCTGAGGAGGGTTTAAAGGCTTCAGATAACGAGTAACAAAAACCGTCTTCCCACTGATGTCAATCACTGTGGTAAGGCACTGCCGATTTGGGAACTTTAAGGCGCATTCAGCGTGAAACTTCTCTGTTGCTTGGAGCAATTTCTCATCTTCCTGAGAATCAAACTTCAAAGAGAAAGACTCCATGGAGTTTGCACATGATTACAGGAGACGCAGTAGAACTTGCTCAGATCTCACAGTCAGCCCAAACTAAATGTGAGCTCCAGGAATTACGATTCAGTGATCCCTTCCAACACCACCATGCCCTGTGTCCCTGACGCTTCATAATCTTCAAATTAGAAGGATTCATTAAATACTTAAAACATACTTAACAGGATTGAAAGGAAGTAGTTCACAGACAAGCAGCCCTATGCGATTAATAAAACAACTTCAACAATGTAAACGATGAGTTACTAATTATGATTGATGAGACCAAGCAATAGTTTGGTGTGTATTTTGATGTCGGTTTTAGAGGCAAGAAGGGCTCAGAAGTCTAAAATCTCAAATGTAAAGCTTAAGCAACTTATATTAAATGGACAACAAATTTACAGACGTATATGGATGTACTAAAAAGTTTCAAATCCATAACCAATATAATAACAATATGTTCTCATACTGTTTCCAGGGAGCAGAACTGGAAACATCACATGTATAGTAGTTATTTTAGTGGTTCTCTGATCCAAGATGAGCTACCATTTCCAAGACTTGAGAATAACTCAAAGCAAATGAAACAGAACAAATTTCAATTGCCTTTTCCCCTCAAGCTATTGCTAAAAACATAGCATAAAAAGCAGCTCTTTAAATGTTTTCATAAAAAATGTGTTGCTCAGTCTAAAAATATATGCATTGTTACTTACACTTCAAAGAATTTTGAGTCAAACTCAAATACAGTTTTACTAGGGAAATTAATTTTTAAGTTCAATTTAGATTCTAGGCAGTGCTTGAAGCTTTTTATTTTGTTTTTATGGTTTTCTTTTTTGAGGATGAAAATGCATCCAGCTTTCCCCCTCATTTGCTGCTATTCCCCTCATCTCTCTTTATATTATTTTTTTAGCATTTAAAATCACAGTTATAGGATATGTTTATTTACTCTGTCTCCTCTACAGTTTAAGTTTTCTGAAGTCAGGGATTTTGTTTTGATCTTGGTTTTTATCTCCAGGACTGAATGCTACCCGGCACATAGTAAGTGCTTAACTAATATTGTTCAGTGAATGAATGGAAACTCTCACATTACTGTTTATGACTTCAACTAGAATCAAGTATTCTGATTATTCTTGACTCTCTTATATGGGAGCTGGGCTATGGCTTGTTTCTAATTTGGTCTCTGTACCCTGAGAAATTGGGGTAGTGGTTGTGGGGGTTCCATAAGACAGGGAAATTTCCAAAGGCCTCCTATATATTCCCACAGAATATCCCCCTGCTATCGGAATCTTGACAACATCATCATCAGCATAACCACCTATAACTCAGCACAGTGGCAAGGCATGGCAGCTATCAAATGAGTGCTGTGGTGAATACATAAATAAATGGAAAAGGTAAGCTCCTAAGGCTTTTATATAGGTGTGTCATGGACTCCTATGGTAGAGCTGCCAGGCCAGAAAGAATTACAATTTTAGAAAGATGGAGAATTATGAAACAAGGATGGTGTGGATAAAAACACAGTTTGCCTGGCCAGTGTTGCTCAGTGGTTGAGTGTCAACCTATGAACCAGGAGGTTGCAGTTAGATTCCTGGTCAGGGCACATGCCCGGGTTGTGGGCTTGATCCCCAGTGGATGGCATGCAGGAGGTGACCGATTGCTGATTCTCTCTCACCATTATTGTTTCTCTCTCTCCCTTCCTTCCCCTCTGAAATAATTAAAAAAATTTTTTAAAAAGCACCTATAAAATTTCATCCCTGTTTCCTTCAGACTCATTCATTTATTTATTCATCCATCTGGTTATTTGAAACACTTTGCTGAGAGTCTGCAAGGATCCAGGCACTCTGGGTGAATGAGTTTGAAACAGTCCCCTCAAGGAGCTTCTAGTCCAGGGGACTAGAATGAGCAATCAGGTGCTTAGGGGACTTGACCAGAACTTCTATGGGGATAAACAATGCACTACGGGAGCGTTGAAGAAGCAGACACAGGCACTGTCCAGAAAGGAAGGTAACAATCTTGAATCAGGACTGTGGGCTTCCAAGTTGAAAAAAAGTGTTTCAAACATTTTCTGCCACTTGGACCTGGATGTTCCGTGTTATATTTTGGTTCTGTAACTAGTGCTTCCTGATGGTGGGGCCCACGTTTGAATCATTCTTCGTTCATTTCTGCACCGAGCATGTACAAGGTAAACACTTAATAAGTATCAATGGTCATTAATACTTATTTAGGCCACTGGGATGCCATTTCATGGCGTGAAACAGTAATTGAAGGAGTGAGTCGGATGCTATGTTGGTAACCTAAGAAGTGCCAAGCAAAAGCTCCATGCTGAAAGAATTCGGGTCATTTGTTGTGAAACTAATTAAGGTGGAGCTGACAACTTCACCATTTGATTCAACATGAAACTTGGGAGGTTCTTAAGTGGCTCAATTCTTTAACCTGGAGGTTCATATATATACTTACAGGAAGCTGAATGGGCTTATTCCCCCCGCCCCCCAACTTTGAATACCTACAGTTCGACAGCTCCACTGATCAGAAATAACTGTCACAGACCCACTGTCTCTGTAAGAAGCAACTCTGGGGTTTTATAGCCATGGAAACAGTGGAGATAGGTAGCTCCCAGCATTCAGGTGACATTCAGACCTATGACTTCCTGGATTCAGAGCTAAGTAAGAATCCTGACAAAATGAAATGGGCCAAAAGACAAAGCTGCACATTCACCATGGAGCTGCAGGCATCTGAAGGTCATTGCTAAGGAGACCCCCCCCCCCCCCCCCCCCACACACACACACGTCAGGACCCAGCAGACTCCATAAGGTGGACAGGGACCAAAGCAGAGAATGAAAGTGAAAGCCTAGGACCTGTTGAAGGGTAAACACAAAAGGCTTGGTACCTTTTTCAGCATCTCACTCATCTCTCAGAGGCAAGAAAGAAAGAGGGAAAGAAACAACAGAAAGACTTCATTAACAGAAACAATCTATTTTCAAAAACTTGTTTTTACCAAGACAATGTTGGAATAAGAGTTTCAGGATTTGCTACTGATTTTTTTGAAAATTCCATGAGTAAATAATTTTAAAAAAATCCCATAGAAAGGCTCTGTATGGGGTGATGGTGGAAGAAAGACTAATCCCCGAATCCTGGAAGTTTCAGTCAGTGGGAAAACGATTCCAGGTGTGGGTCCCTATTATTTTAGGGAGAGCTGCTCTTTCCTGAATAATGGACAGGGAAGCCCTGAGGGACATTGTCTGCCTGTGCATTTAGGACCGTGAGGGTGCTGTCAGCCCAGGTACCTCCTTAGCCAAAAGCATCAGAGACTCTGGGCTCCCAGGGGTTCCTCGTGGCCTCATTTTTAGAGGTCTCAGAGAAATGCTGCCTGCAGCCACAGCGGGGCAGTGAAATGCTACCAAAGGCAGGAGGACAGCCTGGTTATCTGCTTTGAGGAAGGAAGGCTGCAGGCTTGGGAACTGGGTCTCAGAGCCCCGAGGCCTGGAACATTCTGTGATAGGAGGCCAGTGCCCTTGAATGAGCCACGTGCCAGGGGGTCTCTGATGTCCTCCTTCTAGCCACAGTCACAGATGGACAGTGGCCACACAGTTCAGAGCTCACCTATGGGGGGGGGAGGGGCGGGGAACGACGGGGCGGGGGGGGGGGGGGGGGAGACTAGCTGAGTGAAACCATCCTGAAAAGGGAGCATCCTACGGTGTAAACATGCCTGCTGGCATTCTCTCCAGGTGACACTTTCTGAATATGCTTCCTTTCCTAAACTATTTTGAAATGCATGCTAACATGCTTTCTAGACAACATCCTTGTTACAACTTTGGTGATAAAGGCCAGCATATAAGAGGAATTTGAATTTCGGTAGATTTTTTTCCCAATCATCCTTTATGTCTTCTGTAAATGCCTTACAAATGGGAAATAATAACAGTATATTCCTCTGTGAACCAAATTGTGATACTGAAAAGGAAAGAGAGGAATGTGCTCATTTAAGGAAACCTCCATCTGAGTCTAATGACAGTGGATAAAGAGTCGGCATAGTGATCGATGCAGTACAGCGTAGCCGCTAACAACTTGGGCTTGTAAGCTCCAAGGAATTTTAATTGCTTTTCTAGGCTGTTTGTTGTATCTCTGGTGCCTAAAAAGCACCTGCTACATAGAAGATTCTCTGCAAATATCGAGTAGATCAGATTTCAAGTGGGACAGACGTTTTGTTGTCAGTTGTGGCCTTACTCCCTGGGTGAACCAGGTTAAGCGGAGCTTTATTTCCTCATCTCTGATTGGAGACCCACCTCACACGACAGCGGGACTATTAAAGGGGAGAACGTAAGTCAAATGCCTGACTTAGTGCTCTGGACAGAGGAAGAACTCAGGCCCTGTTTGTGGCGGTTGTTATTACTGTGATAGTTCACAATGATAAGAGGTTACGGTCGATATTTTCTCCCCAGTCCAATGAGGGTGGCACGCCCTGGCCGCACGGGTATGCTATATGAACACAGTACCCCGCCCCCCCTCCCCGCTAGGAAGGGCGGGAAACAGCTGCTAACAAATGAAAGTTCTGGAAGCTCTTTTCTTTTTCTAGAGCTGTACAAAATTAGAGTGCCTGTGCACATATCTATTTCTATCCGGAGGCACTGGAATGAATGGAGGTCACCCCTGAAGGTCACCTAGCCTGAGAATCCTATGAATCGATTCAGTACACAGCACAGCCAGGGATGTGAGGTCACGCAGATGTATGTCAGCGTGCTTGCCAAAACATGTCCAGACGAAGAGTCCTATTTCATCTCCCTCCCACTGAGAAAATTCTGAAAGGGGAGCATGTTTATATTCGTCTTGCTTTGCCTAAAACAGTAGTTCTCAACCTTGGCTGCACATTAGAATCACCTGGGAATCTTTTTTAAACCCTGATTTCTGGGCCTCATCCTCCGGAAATTCTGTTTCTTTGTTATGGGGTGGGGCCACAACATTAGTAACAAAGAAACAGAATTTCCAGAGGATGAGGCCCAGAAATCAGGATTTTAAAAAGATTCCCAGGTGATTCTAATGTGCAGCCAAGGCTGAGAACCACTGGCCTAAAAGCTGACGTTGCTGATTGACCCGATTGTTGGCTGGGTGGAAATGCAGACCCACACGGGGGCTCTCTCCCTTCATTCTGCCCAAGCAGACGGAGCACCGAGTGGATTTGGAGAAAGGAAACCTCTGCTTGTGCCCTGCGGTCCCAGTTCACCCCGGCACGGCCCAGTGAGCATTTCTCGTGTTGCCAACGTCAGACACGACTGACCTGTAGCCAGACTTACCTTTTCTCGCACCGACTCCCCGGGAACCAGCTGGGGCTCGATGGTGATGAACAGGGCGATGTAGGAGCCTTCGCTCAGGCTGCGGAGAGAGTCAAAGCCCCGCTCGGCGACCACGCTCCGCTCCTTACTGTAGCCCAGGAGAACGGGGGGGATGTCTATTTTAAATGTTCCATCGATCTGTGCGGAAAACACGACGTGGTAAACACCCCGGTCATTTGCCAACATGCTCAAAAGCATGTGTCGATTCACTGTCTGATGAACTCACTAAGGATGCTCAGACTGGCATTCAGGGTCGCCCATCATTCCAGCCAGTCTCTCTCTCTCTTTTTTTAAATCCTCACCTGAGGATATTTTTCCATTGATTTTTAGGGAGAGTGGAGGAGAGAGAGAAAGACAGAGAGAAACATCGATGTGAGAGAAACACATTGATTTGTTGCACCACCAGGGCCCAGGTCAGGGAGGGCCTGCAACCGAGATATGTGCCCTTGACCGGAACCAAACCCCGGACCCTACGGTCCACAGGGAGACGCTCTAGCAGCCGGTCTCCCTAAGCGTTCACAGAAAGCACTGCCTTTTTCTTCACCTTTTCTTGGTTCAGCAGAGTGTGGACGAGTTACGCATGTTGATACTAACACTGGGTGTCCTGGGTTCACAACCTGAATTAAACTCCGTGTCTCAGTGTATGCGTTTGTAAAATGGCAAAGATAACAGTAACTAGTCTGCAGGGCAGGTGTGTGTGCCGGATGCTTTCATAGTCGTACAGCACTGATAAGAATGTCTGGCCGGTGGTGAACTGCTCAGGAGGTGTTGGCTAGCAGCCACCCCCCTTTTCCGGATGTCCCAGCCCCCCATCTCCACCTTGGAAAATTGTAACGAGTTTATGTTATCGCCTTCATGAATTATTTTGTCATCTCCACCAGCCTCACACGTAGTTTGTTTTCTTCACTTGTTACACGGGCACATTCTGTCAGACTTTATAGTTGTGAGCATGTTTACGATGCTCCTCCAGATGATTGCTCCTGGTGAACAGGATCCGTAATCCACCCCCTGTGTATCACCCTTCTCCGATATACAGCAGTGTTTTGTGTACACAGCGGATACCCAGTAAATGTGGGCTGAATGGATTATAAGCCACTTTTATAACATGACCTAACTGTGCAGAGGTTCAGAGGGGCAGGACTTTTACCTCTTGCATTGTCCAAGCGACAGTATGTTTGTTAGACTATCTAGTGCTAAAGCCAGTTCAGGGCTGGAATGTGAAGGTGTAGAATTCACATTTTTGTTTCACTCTTCAATGGCATTTGTGTCTCAGGAGAAATAGGGAAAGGGCTTAACCTAGAAGTGGACATGCCTTCCAGGGAGGAAGGGACATTACCTGGATATAGTCAAGGAGATTCATCCATCAGGAAGGGGTTAGCATAATCTCTTCTGAGTACTCTTCCGAATGTGAAATTCGGCATTGGCCAATCACATGGGCAATTTCGGTTGCAAAATGATGGACTTTAAATGTTTTTTGTAATTTAAAATATATTCGAAGAGGAAATGTGAATTCTTTTGGCCAGCATGTCACGGAAGCGTCACCTGTAGACTGTCCCTTATTTTCGGGGAGGACTGTAATTCCAAATGATCTGTGAGACTGAAACCAACCCGGGCCTCCCAGGGTTGAGGCTTGGTCTTGGCCTTGCTGGACTCTGTGGCCCAGGCAGTATTGCTCTGCGATCTCGTCGCCTGGGGAATTAAAGCCTCCTTCCTTAGCTGTGCGAGATTAGCCACAGTCTCGTGGCCCAAAGCCTCTTGTTGCCATGGACTCAGTGCTGGGACATTACAGCCACTTCAGAATCTTTAACTGTCCCAGATTGGAGGTGACAGGTCATTGAAGAGTTGTTAACCTAATGGAGCCCTTTAGAAAAATTGCTAAACTGTGAAGAAGGATGTCTTAGTTGAGCGAATCTCTACTAACTGTTCTCCTTTTTTGAAATGGTGAGGACTCTAGAATCATTCATGAAATGCACTTGACTCAATGGGCCGTCCAGTGTCCTGACTGATTCCTTCAAGTCACTTCCCGGCATCTGTCCATTACACTTGGTTGCTTTTACAAGTTTCCACCTTGTTCCACCTTCTCCTTCACTTCTATTTAAATGTTTTTAAAAATCTCAGATTGGATCAGTCATATATTAACAACTAACTCTAACGAAGATGGATATTTAATAAGTGGCACAAACATGACAGTAAATCAATGCCTTCATATAGTGGTTTTTATGTTTCCCAGGGGGCTTTGCACACAGGCTCTCTCAGAGTTGGCGGTACATACCCACAGAGAAAGTTTAACAGGAAATGGACAGAGCGGTTCCCCATTCCCACGGCATTCCAACGCCAGATGCTTACCCTTGCTTGGCAATATATTGTGCTAAATGGAATTTTCACACATCCCAGCCAGTGTCGCTCAATACGCGTGTGGATTCCACTCCCTCTTTCCCGGTCATCCTAAAGGAGGAGTGGGTAGTAATAATTGGTTAAGAACTCCAGACGCTCATTTGGTGAATTTCGCGGCAGGATTTGGACTGGAAGTACGTGGGCTTAGGTTAGGCTGACCTAAGTCACATTCTGGCTCAGATACTTAATGGTTTTGTGACCCAAAGAAAGTCTGAACCTCAGTTTTCTCACTAATAAGTTGGAGGTTTAACAGTCTACGTCACAGCATTATTTTAGAGTTAAATAAGAAAAGATATATGAAGAGCGCTTGGTACAATTCCTGGAACACAATGGACACTCAATCGACAATATAAAAGCTAGTGCCCTTTCTCTTTTTCCCCATTTATAATGTCAAGTTTCAGACATTCAAAATACAAGAAAGATGGACAACGAGTTCGGGTCTTATATGGTGGACGGAGGATGTGAGAATGAGTGCAGACATCTTCCTGGAATGGTGAACTCACCTCTAAGACATCGAACAGCACTTCATCAAAAATGTTAATGAACACGTCGTCTTTCACTGACTGCAAGCTGGTCGTGCTGTAGTCCCCATTGGGGGCCCTGCAGATGGGCACACGTGACCAGGGGACAGGGGAATGGGAAAAATAGAAATAATGAGCACGCAAACGTCAACATTTAAAAAGTGCTCAAACACGAGCACAGATGTGAAGATTGGAAGCTGTGCTTTCAGTTAAAGCATCTGTCTGCACAGGGTGGACACCATAACATAATGCCTGTATATAGCCAAACAGAAAGGGACTAAACCCTCTGTCTGCTTTCCATCACCATACTGTTGTCTGTATATGTTTTTGTTTTTTGCTTAATTTCTTCACCTTTTTCACCCAGCCCCCCCAACCTAACCCCCTCCCCTCTGATAGCTCTCTCTGTATCTATGAGTATGTTTCTATTTTCTTTGTTAGTTTATTTTGTTTATTAGATTCCACATTGGAGTGAAATCAAATGATATTTGTCTTTCTCTGCCTGGCTTATTTCTCTTAGCGTAATGCTCTCCAGGTCCATCCATGGTGTTGCAAAAGGTAAGATTTCCTTCTTCATAAATGCCTATGAATTTCTGGTAAGAGAAAAACATAATTTCTGAAAACGAGAGAGTCTCAAATTTACTTAAAGCTTCCAGAGTTGGGGAGAAAATGAAGAAAGGAGAAGCAGCGAGGGGCTGTGGGTGAAGGGGAGGGGAAGCTTGGGCGATAAGTAGGCAGAGCCTGGAGAGGAGGGTGGTGTCCCGCAGTGAACCTGAGTTTCACAAGTTGGACATTTTCTCACTTTATTATTTTTTAAAATCCTCACCCAAGGATATTTGTCCCATTGATTTCTAGAGAGAGTGGAAGGGACGGAGGAGGGAGGAGAAATAGAGAGAGACATGTTGATTGGTTGCCTCCTATAGGTACCCCTACTAGGGCTGGGGAACCTGCAACCGAGGTATGTGACCTTGACTGGTAATTGAATCCCTGACCCTTCGGTTTACAGGCTGACTCTCTAACCACTTAGCAAACTGGCTAGGGCCCCACTTTATTCTTGATTGGAGTCAGTTGTGGCACATGAAGGACACCAAGGGACTTGGTATCAGGACTCCTGGTTCTTGTTTCGGCTCATTAGCTACACAAACTTTCACCTCAGCCATTTCCCACTGAGCCTCTATTTCCTTCCCGTCTCTTCAAAGTATCCTCTAGTGCTTTAAAGAGGACCAAGTGCTTACCTAAACGGAAGTTCAAGTTCTTCGTTCCAGCTGGGGTTTGGTCCTTCGGCCGTCGTGGTATGACAAATTGTTCGTTGAAAAGAGACTTCTACAAAAGGACGGACTAAAACCTTAAAAGCAAAAGCAAATAGTAAGAGTCCATACAGTTAGTTGAATGATTTTGCTCTTTGTGGAGGTGGAATATGTTTGCTAAATAGTATACGTCCAAAAAAATGAAGCAGAAAACAGGCCAGGAAGTTTCCAGGCAATTCTTAAAAACATAAGGGGTGAGATTCTAAGCAGAGACCCGGCACTGGGGCATCTCACCTGGCCGAGGGGGTAGTCGGCACTGTGGGTTGGGCTGTGTGTGGTTGGGGAAGCAGCGTGCCTTTCCCTGAAAGTTCTTGAAGACCTTGATGGCTGCTGGAATTTGCTAGGAGGGAAAAATGTATGAAAAAATAAATGACAGAGAAAGACTAATTATATGTATTAAGCAAATGGTTATTCCAAAGATGTATGGCTCTGGTGACAGACATTCTCTCTAAGCTTGCTGACCCTTTTGGAAGGCTTTTCGTATGCTCTGGTCACCCCCAGTCACCCAGTGATCACTATAGACTCCCCAACTTCTATCCCTGACCCACCTGTATAGCTAAGAACGGAGGACAGAGTCCTCTTCTCTCTCCTCTGCCAGGGGGTACCTAAGTGAGAACTTGCCCTTTCCCCATAAATGAACCTCAATCCCCCACAGGTAGCAGAATACTAAACTTCCTGACCAGCCTTCTTTGCCTCGATCTAATTCCTCTCCTACTGTATTTTCTTTAAACCTGCCTTCTCCAGGAACCTTGAGCTACAAATTCTAAGTAAACACTTCTCTGGACCTCTCAAGCCTCACTGGGAAAGGGGAGGGGTCAGGGATTCCTAGCTCGAGTTAGGAACCAGGGATCTTGTCGTCTTTCTCTTTTAAAGAGCTGTTATTCTTTTTTAAAAAATATGTTTTTATTGATTTCAGAGAGGAAGGGAGAGGGAGAGAGAGAGAGACACAAGCATCAATGATGTGAGAGAATTACTGACTGGCTGTCTCCTGCACATGCCCCACTGGGGATCGAGCCTGTAGCAGGGGCATGTGCCCTGACTGGGAATCAAACCATGACCTCCTGGTTCATAGGCTGATGTTCAACCACTGAGCCAGGCCAGCTGGGCAAGAGCTGATATTCTTAAAGAAATGAAACTCATCTCCAGAAAGCCACACCTAGGTACCTTTCCCTTCCTCTCCCCTGAGAGGCTGATGCTTGGTGGGTGGTACCCTGGCTGGATGGACCATTTCCATCACACGGAGAACAAGGAAGCAGACCTAAAGAGGGAAGCAAGCAAGGGAGACGATGGGGCCTCAGAAGAACCATCTTAGTTTTTACAGTCTACCCTTAGTTCAGCTGCACCTCTTGTCCTTGTGTTCGTGAGACAGTCCCAATAATCCCTTCTTTAGCCTAAACTGACCAACTTGGTTCTATTACTTGCAACTAATGGGAGTCTGACTTTGGCCCCCACAGAATAACACTATGTTAAAAACGGGAGCACGTGTGCTATAGAGAAGTGATGGGCGTGGCCAGGACCCCACACGGTCCATCCCAGGGCTGCCTGAGGGCTCTCACCTTGTGGTTGGTCTCCTCACAGGAATGTCATAGGCCCGGATGATGTTCACCAGCAGCTTTATGTCTCCATCGGACAGGTTTTGGGCTGTCACCTTCTTCCGACCTTTTCTCCTGGGCCTCAGGGGTCGCTTTTGTTCTGCCAGCTTGAAAAGGCTTAGGCCCAAAATGCTAATGATTACAGAACAGAATTAGGAGTCTAAGGAAAAGAAAGATCTGGAAAGTCACCAGACAACTCAAGCTCTGCCCCAAAGTCCCCTACAGGCCCCTGAAAACTGTCTTTCTAAAGAGCGTGGAAATCATCAAGAAATTCTCCTAAGATGGGAGCGATCTTACTGTATGGATTATTAATATTTATTGTAGCTGCTACCGATCCGAGAGAGAAAAGGGTATTCTGGGCCCTCCCTGAGTTTCCTGCCTTGCTTTCCTTCTTGCTTACCCTGCAGCCCCTCAAACCACCCCCTTCTCTCCTACTCTCTGCCTTTGCCTGTCCCTGGTCCCTGCACAGGGGCACCTCCCTCCGCCTTCCTCTCAGAGCAGGATCTCCCCTTTCGGAGCCCCGGGCACATCAGCTAGAAGGGGCTCCCGCTCCTGGGCCCCTTGAGTACTTTCTTGATGCCCCATCTTCCTGGCAGCTGACTTTACTGCCCTTCCAGGCACTTCCTGGGATACCTCACTCTCTGGTGTTAGACAAGACTGGGTATGAATCCTGACTCCACTTGCTCTTTGACCCCTTTAAGCCTCTGTTTTATCATCTGTAAAATGGGGTTCCATGCTATCTCCCGGGTTGTTGAGAGGATTAGGTAAGGAGGTGCCTGCGGAGCACCGGGGCTCTGGTCTAGTACAAGCAGAGGTGAAGTGCTAGGTGTGGGGTGATGGCAGTAGTTATGACATCAGCGACTATGCTGGAGGAGGAAGGGAGATGGCAGGGGGAGCTTAAGGATCTCACATCTCCCTACCTCTCACTGAGATGATGTCACATAAACACTTCCTGGAAGATGAAAGCAACATGCTCAGTGACTTATGGGAGAAAGGGCCTTGGCGCCAGTAATTAAGTTGGGGCCCAGAGACTAAACAGAAGCCCAGATGTGGCTCTGAATCTGGAAGCTGACATGACTGATGACACCAGATGGCACAGAACAAAGGCCGTGGGGAGCTGGCCTCAGGCTGCAACACATGCTCTTCTGCTTCCCTCTGAGCAGGGCTGGAGCCCTCGGCCCAGGAGGCCTGAGCCAGCTGGGGAGGAGCGGCTCCCAAGGGCTCCCGGAGCTGCTGTTCCGTCCTTTCCAGGGTCTCTGCCCCACGGAACAGCAACCATTCATCAGCAGCTTTGTGAGTCAGGCACAGTGCTAGGCGCCTTACATAGGATATTTCTAGTCCTCACAGGCATAACATTTACCCCGTTTTTCATATGAAGAAACCTGAGGCTCTGAGTGGTGACAGGATTTGCCAAAGCTCCTAACTAGGGGCAGGGAGCTGGGGTTCAGCCTGGGGTCACTCTGGCTCACAGCCCACCTTCTTCCTTTTAAACATTTACATCTATTATTTATTAACTCACGTAAAACAAGAACAAGCCCATTCATTCCATGTTAACATGATGTACCACTATGAAGGCTCACTCTCCTCTCCAAACAATCTCTTTGTGTGTGTGTGTGTGTATGTGTGTGTGATTACCTACATTTTATTATTCTAAATTTATTTTTATTGAGATGAAATTGGATATAATGTTGTATAAGTGTAAGGTGTACAACCTGTTGGGTTTAGGGGTTCATATATTTAAGTCTGATTCCCACCATAACATCAGCTGACATCTCTATCACGTCACATAATTGTCATGGTTTTTTTTTTTTTTGTGGTGGGAACAATTAAGATCTAGTCTCTTAGCAACTTTGAGGTTTATAACACAGCACTGTTAGCTATAATCACTATGCTGGGCATTAGATGGCCAGGACTTACTTATCTACTAGTTATAAATGTGTACCCTGAAATAACATCCCCCCAGTTCCCCTACACCTCAGCCCTTTTTTCGATTCCACATGTAAGTGAAATCATATGGTACTTCTCTTTCTCTGTCTGGCTTAGTTCTCTTTGCACAGTGCCCTCTAGGCCCACCCCTGTTGTCACAAATTACAGACCATCTTCTTCAGCACTCGCTCTCCCAGGACCTACCTAACCCAAACCTGGGACCTGAGAGGGATACCTGTGCCAGGGGCCCTAACATGACACATCCCCTCCTCTGTTAATACTGCCTCCCTCCCCTGAGAGGGCGCCTCCCAAAGTCTCGATGGCAGTCAGCAAGGGCGCATCTTGGTGACTGGCACCATGAATTACAGAAACATTAGTTTAAAGCCAAGAACAAATCAAAATTAAAAGAAGAAAGAACATACCCTGAGCCTTCAGAACTTAATGCAGAAAGTAAAGCAGATAAAAAGAAAAAGAAATGGAAAAACAGCATGAAAAAAAAATCACCATCTAGTCTAAGTGTAATTTTCATGACTGAATAAAACATTTGATGACTAGGCTGTGGGCCTGGAGCACAGAGAAGGGGTTTGTGTGAATCGATGTGGGCACAGCCTCTCAAATGTGCGTGGAGGGAGGCAAGGTCAACATCAGGGGCGGCCCTGAACAGCACAAGGTTTTGTCTCCTTTCCACCTTGACGTTGGAGAGGAAATACACGCATAAGAAATAACCCTTTTAGGAGGCCAACAGATTCAGTCCCAGGAAGGGTCATGGGATTAATGGACTGCCTAAGACCACCAGTGGAGAAAGGTATCTTCCATCTTTTGTGCATCCACCCCAAGTTGAGACAATTTGAAATTTTTTCTAAGTGATAGTAAGACAATCACGCATATACACAGTCAATTTCCAGCTTCTATGTAAACACCATTTTCCCCGCTGCCCTTGGGCCTCACCAAACACAGCAGCTCTCTCCTCCCAGCTGCAGTGCTGGAACCAGACCTCACAGACTCCCAGATCTCCTGGCCTCCCAGACCTCTGTGGCTGGTTCCCAGCTACCCCACTGTGATGGGAGAGTAAGGGAAGTTGGCATTGGGAGGAGTGTGTGCAGGAGGGAAATGCTGTCAGACTGGGATTGAAATGAGCAAGTGGCAAAGGCTCAACCATCGTTCCATGCACTGAAATGTCACCGGTTCAATTCCCGGTTAGGGCACATGCCCAGGTTCTAGGCTTGATCCCCGGTGGGGGTGCTTAAGGGAGGCAACCGATCTAGGTCTCTCTCTCTCTCTCTCTCTCTCTCTCTCTCTCTCTCTCTCTCTCTCTCTCTCTTTCTCCCTCTCCCTCTCCCTCTCCCTCTTCCTCTCCCTCCCTCTCCCTCCCTCAATATCTAAAAATCAATAAAAACATATTAAAAAATAATGGCAAAGGCTGGCAAAGCTGACATGGCAGTAGTGGGGAGACAGGATTCCTGGGCCCATGATGGAGAGGATCTCGTGTGACTAATAAAGACCCCTCACTTAATGCAATTGTAAGGCATTAATCAAGTGTTAATTAATCCATTTCCAGTGTTATTTGTGGCCCAAATGCACACTAAACAATGATAAGCATCTTAGATTTACATGAAAATTTTAACATAATGCAATAAAATAATTTTTAGAAGGAGCAAAAGTTTGCTTTTACCTGATATTGGGAACTTCTTCTTCAACTATCAAATCCGTGAGAAGAAAATGGTGTTTTGCAATTAGGAAACGATTTAACACAGATTCCCTCACCTGGGGAAAGAAAGAGGTTTTATTTAAAATGTCCTCATTCTGGGACCTTCATAGGTCCCTCCGAGACTTCTCTGAGTCTTCACCCCAATGTCACTTTAGTGCAGCCCCCGCCGGCACCCTCACTTTCTCCGCAGCATGACTTCTTCTTACTGTAAACCACCCGGCTTTGCTCACTAGTACAAGTTCCTAAGGCAGAGGGCCTCTGCTCTGCTCACCGCCCGATTCCCAGGACCTGGAAAAATCTGACACACAGGGAGTGGAAGTGTGCTGAATGGAGGAACGAACAAAAACCAGGCCCCGTCTCGGAGCACATGCAATTCTGACGTGATTCTTGAGGTCCTCCCCTGTTCAGACTGGTTTACTTCCTAATACTCCTTTAAATAAAAGACCTCTTAAATGTTGTAAACTGTTGTTGTTTTTTTATACATGAGCTATAAGGCAGATCAACTGGATGGGAAAAATGTGCTGTAGTCACAGTAGCCTTTCTTATAAGTTAAATTTATTAAAGAAAGGAAGGAAGAATGAGAGAGAAAGAGGGAGGACAAAATGACACTTTAAGTTTCTAGTGCCTAGGGCAGAAAGTATGTCATTCATTCATTTATTCATTTATTTATTTTAAATATATTTTTGATTTCAGAGAGGAAGAGAGCGGGAGAGAGAGAGAGAAAGAAACATCAATGATGAGAGAGAATCATTGATTGGCTGCCTCCTGCATGTCCCCCGTTGGGGATTTGAGCCCACAACCCGGCATGTGCCCTTGACTGGAACTGAACCTGGGACCCTTCAGTCTGCAGGCTGACTCTCTATCCACTGAGCCAAACCAGCTAGGGCAGAAGTATGTCATTTATAAACCTTCTATTTTATTGCAAAGATAGTATGATGCAAACATTCAAATACTGTCAAATACTGTCCTTTGTCATCCTACCCCACTTAAGAGAATCACTGACAACAAGCTGAGATACAGCCTAATGTTTTCATATGTTCACAAGATGAAGAGAGCTGTTAATCAATTTCATATCTGTGACTATGAGATAATCAGTCTTCAGGGTTTAAGCACCACATAGATATTGAAAAGAAGGGGACCTCCTTTCTCCCATCTCAGGGTGCTGGCCATTTCCCTGTCAGGGCCGTTCACAATGGTTTCCTTACCTGCTGGAGGTACTTGGCTACTACGGCCCGGTGCCTATCTATGTGGCCCTTGGTCTCAACGACATTCCTGTCCCGTAACCGCTTCTCATAGTCCTAAAGGTTAAAAAAGAATAATTTTATGATTTTAAACTACGAGTCCTTTCTCATTCCCTCCAGAGATTAGAGAATTTATCATGTGTGGTTCAAGTTCATAAATGATGGTTCTAATTGTTTCTTCTGCCTTCCTCTGAACGTTTGGTTCAGAATTAGCCTTTGATGTGGGAGCCAGAATTCGGAGACAGTTGGTTGATGCCTTAGAAGTAGAAGAGCACCCTGTAATTAGAGGCCACACAGTAACGGGCTGTGGTTCAAGACACTAAGCTCACCCAGCAACTTTGCCAAAGCCTCTGCTTAGTATTTTGTTGTTGTTGCTGTTAATCCTCACCTGAAGATATTTTTTCCTTTTTTTTTCCTTAGAGAGAGTAGAAGGGGTCAGGGGGATAGAGAGAAAAAGAAAGGAACAACAATATGAGAGACACATTGAGTGGTTGCTGGGGATTGAACCTGCCACCCAGGCCCCGGGAATCAAACCCTTAGGGGAAAAGGCCAATGCTCTAACCATTTAGAAACACCAAACAGGGCCCCTCTGCTAATTTTTGTCTTTTTCTAACTTAAGTAAAGCAATTACAAAGCAGCAAATAGCATCTGCGTACAGCCGACTTGGTCACCAACTGGGAGTGGGTACTTCTGCCTTGGCCGCTGCATTTTCTCTTCCACCAATAAAATTCCATGTGGGCCCATGGAGCCGCCATGTCTCCTTCAGTCCTCTCCTGGTCACACTGTACGCTCAGGGGCCTCTACCCCGCACTGGGTAACTCAAGCTGGTCCAAGATTTTTAGACTTGGGGCAAGAGGACACACCTCTCCCTTCTGGCTGAAATTGGTAGACGTGAACTTGAATGAAGGGGATCATGTGTCCAAGCAGAGGGAGTCCATCCACAATGGGAAGAAGTGAAGCCACCACAGCAAGGGAAGCCTAGGCAGGATGGGGAGGGGCCCTGGTGGCATTCATGCCCTGTATCCAGGCGTCACCAAGGCACAGATAAACTCCTGCCACTCACACAGCTTAAGATATTTAGCCCCATTTGGGATTTCATCTTTCAGTAAACTCCCCTTGAAGCCTGAGATCTCCAGTTGGTTTTTTTAAAATATATTTTTATTGATGCCAGAGAGGAAGGGAGAGGGAGAGAGAGATAGAAACATCCATGAAGAGAGAGAATCATGGATTGGCTGCCTCCTGCATGCCCCACACTGTGCCCTGACCAGGAATCAAACCGTGACCTCCAGGTTCAGAGGTCAATGCTCAACCACTGAGCTGGCCAGGTTCAAGTTGGGTTTTTATCACAATTACAAGTCCAGACACTGCAGACAAGAACCAAATAACTGAAAATATTCTCCCAGAACGGCTTCTGCATGAAAAGTCCTACTGGTACCAGTTTCTAATGGCTCTCCATTTACCTCATCAAATACAACCTCCCCTGTCTGGATTCATTGGCCTGCCCCATCTATACAGGCCTGCCCCACTTACACAGGATTACAACCTGTGAGCCCTCAAAGGTCCCGCCCCCATGGCTCTCAGATGGCTTCTGCTAACCCCCGCACCCTGTGCATCCTGCCACCCTTGCCTAGGATGCCAGCCCTGCTTCCCACTTCCTTTGTGGCCCTCCCACCCCAAGGCTGCTCTAATCCTAACTACCTGTTTCCCCACAGTGCTCACCACTGGGCCTTGTGCTTAACCGGTTGGATTACAATGGCTTTGAACTCCTGACTAAGGCAAGATAATTTGCCACATTAACATGTAAGATATTTCTCAACCCTACAATTCTAATTTTTCTTAGTTTATGTCATTCACTGTATTGAGAGAAGAGTTAATTTAAACATTGGATTCAAGAGAGATAATGGAAAGATTATATAAAGTGCTGCAAAAGAGAAACCGGCATTGCTACTGAGAACATATTAACAGCAAGATTCATGGAGAAAGGTTTACCAAGTAGCACAGCAATATTTTATTACAGCCATTTCTTACCTGGAATACCTTTTCCATGATTTCTCGGTCATATGCTGGGATTGGCTTATAATTTCGGAACTCTGGCACCTCTTGGCTTCTGAGACACAGGAGCCTGAATCGTTTGGCTCTATCCAGTTCCTCATCTGAAACGAAGTTAAATTCCCGCTGCAGCTGTTCCAGGCGAAAGAAATCGGGGACGTAGGATTCGCCACTGGTAGCAACCTGTGAAGAACAGAGAATGCAAAATTCCAGACAACGGTCGAGTTTCAGCCAAGGAAAGCCGGCACTGAGCGTTTGGGAATGGAAGCTTAACTGGTTTACGTAGACAGCGAGACTGGATATGTCCTGCCTTTCACTTAAAGACAAAGCACATTAAAATGTGATGGCAGCCCTGGCTGGTGTGGCTCCGTGGATAGAGCGTCGGCCTGCGGACTGGAGGGTCCCGGGTTCGATTCCATTCAAGGGCACATGCCTGGGTTGTGGGCTCGGTCCCCAGTGGGGGGCATGCGGGAGGAAGCCCATCAATGATTCTCTCTCATCACTGATGTTTCTGTCTCTCCCTCTCCCTTCCTCTCTGAATTCAATAAAAAATATATATTAAAACAATGTGATGGTAATAAGGAAGATGCTATTAAATCACTTAGTAGCTATAAAAAATACCACAAATACTTTCCCAAAGAAATAGAAATTATAAGGTTAATTTTTGGTATGTACATTCCCCTAATAGGTGTTATGAAAATATACAGACTGAACATGAGAGATTTTAAATAATTGTATTACTAAGTGCCAACTGCAAATAAGGTTACTCATATGCATAGTGTATCTAAAATCATATATATGTGTTTTAAATATCTACATATTTTTAGTTAAATTTATGGGGGTGACATTGGTTAATATCATTGTGTAGGTTTCAAGTGTACAATTCTATAATTCATTATTTGTACTATACTGCACTGTGTAGTCTTCCTGCATCACCATATATTTGACCCCCTTTAGCCTCCTCATGCTTTAAATTTATTTTCCAACTTTTTACTAGTCTTATGCCCATATGTAGATACAAGCACAGAGTCAGTCGATCACCTTCGCTTAGCTCCAGGGCCAGGCCCTCCTGTCCCTGAACCTTGATCATTGCAGGGAGTGAATCAGGGAGGGATCTGGGCGCGGACCTCCCATGTGTCTGGACAGTGGCACAGAAAGCTGGCTTCAGTACCTCTGCAGGCTGAGCAGGCGTGGGCTGATGCTGCCCAGGTGTCCCGAGCCCTCTGCTGGGGGCCTTTGCCAGCTGTGACCCCCTCTGGGGCAGAAGGAGAGCCAGGCGCAGGGTGTGCTGGGCTTTGTGATGGGAGGTGACCCTGCCGTGCAAATACTGGTTCTTGAAGAGACCAGTCAGGAAGGCATCCCTGTGTTTGTGCTTCTGAAGGCAAATAGTGATAAAGGGAAAATGAAGGTGACAGGTGTCTTATGTTACTTCTGATTTAAAGATTGTAATCAAGTCGTGATTTGAAAAGTTTACATGGAATAGACTACTCTTTAGGTCAGTGATGGCGAACCTATGACACCCGTGTCAGAGGTGACACGCGAACTCATTTTTTCATTGATTTTTCTTTGTTAAATGGCATTTAAATATATAAAATAAATATCAAAAATATAAATCTTTGTTTTACTATGGTTGCAAATATCAAAAAATTTCTATATGTGACACGGCACCAGAGTTAAGTTAGGGTTTTTCAAAATGCTGACCCACCGAGCTCAAAAGGTTCGCCATCACTGCTTTAGGTAATATGATCTGTTCTTTCTAACACTTCTCATATCCACACTAAAAGTATCATGTTGCAAGGAGAGTTTATAAAGACAAAAGTCACAAGCTTGCTTTGGGACTTAGAAATATCAGGAGAGAAATGAAAATTTTCATCTTAGTTATAGTTACCCTACTGATCCACTTATACTCGTAAACATGATCATAGGATGTGTTGCTATTGTCACTTTCTGGATCATCTACTCACTTATGATGTTTTTGTGAGAATTATGATCTTGCAAGTAAAAACATTTATATCTGATACCAAGAAAAATCATTTACTGACTAATGACCCATTTTATTTATAAATTCACTGAAGAAGAATTCTGAATGTTATGATAGATACAAGCAGTTTATCCCATAAATACTTAAAATGAAACCTAAATAATAATCAAATTAATCTTAACGCAAGAATACAAACAAAACCACTGCTTCTTAAAATGGCCCATCAGTCCATCAAGGTGGGATGGGAAGGGCACGAGCTCTGAAACCAGATGAACTTGGATCTGATTCCTCACTAGCTGTGTGACCTTGAGCAAGGAACTAAGAGGGAAATCAAAACTTTCTTTAGGGGTTTTACAGAGGTTTGAGGTCGGAGTATCAAGTAGCAGCTAATATTTACTGCACACCCACTGTGTGCCTAGCAAAGTATGGATACCTGGCAGCTGATTGATCCCGACAGCATAGCACCGTGAGGGCATCTCAGGGCTCAGACACATGGGTGTGGCCTGGATCGCATAGCCAAGTGGGTGCAGAGCTGGAATTTATTTATTTTTTAATAAATTTTATTGATTTCAGAGAGGAAAGGAGAGGGAGAGAGAGAGAAACATCAATGATGAGAGAGAATCATGGATTGACTGCTTCCTGCACACTCCCTCCTGGGGACTGAGACCGCAAACTGGGCATGTGCCCTGACCTGGAATCGAACCGTGACCTCCTCCTTCACAGGTTAACGCTCAACCACTGAGCTACACCAGCCAGGCCAGAGCTGGAATTTAAACTTGCCGTTCTCTCAGCATTTACGCTCTTAAGCACCACCGCAGAGAACACGGTATGAGAGCCAGTGTGTGAGAAGGGCCAAGCCCTTTCTATTCCTCTCACATCAAATCCAGACACAGCGTGGTGCACGGCTCTCCTGCCACTTTACCGAGATCAGCTGCATCAGAGGGGCGTTGTTGGGGTCATTCGGATCCAGCTTGGACTCTGCTGCCCACTTGGCCAACTTTTTTATGTCCGTCAGTCCTGAGGTGCCAATGGATGAGATGGCATCCGCTCTTTTCAAAGCGCTGGAAAAAAAGTTCATTCCATGAGGTGGACTTAACTTGACCACAGAGCAGTTTGCATCAGGACCACCAAATCCCAGGACGCATGGCTTAGGACGCTGCTATTCTGCACCACAGGAAGTCTGATAATTAGGACAGACTGCTGCCACTTTTCTTTACTTGAAGACTGTCATTAAATATGTTATAAGGCAGTAAATAAGTATGAATGGTGGGAGGAAATATTTGCAAACCACACACCTGATAAGGGGTTAGTATCCAAAATATATAAGAAACTCATACAACTCACTAGTAAAAAAAACCCAGATAATAAAAGAATGGACAAAGGAACTAAATAGATATTTTTTTTCCAAAGAAGATATTCAAATGGCTGGCAGGTACATGAAAGAGTGCTCACCATCACTAACTATCAGGCAGATGCAAATCAAAACCACAGTAGGATATCACCTCACATCTATTAGGATGACCGTTATCAATAAGGGAAGAAACATTGATAGGAATGTAAACTGGTGCAGCCATCGTGGGAAATACTGTGGAAAATCCTCAGGAAATTAAAAGTAGAACTACCATGTGATCCAGCAATCCCACTTCTGGGTATATAGCTGAAGAAAATGAAATCACTCTCCCTAAGAAGTACCTGCACCCCCTTCGCGCCCCCTCATTGTCACTGCAGTATTATTTATAACTAGAGGCCCAGTGCATGAAATTAGTGCACTGGTAGGGTCCCTAGCAGCTGCCAGCCACTGGCTGGGGTCTCCCTTCCCCCACTGCCGGCTGCCAGCTGGGGTATTCCTTCGTTCTGCACTGGCCCCTGGTGTTCAGCACACATCATAGTGAACAATCGAACTCCCGGTTGTTTGAACTCCTAAGGGGACACTTTGCATATCAGGCTAAGTATGGAAACAATCTAGATGTCCAGTGACAGACGGATGGATAAACCAGCCACACGTTACCTCCTGAATCCAGTGTTCTGCTGTGACAGTGGAGGGATTAAAGGTGTCCCATTCTCTCCAACCGCCCAGGCCACACTGTGGGACACTTTCCCCGAGGTCATCAGGATCAGCTGATTACTGCCGTCAGCTTCAAATGACAAGGGCACGCCTACAGAAACACCACATCAGACAAGATGTTGTTTAGAACGAGGGCGCGAGCCCAGTCCTGGTGAGAAAGCAGGCAGTAGACAGTGAAAGGAGAGGGTGAGGGCGGTGGGGGTGGAACACGTAATTCAATATCACTGAACTTCTTCAGGTGACAGGCGACGATGCTCAGAATCACCATGTGGCTGTGTCTCTGACAACAGAGTGCAGACGTTGTAATGAATGATGCACCCGCAGTGGGGCCATCTGTGTGCACATTCTGGTTCTGACACTCAGCAGCTGTGTGACCGTAGACAGATGACTTAACCTCTTCATGTCTAAAATAAGAACAGGAACGGCATCTCCTCCCAAGGGTTATTCCGAAGACATTCATTTACTCATTCTCTCTGAAGACACTTATTTGAGCTCCTACCTCGGGCCAGGCGCTACTCTAGGCACTGAAGATAACAGTAAAGAAACCAAACTGATGAGGATTCCTGATATCAGGCCGTTTATAATTGAGTAGGAAAGACGGGCAATAAGTTAAATGCAATGCACAGTATGTTACAGAGTGATAAGTGCAAAAGTGAAGCATATATTAGGGAAGGTATAGAGAAAGTATGTGTTTGGGGATGGGCAGGGGTGAGCTTCAGATGGTTGGCCAGGGGAGGCTCCAGGAGAAGCGACTTTGGAGTAAAGGCCTGAAGAAGCTGAGTTGGTGAGACGTAGAAATCTTGGGAAAGAGCATTTCTTGGCAGAAGGACCAAGTGTAAGAAGCCTGAGGTGGTAGTGTAAGAGGCGGGGGGTGAAGAATAGCGGATTAAGTGAGGTCACCCTGGCAAAGCGCTAGTGCCTGGGAAACGGTGACCACTCAGCAAACGTTCGCTCTTACTAAGCCCTGTGGTCCCAGTAAGGCCTCCCTGATTTGGCCCCCATTGAATGGAAATGAATGGTAAGAAGTGTCTAGGCAGTAAGTTCAATCAACCAGAGGAAGAAAAGATTTTCAAGCACTAAATAGAGCAACTTCGCATGCGGGATTTCCAATTGATGTTATTAACACGAAACTCTAAAGGCGTCTCTGTGTTTTTCCAAGACTTCTGCTACATATGAAACATCCTATCTTGATCTTCAAAAGAAGATCAAGCCTATAAAGGGGGTAGTATTAGATCTATTTTATGAACGAGAAAGATGATATTCAAAGAGGTTATGTGACTGCTAGGGTCACAGGGCTTCTCAGTATCAGAGCCAGGACTAAAACCTCCATCTTCAGGCTTTTAGACAGTGAGTGAGTTTGGGCCTTGGAGTTCTTGCAGATCTCCAGCTGTGACCTCACAATAAAAAAACACCTTGAGCCCTAGCTGCTTTGGCTTAGTGGATGGAGTGTCGGCCTGTGGACTGAAGGGTCCCAGGTTCGATTCCGGTCAGGGGCACATTCCTGGGTTGCAGGCTAGATCCCCAGTGGGGGGCGTGCAGGAGGCAGCCAATCAATGATTCTCTCTCATCACTGATGTTTCTCTCTCCCTCTCTGAAATTAATAAAAATATATTTAAAAAAACAAACACCTTTAACAAATGGCAACAGAATGAGACCAACAATTAGAATTGATAGATATAGAATATTAAAAATATTTTAATATGTTTAAAAAATAAAGCAATTAATGAATAAAAAAATGACTGAGTCTTAAAAAAAGGACAAAAAATTATCACACATAACCAGACTTATTGGAAAAAAAACTAGATAGAATATCTGGAGGTGAAAAAATACTACAAAAATTGAAATGAGAAATGCAATGAGTTGCATTGATTAGGCACAGCTAAAGTGTGAATTCATCAGTCAGAAGACAGATATAAAGAAATTACACAGACTGCACCAGTGAAAGAAAAAAAAAATATCAAGGGTAAGAAACATAGTGGAAAGAGTGAATTGGTCCATCATTTATCTAACCAGAAGTGCAGGAAAAGATGAGACAGAATATTAATTAATAATCTCTCTATTATAGGCATGCAAGTTATTTCAAACTTCACAGCTTTAAAATAATACCACAATGTACATTTTTTTTTAATGCACAAAACTTTGTCCTCATTTCAAATTATTTTCTTTGAAAAGATTTCTAGAAGTAGAATTAAGGTATCAAAGGCATTCTAACCACCCTTAATTCCCACTGCCAAACTGCTTTATACTTGCAGAGCTCTGTGAATTTACTGGTCACCAGGAGCATATCAAAAACAACTTTGCAAAAAGTTGTATGTAATTATTGTTTCAATTTGAATTTTTGATAACAATTTTAGAGTTATTGGGTTGACCGGGAAATGAAAAATAAAAGAAAGATACGTTCACATCTGACAGTAGGACTGTGAGCCCCTGAGGATAATCCACTGTCCATACCACTTCCAACTCCCTCGTGGTCCAGGGCCACATGCTGGCTACTGCTGAACTCCACTTCTTCGATGGGAGCCCTCCCGGTGACAACGGTGGTTTCAGGAATAGGCAGGAACACTTCTGCTAGCAAGGTGGTGCCACTGTGCCCCACTGTTTCATAGACCTGAAATCGAGGAAGAGAAACAGCCACATAAAAGCGGCAATAGGTCACCTGCTGCATGGGACGATATTCACAAATGTTATATCTTTTAAGGGGTTGATATCCAAAATATGTAAGAAATTCATACAATTTAACATTAACCCCCCCCCCCCAAACAATCCAATTAAAAAATGGGCCTGGGTAGACAGTGTTTTCAAAGAGGACATACAGACGGCCAACAGACATGAAAAGATGCTCCACGCCACTAATCATCAGAGAACTGCAAGTAAAAACCACAATGAAATATCACCTCACACCTATCAGAATGGCCGTCCTCAATAAATCGACAAGTAAGTGATGATGGGCATGTGGAGAAAAGGGAACCCTCGTGCACTGTTGCTGGGAATGTAAATTAGTACAGCCTCTATGGAAAGCAGTATGGCAATTCCTCAAAAAATTAAAAATACAGCTGAGCCCAGCTGGCATGGCTCAGTGGTTGAGCATCAACCTATGAACCAGGAGGTCATGGTTCGATTCCTGGTCAGGGCATATGCCCCAATTGTGGGCTCCATCCCCATTGTGGGTTGTGCAGGAGGCAGCCAATCAATGGTTCTCTTTCATCATTGATGTTTCTATCTCTCTCTTCCTCTCCCTTTCTCTCTGAAATCAATAAAAATATATTTTAAAAAATGCAGCTGAGATCAGGGTGCACCCTAAGTCCAACACAAGTATCGCTGTAAGAGACAAAAGGACACATAAAGCTACAGAGAAGGTCATGTGAAGACGGAGGCTGAGACCAGAGTTAGGCCATCATAAGCCAAGGAACTCCCAGAGCCACCAGAAGCTGGAAGGGGCCAGGAAGGACCCCCCCTTCAGAGCTCCTGGAGGGAGCGTGGCCTTGCTGACCCTGGGTGTCAGACTTCAGGGCTTCCAGGATTGAGAGACTAGACATCTGCCGTTCTAAGCCACCACATCTGCATTGCTTAGTATGGGAGCCCTAGGAAACTAAAACAAACAGAAAGAAACATATTGCTAATGGTGGGATTTAAATTAGTTGGAGATTTATTTTTTTTTGGGGGGGGGGCTGTGGGGGTCCTAACACCTGTAACTCCTCTACCAACTCCCCTCCTAACCACCTGTGACTATAGCATAATTGATTTCTCTGGTACATTATGCCAGGGTCCTGGTAGAAGGGGAGACTGAGGCACTCCTCTGATGAATGAGCCAGAGGTTCTCCCCACCTCCACCCTCCCTCAACGCCTCCCTTTTCTCGAGGCACACCCTTGAGCACTGTGGCCAGCATTACTCTGTACACATTCTGAGGAGGTGACTTGGGGTAACACTCCTCCTTCTGCCAAACCTTACGCACAGACGTGTCCAGGAGGAGGCTGACCCTTGAGAACCTACCAGGAGGCTGCCATAGCCAATGGGTGACTTCCAACCGCCCTGCTCCTGCAATGACCAAGATATTCCTAGGACGGTGACTATCATTGCAATGCGTACCTGCAGCGTTAAACTCTCCGGCCAGTTGACTATTTGCAAACTGAAAATCTGTCCAAAGTGAACTCGGAAGTCTGCCCCGAGTGGCCGCCCTTCGGTCCTGGACACCTCCTTGCCGTTGAAGATCACCTTTAAATACACCGAGCGCCTCTTGACATCTTCCCTTCGTAAGACCTCCGCCCTGCAAAGGGAGACGTTGGCAGGTGAGGCTGGTGTTCGTGGACTGAGGATAATGGGAGTGCTTGGCGGATGGACACCGAACAGGACAAGATATGCTGAGGCGGTGCTGCCAGTCACGTTAGCCCTCACTGAACGCAAAGGACTCCAGGTCTCGCTGAGCTTCTATAATAAAGCATTGTGATTGTGATAGGGAGGAGGAGGCCGGAAAGCCCATTGGGATTTAAGAACAGGGTCCAAACATCGCTGTACAACAGTTTCCTTAAAGTTTTTCAAACAAGCCTTACATTTGTGTCCCAAAGCTTTAAGCAAACAGAAACATCAACTCTTAAATGGAGAGAAGCCAAACCATAAGGGCAGTAGTGATTTATATTTGGGGGGACATTTTATCCTAAAAATATAACAGCATATCGTAGCGCTTAGGCCACGTTGGCTTCTCTGAGATTCAAGCTGGTTTTGTTTGCTTGTTTCTTTTGCTTAGTTTGCTTTGTTTCTTAACACTTTCCAAGAGTGAGTGACGGCTCACTGCCTGCAGGGAATTGAGAAACGTCCCTTATTTTTAAAGGTCATTTGAATCCCCCCAAAATGTATTCTTTAGAAGTATATTATTCTTAAAGCCAGGAAGTTAAAAAAAAATCAAAAGCAACAAGAGTGGCCGTTAATTTTACTATGTATATGTGCAAAGATGTCCACCCAAAACTCCGATTGTTGGTTAAGTCAATGGCAACTCAAGCTTGTTAAGGAAAGGGTAGGCTTCAGATGGCTGACTTAGTATCCACAACTCCCTTGGGAGGCTCTGCAAGACCAGCAGAAGGCGAAGCTGGCCTCTGGAGCAGCTGAAATCAAGGGCTGAGGGGAGACCTGGGTGTCTGTGCCCAGGAGAGGGGTGCTACCGGTGGACAGAAAACACATAGTGAAGTTACAGGTAAAGGCTCCAGGTCAAAAGCCACGCCGGGGAGAACCCCAAACAAAAGGGAAGCCAGCGGGGATGCATTAACTCGGGAGGTGAACCACAGGGAGTCACCAAATTATGGACAAATATCGGCAATTTTATGTGGTTCAATCAAATATATGTCTGTAGAAAGTTAATGATTCTCCTGACTGCATGGTGTTGGTCAGGGGGTGTACAGGAGCTGCACATTCCACAGCGGGTGTATGTGTGTGCATGTGCGTGGGTATGTCTGTGCATCACCTGTCAATCTCACCTGGGACACTGGTCGTTGGGTGTCACACTCCCGGCCAGGCTCAGGTCTGGGACCAGCGTGGGCTCCCCGGGCCTCCTCCTGCTCCGGGCTGCTCTCTCCCGCACCTGCTGCTCTAGCACTGCCTGCCGGGTGGGCTCCGGGGGGATGGGTTTCACGGGACCCTCCCCAGGAGATGGCTCCTCCACCTCCTCATCAGGGTGTTCTTCGGCTGCTTGTTTCTTTTTCTTTTTCTTGGCCCTCTGTTGGGTGAGAGGCAACCTTATGTCAGACGGAAATGTTAGGATTTCATTGAAGAGCACAGCCTTCAGAATCAGACAGACCTGGATGCAAACCCAGCGACCCCTCAGATAACTGTGCGCACGCAGGCAGGTTACAAAGCTACCTGGCCTCTCCATGCCTCGGTTTTCTCTTCTTCAAAATGGGGACAATCATGGGAAACTCCTTCAGGGCTGATGAAATGGGGTAATTAATGCCTGTAAAGCACTCATCACAGTGCCTGGCCCCTAGAAAGAGCTTAAAAAACATTAGCTATTTATATGATTATTAATATAGATTCTCAAGGCCAAGGACACATCTTGAAATTAAAGTGAGGCTGTGGCCGGGCCGGCGTGGCTCAGTGGCTGAGCAGGGACCTATGAACTGAGAGGTCATAGCTCCATTCCCAGTGGGGGCATATGCCTGGGTTTCAGGCTCGATCCCTGGTGTGGGGTGTGCAGGAGGCAGCCTATCAATGATTCTCTCTCATCATTGATGTTTCTATCTCTCTCTCCCTCTCCCTCTCCCTCTCTTAAATCAATAAAAATAAATATACAAATGTGGCTACTTGAGACACAGGTTACGCTTCCATCACAGTAATCTTATTACAGTGGTGACAATGAGACCTGTAACATTTTTTGCTAGGCTCAATGAGCGGAGTAATAAGACTTGAATTTCAGAAACAAGGAATAGTATACCTTAAATCACCTGCTAAAATAACAATAACAATGTTTTCCTATAAAATAAAAAAAATATATATACAGTAAGGCTGTGAGCAGGACTGGCACTGCAGGTCCCCCTCATCTATTACTTATTGCCCTTGGATTCAATTTTGCAGATCATGTGTACAAAGTTATGTAGTTTTCTGAGGGAGAACCAGGAGAATCAATGCCCTCCATTCAACAGGACGATGCATACAACATGCCTGACACAGACATGAACAAGTACTGTTATGACTTGTTGGTTCACTCAGATAGCCACAGAGTGGTAACAGAGCTAACAGTGATAGCAAGAGTAACTTGCCCAAGAACACACAGTTGGAGAACCCTGGCTCTGGTTTCAGCTAGCACTGCAGCTTTTTAAACAAGTGCATTCATTAGCCAGTTCATTCACTCATTCTTTAGTTCTCTGGCGAGGGGGCAAGGAGAGAGACAGAGCAGAGCCAGCAGTTTCCCTCCTTCTGTCTCATGGGGTGCCCTCTAGACCCTTCCCTTCCCCCACATCAGCCCAGTTCAAGGCTGAGGCTCCTGTGCGAACCTGGGCTTTCCTCCAGGCTTTCCACTGCTGATACTCGGTTCTGTATTCTTCCATCTTCTGCTCGTACTCTTCTGAGTGTTCTTCCAACAACTCGCTTATTTCAGCTTGAATTTCTGCTTCATATGCTTCTTCGTCTGCTTTCTGGTCCACTTTTTCCCTTTAAAATAATTCATAGTACCTTGGTTATTTCCTGAAATGAAGTAATAGAGTAATAATAACAGCAACCACCTGCACCAGGCTTGATTTGTGGCAGGAACTCCTCTAAAAGCCCTGCACATGTCAGCTCACATTCCCGCGATGCAGAGACTGATCATCACGTTTTATACATGAGAAGACAGGCACAGAGAGGGTAAGTCACTTGCCCAAGAACACCAGCTGGTGGTAGAGAAGCTGGAATATTTACTGCTAAACAACAATGCCACTCTAAGTGACCCAGATGGCATACTGACATGGTGCCAGTAAACTCTCCACCTGTAGCGGTAGAAGGTCCCTATAGTTATCTTATTAATCCTTCAAGTCTCTGACGACTCACTTCATCATGTTGCTACCCAGTCGCTAAAGCCACTTTTTGACTTGGGATTGACAATTTGAGTTTTTCTTGGAAGATTCTGCGGACACTCCATCAGGAGTTCGGCTCAACCCAAGGCAGTGCTTCCCAAGGTATGTTCTGTAGAACACTAGTTCTGCGAATGCCCAAGTCAACCTGAGGTTCAACAAATGGGAGCGGCCTCTTGCTCATCTTTGCAGGGCCCTTTATCTGTTAGTGGGCAGTGTGACTCTTTAGGAGGGAGATGGCCAACATGCCTACCCAGTGCGTCCCACCCAGCATGTCCCACCCAGCACTTAGAGCTGTTGCCACTCATCACCTGTGCTTATCTCCTAATGTGGTCTGGTCAGGTCAATGCCATCTGTCCTCTTAAAGCGCCTCATCCCTTTAGATAAACTTAGTCAGGTGCCCAGAGCTGACAAATGTTTGCTATGTACATGTGTAGCCTGGTGCTTAGGCAATTAGCAGTCCCCCAAGGCACAGACATTTACAGATTTCTAGGATTTTACCTAAGAAACCCCTTTGGAAGCAGTGACACCTCACATTTATAAACATTGGGGAAGTCTGGCTCAAAAATTTAGTTCCATCTCTGATATATAAGGAAGCATTCACTTCCTCCTTGTTATTTAGAAACACAAATGAGCTGGTGGAAATTGGGGAACTTGTGCAGGAAAAAAAATTATGCTATATCATAAGGTGGCTTGAGGAACCACGAATGTAAACGAAGGGCATTCCAGAAGAAGTTAGGAAGAAGCACTTAGGGAAAAACAGGGCCTAAGTTTTATGAAAGTGACAACCTAGAGGTGACCTGAAGGGTAAATCTCCTATAAAATTCAGTTTATCCTATGCTGGTGACCAAGATCAACAGTAATTGATATAAATGTGAGGAGTCTGGCAGAAGGCTGACCAGGACTCCTTTTGATATTCACAAGGTGAATATCTACATTTTATTACCTGCTGCTGACTCAGTGGCCTAAAGCAAACTCCCCCAAGACCTGACAATCTTATTGTTTGCTAAACATTACCATTGATATGTCTGTTTGCATTCCTAAAGGCAATTGTGTATTCTAGCTAATAAAAGCAGTTGGGAATGGAGCAACTGGAGAGAGCTTGACCACTATGGTTAGGCTGTCCTCTGGTTCCCCCAGTAATTAAAAATTAATATTCCATCTTGTGTATCATTTGTGCGTCAGCCCTCCCTCCAAGTCTTTGAACCCACAAAAGCCATGCTGGCCGTGGACTCTCACAATCCTAAACTTAGGAAGTAGGAAGGAAGGAAGGAAGGAAAGAAGGAAGGAAGGAGAAAACAATCTTATAAATATTTACATTCTCTATTGAGGTTAGAAGGGTAGCCTGGGAGACAGAATTTAGAAGTAGAAACACCGGAATTTCTGGGAAACATCCATGGTTTCTGTGGGAGAAACTCTTTGAATTTGTTTTTCATGAACTAACATTCAATGAGCACACACCCAGTGGCAGGTGCTCTGTTGGGGACCAGAGTTCCAGTGGCAACAAGGTCCCTGACCTCACAGAGCACAGTTTACATTGGGAGGATGTCGTCTCCGCCTCTGATGATTACAACGCCCCAAAATCACCAGCCACAGCTCTCTTTGGCTAAAACATGGCTGATTTCAAAGCCAAGCACCAGCTCATTGCCCACACTTGTCACTTTCGTGTTGGTATACGGACACAACACTCACTCAGAAGAAACCATCCGGAGAGGACCAACACCAGCAGAGACACTCTTGAATCAATACACAGAACAAGGCTCTGCTTGTTAACTGTGCTCTTGCTCATGGATCAAAGCCTAGTGAATGAGGCCTCCTTAGCATAAGTGCTATCAAAGCATACCTTCCCACACCAGGCCCTGGTCAGCTCCAAGTGGGTTGGAGACTGATGTGAAAGATAAAGCTGTAAAGACTGCAGGAGACAATATACAGACCACATGGACTATCTACATGACTCAGAGGTTTTCTTCAGCAGATATGAAAAGCACCAATCACAAAAGAAAAGTCTAAAATATTCTTTTTAAAGTTAAGAACTATTCACCAAAAAGCAGCAGAAAGAGAGTAAAAAGACAGGTTCAGATGGGAGAGGCCACTGCGACAGGCACCATCCACAAAGGTCTCGTGAGCGGGTGTATGCCGAACGCCTACGAATTATGAAAACGGTAAAAGGACAATCAATCCAGGTCAAAAATCAACAAAAGCCTTGAACAGACACCTCAGAGAAGAGGAAACCAAGGTGGCCAACTCATGTCTGGGAAATAAAAATTAAAACAGGCCATCATTAGATTAGTACAATGTTCATGTTGGGCAACATCCGGCGAGATGGATATGGGTGATCTGGACCTACGGGGACACTGGTCAGAGTACAAATCAGCTCAGTCACTCTGCAAAAATGTCTGTATTCAGCACGAAAATGTAAATTCTTGGCAAAATGCCTCCCTTAAGACTCAACAATTTCACTTCCAGGTATATTTCTGGAAGGTGTAGCACACAAACCCTAAAAGACATGTCCACAGGAGTGCTGTTTATAACAATTGAAAAATGGGATCAACTCAATGTCCACCAACAATAAAATGGAGAAATCCTGTGATATTCATATAATGAAGAATTATAAAGCAAGGAAACTGCAGCTATGTGCCATAAGGTAGATGGTTCTCACATAGTATTAAAGAAAAGAAACAAGTGTGTATTCACTAAAGAATACACACAAAATACTTTCATTTATGGAAAAGTCAAAAACTATATGTTTCCAGGGATTATACATTAATGGCAAACCTATAAATAAAATCAAGGAAACACTGATCATAAAAGTCCAGAAAATGATTACTTCTGGGACGAGGGGGGTCGAGTTGGGGTTAGGAACATGGGGCTGCCAGGTTATGTTCTATTTCTGAACCTGGGGAGTGGTTACATGGTTATTCATTTGTAAGTATTTTTTGTGATTATTTTTAAAACTGTACCTATGTTTTATACATTTTTCTCTATGATATAACCCAATAAAACAATTTTTGAAAAAAGCCTACTTTCTCAAAACAAGTTTCAAGGGCGTGTTTGTAAACCTCTGGAACTCTCGCAGGGACTTCATTTCTTTCCAGACTTTTATGATGGTCTTAAGCAATGTTCGATCTGTTTCTTGTTCAGCATCACGAAGTTTTCTTGTTTGCCTACAAGATATAATACACACACACACACACACACACACACACACACACAAAGTTATTTAGCTGTGTTTGCAAATTACAAAGAATTACTAATGCTATAGTGATTGCATATTTAAGAGCTATAATATAGAAAGCCAAAACTATGAATGAAAATTTGAATACAATAGGATGTTGATATATTTTGAGAGGTTATTTTCTCTTTTTTTTTGCTAGATGAATTTGACTTCAACTTAACTAAATTAACTTTTAAAATTATTATTAATACAATGTACCTTCAACAAATCACCACCATAGACACTATAAAAATAAACAGCCAAATATATGCAGTTCTCATGGACTAAAGTATTGTTAACATAGGGGGGTTTATTGCTGTCCCAGTGATCAACAAATATTTTCAAGTCTGTGTTAGCACAAATCACAGTGCTCCCTTTAGGAGACGAAGTGATGTTAGTGGGTGCCTTGGTGAGTTTTCAGTGCTATCTAGAGGAACGATAATTTTGGCCTGATATGAAGGAGGTATCCTTGAAAAATGCTTCTGTTTTCATTTCCATTATTTAAAGTGTTTGCCAATTACCTAGTGCCCTACTTTAAGCTTTCTAGGACTAATAGCCTAATCCAGAACCCAAATGCACTCTATTATGCCATTAATTAATTAATTAGACAGGATTTTTTCCTTGAGCAAGTACATGTGACATGTCAGGGGATTCAGAAGTGTCTAGAAGATAGGAGGTGTCCCTGTGGTCAGAAAGTTTAGCTCAGGAGATAGGCACATAGATAAATGACTGTAACATACAATGTGAGCTTGGCCTAAGATAGCTTGACCCCCCAGAAGGCAGGCCTTAGCCTGGAGTTTTCCTTGTGTTAGTCAAGCCTCAGGAGAAGATACAGAGAAGCACAGAGGGCTGGTTTTCTAATCATTCAACTGGTATCCGTGGAAAAGGAAGACGACAGCCAACTAGTGGTTGGGTGGCCATGATTCTGGACCCTCTGCAAGTGGTGGAAAAGCAAGAATGCAGTGAACTAGAATAAGAAGCATTCTTCTTGAGGAGCAGCAAGGCATTATGGTTAAGGACACAAATGTGGGCCTCACTCCCCAGATGTAAATCCTGCTTCTATCGTTTACTAGCTGGCATGTGTGTTTTCTGTCCATGTGTCCCACACGTGTGTACCTAGGACAAATGAGTACTGTGTCAGGTGTTCTGTAGGGTTAGTAAATGGTATCACATAGCAAGCAGCCTCTTACACCTGGATTTTTAAATTCAACATTATTTTATCCATATCGATACATGCAGAGCTAATTCAGTCATTTTGACCATGGTAGAGACAGTTCATGTGACTCTAGCAGATATGTTCAGTGCTATGGGGTCATTTCTAGTTTCTGACTTTGTAAATGATGCTGTGATATCCTTGCAGGCACCTCCAGGTGCATGTGTGCATGGCTCCTTGGAGGGAACACGTCTGAAGCAGAATTTCTGGGTCTTAGCTGAAGGGTATTTCCTCACTTTGCTTGTCTCTGGCCAGGCTGTTCCCTGAAGGGGTGACTGCAGCAGTATTTGTTTCCACCAGTAGAGTGTGCGAGTCACAACATCCTACATCTTCATCCCTTTATTGGGCTTCCAGTTTGGTGTTAAAATGATGGCTATATCTCATTGCTTCTTTTGGCTTAATTTCACACGTATTCAGTGCATTCAGAAAAACTGAAAAAAACTGAGCTCTCAACAACTGCACAGCAAACTGGGGAAAAAAAGAAGTTAAATTATAGACTTTAACTCACCGAATTTCAGATTTATACTCATTGATGGCTTTTGGGGTTATATCAACAGACTTATGAGATTTTTCTGGATCAAGGCCCATCTGAACAGCATTTCTTAAAGCTTGGAGCTTAAAAAGACATGGATACATGTTTTGAGTTAGACATTGTCCTCCCTACTGCAGGCTACTTGCCTGGACCTACCCATAAAATGACCCAAGGACCCATCATGTAAATGGATGTCCAAGCATCTAGCTGTCTTCAGGCTTTTGCCAAAATGAACTTTTAGAAAGAGCTGTTTCTTCTATTCTTGGGAATCAACCACAGTCCTCTGCTCTACCAGCTGAGCTATCGAAGGGATGGACTCCTTCTTCTATTCTTGAAAAAAAAAAAGGAATACTAAAGAACACTGCATGTCTGTCCTTGCTCTGTGGCCCAGAAAATCAAGAGGCTCATGAGAGATGCTGCTTTTATGTGCGTGTCTCAGACACAAGGTTTTTCCAAGGCTAAAAGTGGGTCCTTCTGGATCTTGGTCTTACACTGATATTTTTGTGATGTGAAGAGAACATAAAATAATAGATTTATAAGAGAAGGTACCATGGAGTTATCTCTTTTTGGAGGTAGTATGTTTTAATATCAGGGTAGAAGACTAAAATTCCCCATAGTCATAATTATCCATGAAAATTACACAGGGTGGGATTACATTGGAAACCATTCTGAAATGGATGGCCATGTCTTTGAGCATCAGTTGAAACAACTGACTTGTGTTCAGGTGCCAGGTTATGGGAAATTATATGTAAAATGAGAATGTTTCTAAGGACAGAGAGATTCTCTAGCCTTGAACAGCCTCAGCATCTGAGGTCACATAAGCAAGACACAGCCAAGCATCTTTCATCTAATACCCACCCCTGGTAGGTGAGATCGCTTGCACTGTTCGCACAAATCTTTCTCTTTTAGCCAAGTGTGTGCCATTGAATTTGCACACGTTCAAGTACGTAATCATATCCTTCCTTTTGTTTCCAGTATAACAACATGCCATACATCCTAGAAAGAGGAGCCACATGGACACTTGCTGCTGGACATGTTTCTGTTGCTTGGGCTCATCAGAAGAACCCACCCCTCCAACAATAAGTGTGGAAGAGTGTACCTTATCAGTAAGAAATTGTGCCTTGTTTCTCTGGCGTCTTGCAAGGTACTGGTCATATAACTGGGCCAGCTTGGCTGCCAAAACATGCTCTCGGCTAAAACAGGGATGATGGGTAAAGATTAACCCTGAAATATCAATGTCCAATTGGAAATTTTCAGGAAGATCTCCAGATCCAATCATATGTTGAGTTTTCTGCACATATCTGACCGCCTGCCAAAGAGAGCAGAGTGTTGGGGGGAACAAAGTTAAGGCACTTACTAGATAATGACCTAATAAGCAATGGAAAGATATTCAGATGCAAAATACCTCCTACCCTGGTCAAGCCAGATTGATGCTCCATCCCCTTTCCTGGTGGTTTTAGGGGCCTGCTCTTTTCTGAATAGTCGAAAGGTAAAAATGAAAGACAAGAGCGAGAAAGGAAACCATTTTAATCTTGTCTCCAAGGTTTTTTAGATTTTTCTCTCTCCCAAGTCAGTCCTAATCTTTGTCCCGCAGACTATCTTGTTTCTTAGGTTTTGTCTCTGGTGACCTTGAAATTCTTTTGACCAGAGATGCATAGATTCTGGTCCAAACTGATCATTATTGGGATCATAGATATATTCTCCATGTACAAAGTAACAGTGGAAGAGGGAGATGGAGCAGCTGAGGATGTGGAAACAGGAATGGAAATTTCCACTGGGACGTCCATGGATCGCTTCATGCATAGCGAGCCCAATAAATCCCTCTGTGTTTATCCCATAAAATCTTTAAATATGCCCCACAGATCCCCACTGCTTTTAAGGTTGGAAGGTCCAAGGTGGAGAGACCTTTCTGATTCTGTGTCTTCATTTAGGTAGACACTACTGTGATCGGGAAGTGGGCATTGAGACACATCTCTCGATCCTCTGTTTTTGCAGAATGGAACTTTTTGGAACCTACTTATGTTATCTGGAAAATGGTAAGCTTATGTGACATAAATGTATTATTTATTAGTTATGAAGTTAAATGGAAGTTGTAGAAACTGTAGTGAGAACTGAAGCATCTATCTTTCATCAGTTGTGGGTAATGTTCAATAATCTCTTTACTTAATTCCTCTTCATGGTAATATCTAAAGAGACTGGGCTGGGGGAAGCCTTGGATTCCAGCTCTGGTTCTAACTCTGATTTGCTCTGGAACCTTGGCGAGGTTACTACACATCCCTGAGCCTATTTCTTCATCTGTAGGAATGGGAGACTGAGAAAAGATTAGCATTTTGTAGATCACTAGGCAGCATATCAATTATTTCACATATACCACCTCATTTCTTCCACAAAGAGGAGTGGATGTCTGCGATGTGCTGGGCCTGTCTCCAAGCAGCCACTGCATTAGGAGGAGGACTGGGAGCTGACCTTTATTACAGGAGGTGGGGAAGATAAGGCCTGGGGTGTGCACAGGGAGGTTGGAAAGCCCAGTAGAGGGGACTCCTATGATTATAAGATTCTAACTTTCTCCCGTCTCAGACTAAGAATAGGAAAGGGAGGTCCAGATTGTTTGTGTGTGTGTGTGTGTGTGTGTGTGAGAATACATGTAAGTATGTACAGAAATATACTCCCACAGGTTATATAGTGTGATCTGCTTTTCAGTTACTATTAGTCATCAAAATAGTACTGGTATTCACACTTATAACAAAGCATGTACATATGAGCCTTCATTTACCGGTAAATTTGTCCTGGTTTGGTGTTGCTGTCTGCTTTGCACTGGTAAGAATATATGAGTTTATTTCTTTTTAGCCATTTAATCTCATACTTTGTCCTCTGCCAGATTAGTAGACTATTAATGTATATTTAGGACATATGATTTTCTGCAAGAGTTCAATAGAATGTATCCTACTTTTATTTTAATAAAACAACACATTTTCTCCAAAAAATAGCATTTAAAAATACCATGTTGAAAAAAGTATTAAAAATGTCTTTAATGAGAAGACTGGTAGATATTTTGTTTTAAAAAAAGTCCTTGTAAACCAGGATGTGTTTATAAATAGGGAAGGATTGACCATGTCTCAGTCCCTTCCAAAACAGGCTAAACTGCATCTCCCTTTGGATTATAGAGCAGAAAGCCCATCCTGCATGGGTCTTACTCCACCAATAATTTGTATGTTATGAAAGCCCTAGTTCTGGTCATTAAGATCCTTACACTTTAAATGGCAACAGTGGAGACCCATTTCTTTCCTCTTTTATTTCAGTAAAAGTATTAAGTTAGCACCTGCATTCACGTTAGAAGTTTTTACTCTGTGTGGTCATGATTTGTCTTGTGAGCACCCAGACTACCTGGGTGACTTAGAACATTCCCACCTCACAAAGACATGTACTAGTACAACTGAACATCGTTCCACAGACTTAAAAGAACATTCCTTCCTAATTGCTTGGCTCTGGCTGGGTCTTGCCTTGCCTTTCCTTTTACATGGGGTATGAGATCACTCAGGTGTGGCTCTCAGGTTCCATCTTGTACTCTTCTTGATGAATAAGTAACGTTGGCAGCATAGTTTCAGTTACTTAAAATATTACCTGGGGCACCTGTACTTTGTGTCTCCTTCCCCAGATCTGCATTAGCTCATGTTCAAGTGATTATTGGTGGCCTTTGCTGTAAGCTGAGCTCAACTAAATAAAAATAGCTCCCAGAACTCTTGGTAGTCATTGGGCAAGACCACTCAAAAGACCCCAACTCTCTTCCTATTGGGGAGCAAGACCCCCTGGTTTGTTGTCTTTCTTTCTGTTTGCTACAATTTCTCCCCAAAATAAATAACATTGATAGGGCCTATTCTTTTAATTTTGAAATTGATTTAATCCTTTCAGTCTTGAATTGAAAACTGAAAACCAGAACTATCAGCAATGGTGCATATGGACCATCTGCTGACAGTCTCAGCATGAGTAGAGATGCATGCCCATGGAGAAAAAAACAAAGTTGTACAGAAAAAGAATAATCATTGGTGGGATTAAAATCCAAGTGTCCATATTTGTCCTGGAAAAATAGTAGCAACTGAAGTAAGATGACAGAAAGGAAAGAAGGAAAATAAGAGCGAACCTGGATATGCAAATAAGACACTGACTCAGCTACCCCACCTGGTAAGCTCGCTCCTGGTTAAAGAAGGGATTAGGTGAGCACAGTGGACTCCCTTGTAAATAGGCCTGCTGTCTGTTCTTTATGTGTAAGATGTAAATTATTTAAAAAATAAATCAAAGTAGAATACCACGAATTTAGTACTCCAAGTGATTCAAGCAGCAAAGCACTTTTAAGCAAAGGCACCTATTAAAAATGAGAGGAAGGTTTACCTTCTTATATAGTGTTTCGAGCTCTGCATGAATGTCTTGCTCCTGGGTCAAGGCTGGTGGCCGGGAAGGGGAAGGCCTGATGGGGTTTGGCAGGGCTAGGATTCTGCCATCATCTCCGAACCACCTTCTGTCCTGGGGAGCAGGCAGAGGGAAGAACATTTTCTTCTCATTGGACAGAAATGGTTTACAAAATAAATAATATTTGCAGGGAAATTCCAGGTCCACATACACATCTATGTACCTTCCCTCTTCCCCAATAGATCTTCTCCAGTCTCTGTTTCCATTAGAAATTGAGTCTTCACTAATGCCCCCTACAATTAATTTAAGATATAGTCCTCACCACCATCCCACCTGCAAAAAATAAAAATAAAAAAAACCTAAAGAAAAAGCTGTAATAATTGCTATGGAAAATTTTGTATCCTATTCATTAAAAATTTAAAAAAAGGAGAAAAGCAATAGAGAACATTCTATCCTGGATCTTTGAACATTTATTTCTATAAATTGGGAAATTGTTGCCAACATCTGATTTACAGAAGCCGGAATGCAGCTGGCAGAAGATATTTTTTCAGCAGTGAGTGTGTGCCGCTTGAGATCATGAAACATTCTGAGACAAGTTACAAAAAACTCAGAATGTTTTTTGTGTCCGGCTGTGTACGGACACCCCCAAGGGGAAATGAGTTGGGTGGTGCAGTGACTGCCCTGTGGAAAAAGGGATCCCCTGGGTCACTCGGGGCGACGCTGGGAGGGGGGTGTGCTTACGGACTCCTGCACCAGCAGCCTGTTCTCCATGATATTCTGCGTGGCCCGCGGCACCTCAGGCCTGGTTCCAACGTATAGTCCTTCATCCTCCAGGAACCTGGGCTGCACGTTCTCAGGAAGCTTCTTATATGTGGGCACTAGACAGTCCATAGAGAAATGCAGCCACTTTAGTGCCCACCTAACGTTTCCAAATGCCTTGTGAGAAAGCAAACCTCCCCAACAAAGATTTCCTTTCTGTTCTTGGAAAAAGGCCTGTTTTCCAAATTAATTTCTCAAAGCAGAACAAAGGAGAAGACGAATGCGTTTCCTTGCAATACCATGTTGTAGAGATGAAAACATTCAATACCTACTAGTATGCGAAAGGAGCAGTAACGAGGGGTTAATCAGAGGGTCTGCTCCAGCACCCTGGCCACTCCCCACCTCAAGGAACGCCCCCAGTCTGCTTCCAAACACACAGCTGCTCAAACTCTTGGAATCTCCAAAGTGCTAACTGTCCACCCTTTTGTATGCTAATGAGAAGACTCCTGAATGGTCTCAGGATTAGTGCAGTGTCCAGGGAACCAATCATGTGAGAAGACAGTGGGGCTTTCATCACCCACTCCCTCCACTCCCACCTCTGGGAGAAAAAAGGGACAGAGGGACCAAAGATAGAATTAATCACTGATGGCAGTGATGTAATTAATCAGTTTTGGAGAGCTTCCTGGTTGGTGACACACACCCTTTGCCCCCTGCATCTCTTCACCTGTGAGCTCTATGTTCTTTATAACTAGAGACCTGATGCATGAAATCTGTGCAAGGGGCTCGGCCCTCATAGCCGCAATGGCTTGCCTCGGCCCTCGCAGCCCCAGCTTTGTCCAGAAGGTCGTCTGGAAGGTCTTTTGGCTGTCCTGTCTAATTAGCATATTATGCTTTTATTATTATAGATAAACCAATAAATAGAAGTGCTCCCTTGAGTTCTATGCGCTATCTAGTTATCAAACCTGAAGAGGGAGTCAGGGGAACTCCTGAATTTCAGCAAAGTCGAGTAAAAGTGTGTGTAGCCTGGGGACATGCTATTTGGCAATTGCTGTCTGAAGTAGTGGGTAGTCTTGTGGGACTGAGCCCTTACTGTGTGGGGTCTGCACGCACCACTGGTAGGTAGAGCAGTATTGAATTGTAGGACACCTTGCCAGCATGGAAGGATTGGTTGGTGTAAGTAAAAACCTACACACCTGGTCACAGGACTGTTCTAGAAGCACTGAGTGTGAGTAGAGGGTGAAACACAGTTGTTCCTTTTCACAGCCTGACTCTCAGAGCTCCCAGGGATGGTCACTGATCTGATGATGGGGCTCCCATGGCATTCCGGGATTTCTTCTGTGATTCTGTCCATAATAGCTTGTTCAGTGGATATTTTTCCATGTTCTACTTTTTTTTTTTTTGGTGTGTTTGTGTGGAGCTATTTCTTGATTATGAAATCAGATTAGAACCTGGGATCAGTGATGGAGATCTGGCGTCCTTAGACACCATCATCCTTTTGTCACTGAAGGAAAAGGAAGGTGAGTGGGAAGACAGAAAGAGCCAGTACCTGTCAGCCTACTGGGTATGAATAGGAATTCTTTCTCCCTGAAGGAAAAGGAAGGTGAGCGGGAAGACAGAAAGAGCCAGTACCTGTCAGCCTACTGGGTATGAATAGGACTTCTTTCTCCTTCTGCAGCCGAATGTGGACACTTTCATAATAGGCAGGTCTCACCGCCACGAAATCATCAGCCCCGTGATGTAAGCCCAACAGGAAATCCTCAGCACCTCTGCCATTAAGCAGCTCTTCCTCATCCTACATGGCGTTAAGAAAATGACAACAAAAATCATGCTAAGATGATCAGTTTATATAGAAAAAAATAATCTATGATATTCAAGTCACCAAACAACACAACCTACAATAGTATTACCTACTTATCTATTTGCTTGTTTGTTTGTTTATTTATTTAAACAAAAGCATAAAGCTACATGGCCTTTCATATTTACCAAGCAGATTTTATTTGTTTCTCACTATTTCCTATACTTGGCAAATGTCAAAATCAGATCCGGCTGAAGTCAGAAGAGATGTGCTAAGGGAATCTATGAAACCTCAACAACTCTGGCCTCCTTGGAAGGTTGACACTTATTTAAAGAACATGTGCTCACAAGTTATGTAGCATTTTAAGCTTCCACCTGGCACCCACCCCAGGCAAATGCACAAGTGTAGGGTCCACACACTCTGCTCAGACTACCTGGAGTCCCAGCCACAGGGATCTTGTCTACTTTACTGACCCTCGGTTTTCTCAGTTGTAAAATGGGTGCATTAATAGAGATGACTTCTTAGGGTTTTGTGAGGATAGAATTAAATGACCCATTTAAAAATCTTAAGCACAGGACCTGCAATTATAAATATTAGTGGAAGCATGTTAATTTTGCATAATTGAGGATTTTTCACACGTGTTCTCCTTTTCGTTCTCTTTCTTCCTCTTCTCCTTTTCCCCTTACTTTCTCCTTTATAAAAATCAAGGCTTTAAAACAAAACAAAACAGCAACACCTTTTAAAATCCTGTGGAGTCGTGCAGGGAGCTGAAGACACTGCTGCTGCCCAGCTACCAGCCTCCTAATATTTCCTCCCCAAACATACAAAACAATAAGAGAGGAAAAGTAAATCTACGTGGTAACTAAGCTCTCAGCATAACTTGAAGGCAGAGAATGCCAAACACCTCAAAAACGGAAGGCTGTTTCTTGCTTCTGCTCTACCTCCGCTTGTGACGAGCAAAGACCAAAGACTGGGAAAAACTGCAGCAAAGACAGAAAAAGGAAGTGAGTGAAAGGGCCTCTAGATGATCTAAAGCTCCCGCCAGGAAGACTAAGTCCACTTTCAGTATGAAAATATGAACAAAGGTCTGGGCAGGCCAGAGCGTGGACTACAGGAGAGGGCTTCACGTACAGATGACTTCAAAGGGCATGTTTTGCCCGGCCAGTGTAGCTCAGTGGTTGAGCATTGACCTGTGAACCAGGAGGTCATGCCCCACACTGGGGATCTCACGCCCACAACCCGGGCGTGTGCCCTGTTGGGGAATTGAACTGTGACCTCCTGGTTCATAGGTTGACGCTCAACCACGGAGCCACACCACCCGGGTAAGTCCTTTACACACTTTTACAGGCATGCTCTCTTTTATCGAACACATACCACTCACAATTAGGGAATCTGAGTTGGAGCTTGGGTGTGGCACGGGGCACAAAAAGCTGCTTGCCTGTAAGGTTGTGGGGGCAAGAAAACTCTGCAAGCCACATTGTTCTGCTTTTTTTTCTTTCTCCACAGAAGATGGACAGATTTAATTCAAGGCCCTGACTACCCAAATTGTGGGGTTATGTGAAGCTAATACCCTTTTTCTTTCACCCAAGACATGGATGAGCTGTTCTGTGTGGCGGTGGCAGTTTTGCCTTCAGCCACTTTCTTCCTGGCTAGGGTATCATCGTCATCCACTTCCTCCTCTTCCTCCTTATTAGCATCATCATCCTCATCCTCATCATCCTCATCATCCTCATCATCCTCATCATCCTCTTCATCATCATTGTGGTCCTCATTGTCATTACCATCATCATCATCACCATCAAAATATTAAATACCGTTTTGTTAGGTGGCCCTCTTAGCGCAGTAGGCAGCACGTCAGTCTCATAAATACCGTTTTGTTTACTCCTTGAACAGGTGGCCCTTCTTCCTCTCCTTCCGCCTCCTCTTGACTGGCTCCCTCTGTATGTTTCGCTTTTGGTTTTTCCTCCAGTTCCTCTGGTTCGGGATCAAAGGTGAAGGTGAAGAAGTTATAGGCTTCTTCGGCAGAAGGGAAGCCAGGCGGAAGCTGAGGAGAAGCAGAGAGCAACAGAAGGTCAGGGTTTATAAGCTGGAGTGAGCTGTGCACTGTTCGCTGGGAGTGGGCTCCATGCTAATGGCATCAGGCACATTACCTCTGTTGAAGGTCCGAGACTACTGGTAATGAGCTGTAACAAGGGCAACAGGCAGTTGGTAGCCTCCTTTAATAGGTACCTTTAACGAGTTATTTTGTGTAAACGGGCTCTTATTTACACTCCCACAAGCACATACATATATTATCAATAGCAGTAAAAGCTTTAGGAAGGATGATTAAAATGCCAAAAAGTGGATTCATTGTTTTATAGGCCAATGCTGAGATGGTTTTATTTAATCATGAGCAATACAAGATTTGTTAGCCTTTTTTTTTAAGACCATTTTTTTGGGGGGAGGGGGGGTAAGGCTCTGGTTCATCTTGAGTTAGTGTCCCCTTTTCCGCATATTGAAAGCGGGTGCAACGTCAGAGCTGAACAAATAGTCGTCCCTGCCCTTAATGCATTTCCCTGCCCCAAATCGAGCTAGCTTCTAGGATTTTGAAAGTACGAATTGTTTCTCATACTTTTTATTGCATTCTCCACAGCAATAGGAGGCAGGTCATGTATATTGCCAACTCGCATTGGATATTTTTGGAAAATAGAAATTAACAAAAAAACCCCACATGATTTAAAATATGTGTGATTGAAAACAAGCACGATTTAAAGACAGGATTTCTCACCGGGGGTTTAGACTTGATTTTTCGGACACAGTCACGGAACTTGACTCTTGAATAACTTTGGGAGTCATCGTCTTGTGCAGTCCTTTGGGTCTCTCTCCCTGGCTGGATGAGTCGAAAATGATAGATACACCATTTAAATAAAATAACACAAGAATGTTGTAAAACAAGCATTAACCCTCCCAAGGCATATCTTGTGACCATTAATGCAGACCACCATTCCTGAGAAATGAAATGCTGGTAAATGTCAAAAATATTTGAAGGCTAAGGTTGCTGAATATTGTCTTACTCAGCTCTGTCTCTCTCAGGACCAAACAAATCTAAAATTTTATATTCCATAAACCTTAAAATAAAAAGAGTCACTTCTCAGATCAATAGATATCCTTCCAAGAGATCATTTCCAAACAGTCTATGAAGAAAAGTATCAGTAATGTCTGAATGTAAATAAGTCTGGCATATACCCTTCAGGGCACAGGGCCTGGCCTTCTCGTGAGCCTTGGGACCCTGTCTGCTGGAAGCGGAGCCTTCTATCTATACTGTGCTAACACTCATCATGGGTGTTCTTTCTTCCCTCTGCTAGCCAATCGACCAGGTGTTGTTCCCACTTTATCTTCATCTCTCTTCAAACCCACCCCTTCTAGAGCCCTGCTACTCCACCTAGCAGCCATCGCCGAGCTTAACCACCCTATACCTCCACTGTCCGTGAACATGTCTGAATCCCCAGGGCTCCTCAAGGGCGGGCTGTTGTCACCACTGTGAGTTCAGAGCCCATTGGACATCTGGCAGGAATGAGTCTCCATAAATGCTGGCTGGACACCAGGGAGAGTGTGTCAAAGGATCAGATCCTGGGTAATCTGGGACACTGACCCAGGTCCCCAAATAGAGAAATTTTGGTCCTGTTTAGTGGAGCCCAAGTATTCAAATGTTCTGTGTTATTTCCACCTCAGTGTTAAAGGGTTCTTGGAGATTTGTGTTTAGCTTTGCTTTATCAGAAGTCACTGAGAATAAAGTGAAATGAAATGCAGATGAGAGTAAGCACAGGTCTGTGTTGGTGAATTTAGATACTGACCGAAGTATTCCCAACTGGTTTCTGCTCTTCTCTCCGACTCTACAGCCTCTAACACGAGCTCATACTTAGAGAGGGCTTTCTGTGTGCCAGGACTGTTAGGAACACTGTAACATGTGTGAACACTTCGAATACTCAATACAATGTCAAGAATTAGGTTCTGGTATATCCCCGTTTTACAGAGGTGGAAAGTTACTTGTCCAAGCTCATACAGCTGATGAGTGAGCCTGTCAGTATTTAGCACTGGGCAGCTGGGTTCTTTGTGTGCTGTACCCTTTGCTCCATAGGATGGAAATGGGCCACTTTTTAGATATTCCTTCTGGGTTGAGGTATATATGAAGAGATATGTTCATGGGCGAGATGTTCCATTAGGAATCCGGGATCTGGTCTAAGGACAAGGTAGTTGATGTTTGTCTGAACTCCATGGAGTGGTTTTTAGGGGGTGGGGAATATAATAGACATGTGAGTCGGGATCTATTCACAAGGAGAAATAAGTACCTCGTACACCAAGGGAATATATTTGTACTTCCAGAACCTCCAGCTTTTTTGGGATATCATAGTCATGGCCCATGGACAAGTGAAAGCTGAGCACCAATCAGAAGGTATAGACAAGACCAGATAGAAGAGATCAGATCCTCCTATCACTTAACCCACTTGCCCAAATGTGGAGACACACACACACCTACCAAAATAATTGAAGTGTTTGTCCCAAGCTGATGGGAATTTAGGTAGTTTTTCTGACTTTTCTAATATTTAAAAAAATGGTGGCTCTTACAAGGAAAAAATAAATAAATTAGAATGAATGAAAAAGAAATGTCTGCTCAGTAGAATGCAGTAGAAAAGTGTCAAAAAGTCACTTCATAGGTCCACTGAATGTTTCTACTAAAGAACCCTGGACCACAGCACACGAGCAGGGTTGAAACTTTCCTGATGATCATGGAACCTTTGGTTTGCTTGGGATGGATGAAGATTAAATGTTTATAACTTTTCATCACAGAAAAAGGAAAGGAACATATAAGAAATCAGTGGTTATGCTACGGAAACATTCCCAAAGCCTGTGCTTCTTCGTCTCCATGGTGAAGAACAACCAAAGCATCATCATCACCAACAACAAACGGTTAGATCAGACTTGCAAACACACTTCATTGAACCATTTGCTCTGTTGTTTTGTCCATTCCTTCTTCTACCCTCCTACAGCTTGTCCTTCATCCACATCCTTGCCAAGTATTTCTATCTTTTACTGGCTTCCTCTTTGCCTCATAGGCCTTTACTGTAAGTTTTTCTCCAAGTGGCAAGACCCTCCTCTTCCAGGCTTCTTTCCTCCAGCAAGCAAAGGCATCTCAAACCTTCAAAACTCAGTAGCAATGCTTCCTAAATGTGTTTCTCCAGGCGTGGTCCCTCCCCTACAGACCTCTCTAGAAGAGCACCCATGGAGATGCTCCTCAGAGTGGAACAAAATCACCCCAGTGTATTCACACCATGCCCCATCCTATCATCAACAGATTCCCATGGCTTGTAGAGAACCACCGAGGCTCCTCAGTGTGATGTTCAAGGTCCCCCACCATCTGAACCTGCTCTTATCTCTCTCTGTTTCCCAGCAAGATCCATGGATCCAGCAACTCTGACCCATAAGACAGATTGGGGATGAGACAGAGCTGGGATCAGATCCTGGCACTTCCACCTACGTGCTCTATGACCTGGGGAGGGTTTTGCAGCCGTTTTGAACCTCAGTTTCTTCATCTGTCAAATGTGAGTGAAAAAAATAGCACCCACCCCCTAGGGGTGTTGGGTAATGACATGGGATAACACGGGTTCAAGACTTGGCACAATGCCTGGCACCGAGTAGCACTCTGTAAGTAGTAGCTATTACAATTACTAATAAGCACTTAACACCTCCTCTGTGCAGAGCTCTGTTCTAGAACTTCTGCTGGAACTTTTACGTTCTGTTTCACTGTCTTCGATCATAAAGCAGAGATGGCCTGTTTCTCACCTCCGCACCAAATCCAGTCTCCAGTTCTTTCTCACTGGGGCTTCGTAAGCGCCTGGGCCGAGGGGTGGGAATTTCCTGGAGCAACGCACTTTCTGCTTTGGACTAAAAAGTCAAACAGAAAATTACTGCTACATGGGCTCAGTGACGCTATGAAAACCGCAGCCATCCTCTCGGGGAGTACAATCAGTGAAAGATACACGCTTTACCTCCGTAAGCGATGAGAGCAAGCAAGGTGGTTTAGAAGAACAACAATGAACACTTCTCAAGGCTAATTTTTGTCTGCGCCAATGTTAAATACTACATTAGCATTCAACATGTGAAAAACATTTACCGCTATTCAGATCCCACAGTTTTGAACAAACAAAGCAAGTTAGAGACAAGACCCAGAGAGCTGCCCTGAGGACTGAACAAAGCATTCACGCGGTCCTCTTACCCTCGCAGCTTTTAATTTCTCCCTCATGCGCTCCCTCATGGAAAATTCTGCAAAGCCCGTTCTAGAAGCTGAAGGAAGTGGAGGTAAGCCTAAAAAAATATAAGACATTTACTTTAAAACAATACTCCCCAACCTCCAAAGGAAAGATTAGATTAAAATAACAAGAGAATGCAGTTTTATTTTGCAGATTTGGAACTTTGCATAAACAAACAGGAAAGGCTGCTGACAGTCCTCCATTTGTCTGGACTTCTTTGAGCTTAACTGCGAAAGCCTTGGTCCTGCCAGGAGCTTCACATTGGGTAACTAAGAATAAAATGAAAACCCTGGCTGGTTTGGCTCAGTGGTTAGAGTGTCAGACTGAGGACTGAAGAATCCTGGGTTCGGTTCTAGGCAAGGGCACATGCCCAGGTTGCAGGCTTGATCCCCAGTGGGGGGCGTGCAGGAGGCAGCTGATCAATGATTCTCTCTCATCATTGATGTTTCTATCTCTCTCTCCCTTTGCTTTCTTTCTGAAATCAATAAAAATATATTAAAATAAACAATAAAAAGAAAACATAGACCAGCTGCCTCCTGCACACCCCTGCTGGGGATCAAGCCTGCAACCTGGGCATGTGCCCTGACAAGGAATCAACCGGGGACCTCCCAGTGCATAGGTCGATGCTCAATCACTGCGCCACACTGGCTGAGCAATTTTTAAAATTATTAAAGACTTGATTTGAGGCTATGCAAGAACTTATGGATGAGATATTCAAGTCATTCCATCATAATATTCAGAAAATAAAAAATACTTTAGAATACAGTGTACTATTTACTTATACTTGTCTCTTCAGCACCATGTGAGGTAGAGTCTCCAGAACTGTTTGGCAAGCCTGCATCCCCAATATGCATCCTCTGACTAGAATGTTCTTTCCCTTTTCCAGCTGCTGGGCTCAGATGTAACTCCCAACACCCAGCTCCTTTGGGCAGCTCTCCCTTCTGTCTCGTACTGTCCCTTTAACATCTGTTTCCTGGGTCAGTCTCTATAGGCCTCAATGGCTTTAAAAAAGCGAGCCTGACTTAAATGATGTTTCCTTTCACTTGCATCGAATTTCATCAGATTCCAAACTTCCTTTTCAGTCAATACCGAGAAGTTGGCTCTGAAATGATGCTTTAATCAGAGAAACTAACATGAATGAATGGAAAACAGATGCCAGCAATGAAGAAACTTATGTTCATAGGAACATGTGATAGTCACTCCCTGAAGAGGGGATGCGAGTTGGAATCCTGGGGGAATGAGTGTACTTTTGTTCTATGTTTATTTGATTTGGAACGAGTGCCTGCTCAGTGGAGCACTTTCTTTGTTCAGAATGTCCTGACTATGTATATGTTTGAACAGCAAATTAGAAGCCAAAGCATTCACTGCATAGATTTGTGCTGCTGTACATCAGGGACGTAGCACCTCCGGACATGTGCCCGGTGCAGTGGGGGCGGCCATGGAATCAGGGTGCTGGTATCTGAGTGTCTGAACCTCATCTGACCTTGACAACTTTTGGAGCCATATAGGAATGCCACAGAGTAGGTTGCAGGTTCAAGGTGAGGAGCTGGTGTGGTAGCTCCGTGGGGAGGCCAGATCCCTGAGAGGCTTGGGAAGTCAGTTTTGCACCCAGGTAGGCAGACTTGTGGGAAAGGGCATGGTGGGCATGGAGGTGGGTGTGGTGAGTGAGCACACCTCAGCCAGAGCACAGCCTCCAGTCCAAGGCAGAAAGGCCAGCCTGAGACAGCTGCTCACTCAGTCAGTGAGCACTGCTGAGTGCCACCTGTATACCAGCATGTGCTACCCACAGCTAGAAGTCAGCCTCTGCCCTCAGAGATCCATAGTTCAGTGGACAGGGGAGCTGCATACCAATAAAAAGAGACATCAGACACATGGGCACAGGGGCCACACAGAGGGAGAGGGAGAGCCTTCCCAAAGGGGATGATATGTATCCTGATTTTTTAAAAAATATTTTTTTATTGATTTTTAGAAAGATAGGAAGAGGTTGGTATAGAGAAATAGAAACATACATGTGAGAGAAACATCAATCAGCTCCTTTCTGCACACCTGCTACTAGGGATGGAGCTCACAACCCGGGCATGTGCCCTGACCTGGAATTGAAGCAGCGACCTCTTGGTTCATGGGTGGATGCTCAGCCACTGAGCCATACCAGCTGTGCTGTGTCCTAATTTTTGAAAGGTAAGGAGCTAGAATGACACACAAAAACCCCAAATAGAGAAGGGGTTAGTCTAGGTTGGGAGAGGAAGATGTGTGATTTACCTGAGTGATAGGCTTTGGGTAAAAGAGAGTGCCACAGCAGGCTCTCAACCTTGTGAAGACTCTGAGCTGGCTCTGTGCCTTATCTGAAGAGTCCTTGTGGCCGTGGGAGCCACTGTGGACAGGGCTGGTTGTAGCATCGGAGCCTGCAGACCGGAGTCTGTGCTCAGGGCCCAGCACTAGCTGTTGGTTTTCTCTGAACCATTGTTTCCTAATCTAGAGCAATGCCAGATGATAGGACTGTTCTGGGAAGTGAGAAATGTAGTGCATGTAGAAACCTTAGCATGGTGCCTGCCGTGTCCTAGCCACGTAAAAGGTAATTATTTATTTTTTTAAAAATATATATTTTATTGATTTTTTACAGAGAGGAAGGGAGAGGAATAGAGAGTTAGAAACATCGATGAGAGAGAAACAGCTATCAGCTGCCTCCTGCACACTCCCCACTGGGATGTGCCTGCAACCAAGTTACATGCCCTTGGCCGGAATCGAACCTGGGACCCTTGAGTCCACAAGCAGACGCTCTATCCACTGAGCCAAACCGGTAAGGGGAAGGTAATTATTTTTGTTAGTTATTTAGCACCAAGTTTCTCTTTCACCTGGAGGAGGCTACCAGGTACGTGCCAGACTTTCAGAGGGAAGCTTTCGGCATCTCACCTGATTTCATTGTCGCAACAGCTGCACACAGCAAGGTGTTTGTCATCCCCATTTTATAAAGGTGGCTCTTGTGGGGCAGGTGGATTTGGTAGTTGCCCAAGGCCCCATGGCCAGGAGTCCTGAAATACTCACGTGTTTGGTCAAATGATCTTCAACAAGGATGCCAAGACCACTCAATGGGAAAAGGACAGTCTCTTCAACACATGGTGCTGGGAAACTGGCCATCCACATGCAATAGCATAAAGTTGGTCCCTTACCTTACACCATATAGAAACATCAACTCAAAATGGATTACAGACCTAATTGTAAGACCTAAAATCAGAAAACTCCTAGAAGAAAACTTCGAGGAAATCTTCATGACACTGAGTTTGGCAGTAGTTTCTTGAACACGACACCAAAAGCACAGGCAGCAAAAGCAAAAAGGTACAAAAGGGACCACCTCCAACGTAAAAACCTCGGTGCATCCAAGGACAACGTCAGTAGTGGGAAAAGGCAAACCACGAAATAGGAGAAAATAACGCAAATCACACATCTGACGAGGGGTCATGGTCCAGAATATATAAAGAACTTCTACAACTCAACAACAACAGCAACAACACAAGTAACTGGATTAGAAACTGGACAAAGGATACACATTTCTCCAAACATCATATATGAATGGTCAACAAGCATAGGGCAAAATGCCGAGCATCACTAATTTTTAGAGAATGGAACCCAGAGACACTTACTCCGCGGGCCTCGTTGGGTGGGCATGCTCAGAAGGTGGGTGTCAGGGTCCTGATCCTCCTGCGCAGGCTCCTGCTGGCTGCCACTGTGGGGCTTCCCGGACACCATTTCCTTGGGGCCAGCAGTGCGGAGCTGCAGGTGAGGGTGGGAGGTTGTGATTCTCAGGGCGTCATTTGACCCAGATCCTATCTCAGGATGAGGAGTGTCACTTAAACAGAGACTAGACCCTAAAGTATTCAGATCTAGATAACCTGGGACCCCACTATCTATGCCACTGTGGTCACCCCCCAGGGAAGCAGTGCCAACCCTGAGTTTCTCTGCGGTGTCTCAGGAAATCACTAAGTCACCCCAAAACAAGTGAATATTTTCACTTCTTCTAGGTATAATGTACAGAGCTCTGCAGAGAAAGGGAAACAGGAAAGTCACAACCAAACTATTTGAGCCCAACTCCAACTCTTGGAAACAGCTGTTCCATGTCCCTGGATAATCCAGGGCAAAGAACAGCCTCGGGTTTCTTCCCCAAACTCTCAGGGGAGGGAGGTGAGCAGAGTGGCAGGGGCAGCCATGGTCCAGTGACAGCCTATAAGGTCAGACAAAGGCTGGCCTCGGAACTCAGATTTACCATGAGACGTGGGAGGGCTATGGGACTTCCTAACTTCCGTCCCTCCTCATCTCTGAAGGAAAGGAAATTAAAATTCACTGGGATGCCGATCTGTATCAATCACTATGCAAAGCACAGATTCTGGCTTAAATGCATGGCCTGGGGATATCTGAGGCATCAACTTAAAAATAAATCCCCAGCCATCCTGAAGTGTCACGGGGTTAGCAAATGTTACGCTAGGTTTCTGCAACACCCCAAGACTGCTGTGCCATCTGTGATCAGGTGATCAGAGCCCTGGTACCCGTTAAATTAATGAGATGATGCCTAGGAAGTGTGATGCCTGACACTGGATTCTATTCTCCATCTCACACCCCCCTAGCCTTGCTCACCACTTTAGGTGGCCAATGATCTAAAGACCTGCACTTTTTCTATCTGCTCCAGCCTTTGCTGCCTCCATGGGTTCCCCTGCCCAGGTCTCAGAGCCATCGCTCACCCTGCAGGAAGGGGTTAAAACTCTGGAGTGGCCAGAGGGACCAGCCACGTGGCTGGGCAGCACCTCCCATCCCCTGGGCCCTCCCCTGGGCGGCTCCATCTCAACTGCAGAAGCCGGAAGGCTGCTCCTGGGTCCAGCTCATCCCAACTGGAGTGTGCTGGGGAGGGGGGAACTGAGAGGAGGGTTTCTTCCAGCCTTGGGCTCTGGCGGGGGCGGGGGGCGGGGGGGGGGGGGAACCCTCCCATCTCCCCACCTCCCCTGCCACCCTCCTGCAGGGCCCCTTCACGTGGCTGCTGGCTCAAAATGGCGCTCCTGCCCCTCCCTCCTAGCTGACATCTGAGTCTTCCAAACAAATCCTCCCTCCATGGGCAAGGACTCTTACCCAGGGAGTCTATTTACCTTGAGCAGCTGATCTTTCGAGAAAGCTCCCAGGGAAGCAGAGCCACTCCAGGGAGAGGAGAGCGGGAGGGACTGCTAGCAGCCGGGGAGACAGGAGTCTGCCTGCTGCTTGGGCTGAAGCAGGACTGGGGCTGGGAATTGGAGAAAGAAGGGGGGTTCCCTACAATTTGTAATCCTGCACTGCCATCTATCGCTGGTCTTAGCTTATAACCTTGGATGACAGCACTAAAGGGGCTCTTTCCATCATTTCTAGACTCCTCTCCCAGGGGACAGGAGAAACCTTTACAGGAAAAATGTCCCCATCCAACCAGGCTCTCATTGCAAAGGGCATCTGTCCCACACAAGGTGCTACACCAGGACCACTCACCCCATCCCTGCCTCTCCCGTAGGATGTGTGGTCCCTGTGGGTGCTGGTCGTTGTAGACAGACCCGTGTTGTGTTTCTTGTCACTCCCTACCTGTTTCTTTCCTTTTTTCCTTTGAGTCTTTGAAGTCTTCTTCTTTCTTCCTACATCTGCATCCTCATAATTTTCAATGAACTCCTTTATTAAAATGCAATGGAAGAGTTGTCATTAAAAGAAATAGGGCTGTGATTTTTAGTTGTTAAAATCACCATCTTGTCCTGATTTTGAGTGTGAGTGAACAGAATCAAAGTAGCCATCCTCATCCACCCTTCTCAAACTAGGTATGTCCTTCAGAAGTTGTGTCCATAGGGAAACACTGTAAATGAGATGATGGCGCTTCCATTGTCCCGAGTGCTCCTTCATGCCTAGGACATTTATTGAGCACTTACTGTGTTCCAGGCCCTGGAGGCACAAGGATACTCCCTGTTGCAATCTAAAGAAAGCAGCTGAGGAGCGAATCTGCCAAGACAGGCGGCCTGGCCCAGAGGCAGGACCCCAGCACAGGATGACCTCAGGGCCATACCGAGGGTTTCGCTTCTTTGCTCCCAGTCTTACCATCAAGCAGAGAATAACAAAGATACATGTTAAATCATCATGAAAGTTTTGACTTAAAGAAAAATTCAGCAGATCTCTTTGAAAAGTGACATATCCGTTAACATGGCAAACTTTGTTTTTTTTCTTCCATATTACATTTTCTAAAGTTTTAGTCATAAATTGTGAGAGCTGAATGCTCTCAAATGTCAAGCTTTCAACTTTTCTAGTCCTAAAATTTTTCAACCTGGGGAGCAAACACCTCTGGGTGTAAAACTAATTGCAAGATAAAGTCAGAACCTCTCCCTGGTATACCAAATTTATTAGAATTTTCCTCTAAAATTGGGAATTTAAAAATGCTTATACAGAAACAAACCTGGAACTCAAAGCATGGATTTTAATGATAGAAGAGTTCAAAGGAATGCCATGAGGTTGCTGGGCTGGGTTCCAGTTACACATCAGTGCCCTTGGCTGTTTGGGGTAGAGAAGACAGGAACTTGATTATAGAAGAGGTCAGAGGTCCCAACCAGGGGATGGGTGTGGTGCCGGCTTTTCCTTAGTCCACACAACGGATCTCTCTTCTCTGACTCATACTCTGGGTGCACTTAGACTTTGTGCTTCAGGTGCCCACCAGGTAGGTAGCGCTCTTAGCTCAAAAAGTCACCAACTTAGATACACAATGCTGATATCATTGAGGTGTGCAAGCATGGTCCTTAAAATAAGCCTAAGTTTTTTTGTTAATTGTCACCTGAGCCTATATTTTCCCATTGCTTTATTAGAGAGTGGAAGTGAGGGAGGAAACAGGTGAGAGAGAAAGAGAGAGAAACATTGATGTAAAAAACCACATTGACTGGTTGCCTCCAGCTCCTTCCTACACGTGGGGAGCGAACTGTAACCCTTCAGTGTGCAGGCCAATGCTCTTACCTCTGAGCAGCACCGGCCAGGGCAAGACAAGTCTAAGTTCTTATTGGCTTACAATGGACTTATGGGAAGTCTAGGTTCTTTTTGGCTTCTCAATCATGATTTGATCCTTCATCAATGAAGAGCAGCCCAGTAGGACTTCAAGTTACACAGAATGTAAACTCCATGAGGGCACAGGGTTTTATTCACCGCTGCATCCCCAGGGACCAGAGGAACAGTACATATTTGCTGCATGAGTGAATAAGCCATAAGCAAATGTAGCATGATGTGGTTTTATCTGGAGTTTTGATGTGGTCTTATCTGGTGTTTGGATGTGGTTTTATCTGGTGTTCCTTCAGGCTTCTTGAATTGCTCTTGGAAACAGCTTACTATCTCCTTCTGCCTCTGTGGTCTCCAGCGAGTGAGTCCTGGAGCCAAGAGAGAAGCAAGGTTTGGGAGGAATAAGGGAGGTCTCCTCTGGTTGGAGGGCTCCAGCCTCCCAGGTGGAGACAGCTTTCCTTCTGTGTGCTAGCCAGCGTTAATGATATTTTGTACACAATGAGTTAGAAATTGCAGAACTCCATGAGACGGAGGATTTGATTCGTGGTTATAATCTACGATTGCCACCTTCATTCTGAAATTCTTTAGAATTCTATGTGCTTCAGCCGAGCTGGACGCAGCTGCAGGTGGTACCTTAGAACTGCTGTGTCAGAATTCAGGGCAAGATGACAAGTAGATGCCCTCAGAGCTGCGTTTTCTTCACCATCCCCCTCCCCATCATGCACCTGACATGGCCCCCTCTGTGTGCAGTAGCCCAGCAATTCATGCTTGTTGCGGGCCTAGTTCCCTCGCTCCCAAACATGGGTGATGTGAGTGCACGGCCCACACAAACACAGACTCAGGGGTATCTCAGCCACCGCTCACCTCTGTAATTATTTTCACTTTTTCTTCCTTGGGATCCATTCTGCTGTAATGGCTCCTGCCTGCCAGGCAAAGAACAAAAAGTCAGGCTTCTGGACATCAGTGCAACAGCTTTCTTGCTATTGGTAAGTAGGAAGCTGACCCCCGTGGTTAGAGAAATCCTTGAACTGAGTAGGTGTCCTGTTCACAAGGAATCGGTTCCTGCAGACCCAGGACTGGTGGGAATGAGCCCTTGAGTAACAGGAGGGATGCCAGACCTTTGTCCCCATTAACCTGGCAATGAGCCCGCTTTACTGGGCAGCAGGTGGGAGTTCTGCTCTGGGAGCCAGAAGACCCGGGTTAGAATCCTGCTCTGGGAGGCTACGTCACAGCTTCTTCTCTCCCTTCAAACCTTCCCCTTCCCACTCAGCCTCTACCCTTGACCTTGGTCCTCATTTCACTGAGAGAGGGTTTCCACCTCACTTCCCCTCCCCACTGAATCCTGTCACCTCCTCTGCTCCCACTTGCTACTGTGGCCTGTCCCTGCTGGCATCTGAGCCAGGGCCTCTGCCCTGCATTGCCCACCCACCTCCAGTACCGTGATCAGGACAATTTCTCCCTTTCACCAGGACAGTCACTTCTTTCTGCTCTATCGTCTCATTGCTATCAGTGTACACCCCCTTCCTTAAAAAGAAGCTCTCTGGACCTTATGTTTCTTTCTAGCCACCACTTAACTTTTCCACCCTCTAGGAACACTCCTCAAACCCTCTCTTTCCAACCAGTTCTTGGAGCTCAGCCTTCCTGAAACTGCTCCTGCAGGGTCTCCAATGACCTTGTGCTGCCACATCTCACCATCTGTCCTCAGTCCTTATCTTATATGACCCGACAGAGCCATGTAGTAATGACAGTGACCCATTGCTTTCTTTCTCTTGAAATATTTTCTTCATGCGTCTTCTGGGACATGTTTCTTCTCCGTTTCCTCGCCCCCCCCCCCGCCCCCGCCCCCGCCCCCCCCCCCCCCCCCCCCCCCCGGCTGCTACTGCTTCTCAAACTCCTGGGCTGGTGTCTCCTCATCGTCCAACTACTCCATGTGGGTGCCTGGGCTCAGCCTTGCCTCTGCCCAGTACCCTGGCGGTCTCACCCTGTGGTTTCCCTTTAAATACCATCTATCTACTCAGATTCTCCATTTACATCCTGGGCCCGCACGTCTCCCTAGAACTTTAGACTCAGATGTCCAAGTGCAGATGGATATTCAGTTAACATGCTCCAGATGAAGCTCCCTGTCCTGACCTCCAACCTGCCTATCCTGCAACCTTCCTCGTTAAAAACCTTGTTAATAACCAGAACGCGATTTGCTCAGCCTGAAACCTTGGAGTCACTCTGGATTCCACTCTGACTCTCACATGACACCCTACATCCAACCCATCAGACATCCGGCCGGCTTTGCCTTCACGTTATACTGAGAATTCAGCCACCTCTGTGCACCTCCACTACGTCACTCTGGTTGAGCACTGTTGTCTCTCATGTGGTCTCGTGCAAGAAACTCCTAACCTTTCTGATTCCCACCTTACTTATCTACAGTCTAGTCTCTACAACGAAACCGGACCGAATTGTGTAAAATTTAGCTGAGAGCATGTCATTCCTCCACACAAAATCCTCCAAAGACTCCCCTTTCTCAACAGGGTAAAATCCAAAATTCTTTCAGTGGCCTACAACAAGGCCCTGTCTCCTCTGTGCTTGGGTCCTCTGGCCTCAGGGCCTTGGCCCATGCTATTCTCTCTGCATAGAATGCTCTTTCCCAAGACATCTGTGGGCTCTCTCTCTTTCAGTTACTTCAGGGCTCTGTTCAAATTTCATTTTATCAGAGAGATCATCCCTGAACACTCACAGTTCAGTGATAACCTTCTACCCTCACCTTCTGGAACTTGCTAACTACCTTACAGTGATTTATTTTCCCATGGTACTTATCACCAGTCAACATACACATTCATTCATATTTACTCGTGATGGTCTGCCCATTCCTCATTAGAATACAGACACAAGAGGACAGGAACATTTGTTCTTTTTTTCTTTATTGTAAGTTGTTTATTATAAGATAATTCACAAATATCTTGCTGTCTTTAGTAATTTAAACAACAGACCAATAATTTCTTCTGACCAGGACAGCAGTAAGCTAAAAACAAAATCAGCTGGCTGAATTTTCCTTCTTTACCTTTTGTCTGAGTACAAAACTTGATTTTTACAGGAACATTTGTTCTTTGTTTACCCCAAGAGCCTAGGACTATGGGACACAGCAGACTCTTCATAAATATTTTTCAAATGAATGACTAAATCACCACTGGCTGCGTGTCCATGGCCACATTCTGGAGTCCATCAACACATTGTCCTCTTTGGGCTGCTGTGAAGATTAGATGAGCACATGGGGAGAAATATCAAGGCTGACAAATTGTAAGCCCTCCCTGACATACTAACTGAGACTCGGTCATTTAAGCAGCTCATCTGGATGTTCAAGGTTTCACTGACCCTAATGGGGAATGAGCATGCTAAAGGGAAATAAAGTGCCCGAAATTTGATTGTCTCCCACCCAGACCTCCTCACAGGCTGCAACAAATAGAGGAAGGGGAATGATGACAGCAGTTAAGAAAATAAAAGGGTGGGGAGGTCATCGAGAGAGCACAAGGGGGCAGATGATAAAAATAAAATTCTGAAGGACACAAACGCGCTCTAATAAACACGCTGGCCATTATGAGCCAGAAAAAAGAAAAAGAAAAAAAGAAAGGACTGTGAAATATTTTGGTAACGAAGAAAAGGTTCTCAATAAATTAAAAAATGTTATCTGTGAAAAAGGAATAGAAAATGAAAAATGTAACGGGGTTGATCTTTTCTTCTCATTCTTTCCTGATCATTACCTTTGAATGAGTTTCGAAGGAAATCGGATGACAACAAAATTTATTTTTTCTTTTCCTGCTAAGAAACGATAAATCAATACTGCCCAGCTTTAATATACAGCTTGTCAGCATACGTACTGTTTATTAATACATTTCTATTGGCAATAGCAAAACAAGAGCCATGACTTACTGCAGACTTATTGGATGCTCTCTCTGGATACATGTTATCGCTAGGCCTCACTACACTCCCGGCTTAGTAGTACCTGGCTCAGTTTACATGTCAGGAAACCGAGGTTTCCTCTGAGCTCAACCTCTGACAGGTTACTTGGTTTGCCCAAGATTATAGGTATTAAGTGTCACATTCAGAATTTGACCCCAAGGCCACTCCAGAGCCGCCCCCTCTCCATTCTCCCCTGCCCCCAGCTACTCTAGGTCTCTGTCTGCCTCACCATTTATTCTTTTTTTATTTTTACTTATTTATTTTTAAATATGTTTTTATTGATTTTAGAACGAGAGGAAGGGAGAGGGATTGAGAGATAGAAACATCAATGAGAGAGAGAGAGAGAGAGAGAGAGAGAGTCATTGATTGGCTGCCTCCTACACGCCCCCCTTTTGGGGATCGAGCCCCAAATCCAGGCACGTGCCCTGACTGGGAATCAAACTTAGGTCGATACTCAACCCTAAGCCACACTGGTCGGGCAATTCTTACTTTTTCAATAATATCAGTAACTGTTCTGCCAGTCCATGATTCTGGAAGTATTTACAACTGAAAACTGGGGAGCACTGCCCCAGTGAGAAAGGGCTTTGGCTATGTTAGGTTAAAGATTTATTTAACTCAGTGCAGAAAACTGAACACATTTTTGAAGGAAAGTATTGATACTTCATCTAGACCAGCGGTTTTCAACCTGTGGGTCGCCAACCTGTGGGTCACGACTCCTTTGGGGGTCGAATGACCCTTTCACAGGGGTCGCCTAAGACCATCGGAAAACACATACATTATTACATATTGTTTTTGTGATTAATCACTATGCTTTAATTATGTTCCATTTGTAACAATGAAAATACATCCTGCATATCAGATATTTACATTACGATTCATAACAGTAGCAAAGTTACAGTTATGAAGTAGCAACGAAAATAATTTTATGGTTGGGGGTCACCTCAACATGAGGAACTGTTTTAAAGGGTCGCGGCATTAGGAAGGTTGAGAACCACTGATCTAGGCAAATGGACCGTCTCTGAGGGTCCTCAGGGGGTCAGTCATAAGAGGACCCATAACATTCAGCTGCAGGAGAAAGGGATGAAGGTGTAAGGAAAGGGCAGAACTGTCTGCATCTCCACCTCGGCTGCTTAAAATATGATCTGATACGTGCATCCTGCTCCAGAACAGGAACATGTGGGCTCACGGGAAGAGTGAGGGCTCTATAAACCATCACATGGGCCTGGGTTCACAGTCCAGCCCCACTCATCAGCTGTGTGCCCTCAGAGCAATGCCTTCGCCTCTCCGAGATGCATTTCTATGTCTGTGAACATGTGGCCATAACTCCTACCTCGATGGGAGATTATTTCATAAGGGCTAAATGGTAAAGCATGTGCAGTAAGATGCCTCGGCGACACAGGCAGCTTCCTTTCTGTTCCCATGGGCGGCACGACTGAAGCCTTCCCTGCCCTCACACGCCTGAGCATTTTCTCCCGGAGGACAGTGCTGTCCTTTTCTGTCCCATCCTGTCAGAGCTGTGGCCTGGAGCCCTGGGCAGGTAGGTGCCACATGCACCCTTTTTGAATTCATTACCTAATTCTATGAGTTATTCCAGCCGTAGCTTCCCGGGGTATAAGGTTAGTGACAAATAGCTTCAGCGAATCATTTAATCAGCTCAATATAACATATATTACCTTCAAAGAGTGCATATACATATTTGAGTTGTTCTATGTGATATATACCCAGTGCACTGGCTTGATGAACTGAGTGCCCCCAGGCCTTCCTGGAGGGGCCCTGCCAGGCTTTAAGCACATAAGTCCCTTTTACAAATCTCTCATGGCACCTAGCTCGTTGCACTATTAAACCGTGCTTCTGACCTGATCTGAATCCCTTTTTGTGCGCTTTAAGCTTCAGCATCTTGCCTGGTGCATAGTGCACGCTCAATAAATGTTTGAATGATGATTCTGCTAATGAGCTCCAGGAGACATACAGAGACACTTCCTTCTGGTGCAGTTTCTGTGCAGAAGTTATCCGAAAATGTAATATCCTGCATGTATTTCCCATTAGGCTTTATTAGCTTTTCACAGCACCGCTTTGCAGTGGATGGAAACAATCCGTCTACATCGCAGCTCGCAGATTTTCTTGTGTGTGTGTGTGTGTGTGTTTTTTTTTTTTGGCGGGGGGAGGGTGAGGGAGGAGCAGCGATCCTCAGCCCTCTGTCTGCTATGGGCATTTCTCTGTCTAATGCCAAGAAAAGGGAAGCTTGAAGTAATAACTATTTAGCCCTTTGAACCAATTTGAGCAAAAAGGCCCAGAAATGCAATGTGCAGCAAATGTTTCCGGGGACTGGAAAGCAACAGGCTGACCTGGATGTCCCAGGGAGGAGTGTAACCCGGGCTGTGATGAGCTGACCTAGTGTTTCTGCAAACAGACTCCAGGCAGCAGCTCTAATCAAAGCAGCAGAGCACTGCTCTCCATTCCAGAAAGTAGAATGTGAACAACCCCTAACCTGGCTCTTCCTTAAATCTGCTCAGTCCCAGTGGGGAGGCTGAACTCCACGGGGGTGGAGGGGTGGGGGTGGGGGGGACTGGGAGCAGGACCCTCTGCTGCAGCCCTGCTCCCAGAGAACAGATTTACCTGAAGAAACTTTACGAGCACTTGGCAGGTTCCGCTTGCTCTCTGGGATGGAGGGAAGTGGAGGAGGCCCTTCTTACTGTGGATCTCCTAAGGGTCCGAAGGAAGAGGCTGGACGGAGGGGCGGTCCGGGGCGGCTCCCTGGGAAGCTGCAGCCAGTCTCCAGCAAAAACACCCACTTAGCAACCCGTTCCTAAGGAAGGTCAGTCGGTGGCTTTCTTTTTTTTCTTTTAAAGCGACAGGTTCATCCTCTCGTAGTGGAACACAAGCACACTGAGCAGCAGGCACACCCGTGGGACAAGGACAAAGAGAAGTCAGCTGGGGGAGGAGCTGGCAGAAATTAGGTCAGGCTGCAGGGCCTCGTGTCCTGGGGTCACAGGTGTTTCTGGTCACAGACAGGCCATGCTCAGAGCAGCTGGCTAGGATCCTGAGAGGCCATCATTTCAAGGTGAGGGTGTCTTCTTTGTACCAAAGGTCCCTAGAGGTGCTCCGGGCCCCAGGGAATGTTGCTGGGGGGGGGGTTCAGTTAAATGTGGGGGAGTGAATGTACAAAATTAATCTCCCTGTATTCTCCGAATCCCACTGAAATCACTGAACGAGGATATAACTGTTATGTGTCAAAAAAGCAGAGAGAATGAGAGCAGAGGCAAAGCAGATGCAAGAGTATGGAGAGGACAGACCGAAGAAAGCCACATGCCAAGTATACATCTGCGTGTGTGCGTGTGTGCGTGTGTGCGAGTGTGCGTGTGTGCGTGTGTGCGAGTGTGCGTGTGTGCGTGTGTCTATGTCTGTGTGTCTCTGTGTGTCTGTGTCTACATGTATCTCTCTGTGTTTCTGTGTATCTGTGTGTATCTCTGCATGTGTACATGTACATGAATGTGTCTCTGTGTCTGTACCTGTGTCTGTGGGTCTCTTTGTATTTATGTGTGTATCTGTGTGCCTGTGTCTATGCGTGTCTCTCTGTGTATCTATATATATCTCCACATGTGTACATGTATATACGTGTGTGTGCGTGTGTTTGAGTGTATCTCTGTATGTGTAGCTGTGTCTGTGTGTGTCTCTGTCTATGCGTGTCTCTCTAGGTGTTTCTGTGTATCTGAGTGTATATCTCTGCATGTGTGTTTATTTTTGTGTGTGTGTTTGTGTACATACATGTGCCTCTGTGTGGGGGACAGGTAGGCATAAGAATGAGGAAATGAGTTGGTCACTGCAGAACTCCAGAAGTTCAGGATTGGGCTCAGTCGTGTGATGGGCTGAATGTGTCCCTCTAAAAAGATATGCAGGCGTCCTAACCCCAGTCCCTCAAAATGTGACCTTACTTAGAGGTGGGACTTGACAGAGGGAGTCAATTTAAAACGAGGTCATTAGACCAAATCCAATATGACTGTGTTCTTATGGCAAAGGGGAGTCAGTGCACAGAGACAGACACATGCAGAGGGAGGACCGTGAGAAGACACGGGGTGGGAACAGCATCTACAGGTCGAGAGCACCTGAGGCCACCAGAAACTGGAGAGAGGCAGGGAACCGAGTGTCCTTCACTGCCCTCAGAAGGAACCACCCAGCCAATGCCCGTTTTCTTCTAGCCTCCTGAATCATGGGACAATACATTTCTGCTGCTTTAAGCCACTCAGTGTATGGTACTTTGTTACAGCAGCCTCAGGAAACGAATACAGTCAGATACCAAGGGGAGTGTGGAGAGACATGGGGCTGAAATGCAAGGAGAGTTGAAAGTCTACTTACTGAGGGGCTAGATCCTCAGGACCCTCCCTCACTCCTGCGGTAAGTCTCCTCCCACCCCCTCTTCTGCTGGCACCTAGGAGAGTCAAGGCTTCTCGGGAAGGTGAACCACAGACACTCTGGTCTCCAGGGCCCAGGAATGGCAGAGGGTGGGTGTGTTTCAGGGTTGAAAACTGAAGACTAAGTGGAGAGGTGGATAGGGTGCTCTCCTCACAGGACTAAGACAACCAAAAATGTCCCGTTGGCTCCCTTGTCCCACCTCCACCAGCGTCAAATTAGAACACATGGGAAATTATTTTCTGGAGAAACTAAATGTTCACAAAGAACAGATGCCAGATACTGACATTTCTGGATCCTCCACTGAAAGAAGCTAGCGCATCACCCTTGCAAAAGAACATCCCAGAGAAAACGAGGGGATTTCGGGTGAAGAAATTCCACACTTGTAGGTATAGAAAGAGCCAAAAAATGAAAAGGTAGAATTTATCAAAGAGGTAATATAAGAAAAAGTCTCAAAAGTGAAAGAATAAGTCTTTAGATTGAAAGCTGGCACTAGGCGACAACAAACACATTTCTGTCTGTCTCAGTTTGTGCTCCGCATGTGGTGAGAAAAAATATTCTCCAGGGAATTCATAACTATGGCTTGCACTACGCTGTCTAACTGTCTTATTTATGTTATATCTTTTAGGAACACCCTATGTGACACATTTTAAAAAGTGGACTCACGTTATTGTATCCCTATGGGGTGCCGGGGAAGAGTAGACACAAAACATTTTCGGAGAGATACACATTCAAGTAGTCAGCTCAGGATGGGTGAAGATTAATCTTGCTGAAGATGAGCTCACAATCCAAAATTAGACAGCACAGGAGGAAACAATCAGATCTGCAGGCCACAGGAGGGCCCTGCTAGATACCCAAGAACTTCTGATAACACAATGATCAGAGAGAGAATGTAACAAAACTGACGGCCACAAAAGAACTTAAAAGGAGGGTTTGAAAATATGAAAGAAGAGTGAGGTACCATCAGCGAGAGCAGGCAAATGTGAAAGAACCAGCTAAAGCTTTCAGTAATGAATAATACAGTTATGAACTTTTTTTGAAGGAAAGCATAGGTTAAATTTCTGAAGGTAGAGCTAGAAAGAGAATTAATGATGTAAAGAAGAGATTTAAAGAATTAAAATGTGCACAGCAAAAGAAACCATCAACAAAATGAAAAGGGAGCACACTGTGTGGGAGAATATATTTGGCAATGATACATCTGATAAAGGGTTAATATCCAAAATATATAAGGAAATCATACAACTTAACAAAAGGAAGACAAACAACCCAAGTAAAATATGGGCAAAGGACCTACACAGACACTTCTCCAAAGTGGACATAAAGATGCCCAAGAGATATATGAAAAAATGCTCAAAGTCACTGATCATCAGAGAGATGCAAATTAAAATGACAATGAGGTATCACCTCACAACTGTCAGAATGGCAACCATCAACGAATAATCAAATGATAAGTGCTGGGGAGGATGTGGAGAAAGGGGAACCTTAGTACACTGCTGGTGGGAATGCAGACTGGTGCAACCACTATGGAAAACAGTATGGAGTTTCCTCAAAAAATTGAATATGGAACTGCCATTTGACCCAGTGACCCCACTTCTAGGAATATATCCTAAGAAACCAAAACACCAATCAGAAAGAATGTATGCACTCCTGTGTTAATAGCAGCATAATTTACAATAGCTAAGATCTGTAGATGAGTGGATAAAAAAGCTGTGGTAAATTTTACCATGGAATACTATGCTGCAGTAAAAAAGAAGAATCTCTTACCCTTTGATACAGCATGGAGGGACCTGGAGAGTATCATGCTAAGTGAAATAAGTCAGTCAGAGAAAGACAAGTATCTCATGATCTTATTCTTATGTGGAATCTAAGTAACAAAATAAACTGAAGAAAAGAGTGGATCCAGAGACAAGGAATCATGGAAAAGAGTGCGGAATCTCAGAGGGAAGGCAGGGGTGGGTGGGTGGGAGGGAAGTAATCAGCCAAGAACCTTGCATGCATATATGCATGGCATGGCCCATGGACACAAACAATGGGGCATCGAGGGCCTGGGGCTGGGGCGGGGATGGGGGTGGGCTGGAGATGGTCAATGGGGGGAAAGGGGGAACATGTAATACTTTCAACAATAAATATTTTAAAAAAGAATTAAAATGTGGCACAGATATGGAAAATGGGAAAGAGTGGATAAAGGTCTTGGGGGAGAAATCCAGGAGATCTATGAGTCTCAGGAGGAGAGAAGAGCGAAAGAAAATAAATGCTGGATCTTAAAATGGAGGGATCTTTGTCAACTTCCTTAACTCCCCTAGGTCTCAATTTTCTCACCTATAAAATGATATTAATAATAGTAATTACTGCCCTTGTTCTATTCCTGGTCAAGAGCATGAACTAGTAGTAGTATCTGGGTTGCAGGTTCTATCCCTGGCCCCAGTTGGGACATGTGTGGGAGGCAACCAATCAATGTGTCTCTCTCACATAGGTGTTTCTCACTCTCTCTAGCTCTCTCTCCCTCTACCCTTTTCCGTTCTCTCTAAAAACAAAAAGCAATGGAAAAAATATCCTTGGGTGAAGAGTAACAACAACAACAACAACAACAACAAAATACTAATTACTACAGAGGCTGATTTATTAAGTTAATGTTTATCAGGCCCTGGCAGACAATAAATGCAGGTTTTACAAAAAAAAAAAAAAAAAAAAAAAAAAAGTGAATGTGGTCTTACCTCAGACACCTTTAATAAAATACCATAAACTGGATGGCTTAAACAATATAAAATGATTTTCTCACATTTCTGCAGGGCTGGAAATCCAAGGTCAAGGTGCCAGTTGATTCAGTTTTTGGTGAGGGCTTTCTTCCTGTCTTGCTGTGTCCTCACATGGCCTTTGCTTGATGCATTCAGATGGAGAGAGAGAGATCACTCTTCCTATTGGGCATTCTCAATTGGATTAGGACTCAACTCTTATGACCTCATTAACCTTAATTACCTCATAAAAATCCCTATTTCAAAATATAGTTACATTGAGGGTTAGAGTAGCAACCTGTGATATTTAGGGGGCGGGGGCACAGTTCGGTGTATAGTAGTGTTTATTGTAAGAGATCAGTCACTTGAAGTGATCAACTGTCCTAAGAGGTGGAATTTGTTCACCTCTCTTGTGCTAATTAACCTTCTGATTATAACCTCCTTTATCTTTCAACATTTTGCTAGACCAGCTCATAAGAATTATACATTGCCTCATAATGTTCTGAAGTTATTAAAAAGCGTAATTCAAAAACATCATTTCTTGTGAAAATTCTTATGCTAGCAAAATAAATGAAATCTAGCAGATTTGTTTTAAATCAAAACGCAAAATTCTCATTCTTATAGCATGTGTGTCTAGCTGGCGAAAGAATTTTA